ATCCCTGCTCCCATCCTCTTTGCTCCCATCGGCATCAACAAGCTGTACCACCCGCTCGGTGAGCTCGTGCCTGCCAAAATTGCTGGCGAGCTCGGCATCCCTGTGAGTATTCCCGTGCTGCAATTGTATTCCCTTCGTGGGCGTTCTACGAAGCCACCGTCGGCTGGCCACCATTGTGCTCCCCGGTGGATGCTGCCATGCCCTGCCTCTCGTAGAGCATTGAACCTCGACTACTCACGTGCTGACTGGGCCCCTGTAATCCATATGATGGGGCTCAAAACCCGACAAGCTCTGGCGTCGTCAGTGTGCTTGTGACGACGGGAACTAACGTACCTTTACATCACAGTATTGCCTGTCAACGGCCGGCTCACAGCCCATCGAGGACGTCGCGCGTGCAAACGACGCGGGTGCGGCGATCAAAAACGAGAGCAACTCGGTGCACGAGTACAGTGGTATGTGATGCTGCTGCTCGCCCGAAAGACGGCATGTTTAACACTGTTTCCCTGCGCAGGCCCCAACGGCGGCAACGCACAGGGCCCGCGGTTCTACCAGCTCTATATGGGGCACGATGACGAGATCGTGCGTGATGGTAGCTGCAGCTTGCACATCGATGCTGACAATCGTGCCAGACTATTTCTCTCCTAGAGCGCGCATGGAAGTCCGGCTTCGACGTCATGATGCTCACGACCGACACCTGGCAGCTCGGGTGGCGCCCAACAGACATCAATATCGCAAACTATGTGTGAGTACTGACAACCATTGTCTCCCGCTGTGCACGCTGAGCTGCTCGCAGATTCTACTATCCGAATGCGGTGGGCAACGAGATCGGGGCATCGGATCCGGTGTTCATGAAAAAGTATGGCGAGGAGCTGAAGAAGGATTCTGGAAAGTGGATCGACAGCAGCGTGTGGCACGGCAAAGCACATACGTGGGAGAAGATCGACTGGCTCGTCAAGCAGGTATGTGCGTCTGCGGCTGTTTGCTTGTCCCTCCTCACTAAGGCGTCCACAGTGGAAGCGCATCTCGGGTGGGCGGCCGTTCGTGATAAAGGGCATCCAGAATGCTGAGGATGCGGTGCTGGCGTACGAGCACGGATGCGAGGGCATCGTGGTGACGAACCACGCGGGGCGGCAGGTGGACGGGGCGATCGCGAGCCTGGACGCGCTGCCGGAGATCGTGGAGGCGGTGGGCGACAAGCTGACGATCATCTATGACTCGGGCGTGCGGACGGGCGCGGACGTGTTCAAGGCGCTCGCACTCGGGGCGCATGCAGTGGCGGTGGGGCGGCTGTACGTGTGGGGGATGTCACACGAGGGCGAGGCTGGCTGCCGGCATGTGATGAGGAGTCTTCTTGCGGTGAGTGTGGTGGTTGCAAGTGTGATGGGCGTGGGCTGACTGGGCGTGGCTGCAGGATCTGGACATCCTGATGACGGTTGCGGGGTATGCGAGCATCGAGAAGGACGTGATCGGTAACAAGAAGGCTGTGAAGTACAACCCGAGCGGAACGCCGCCCGGCCCAGGCGAGCATGCGCACCTGTGAAGCACGATGGACGAGTTTGTGCTACATTGGCTTGCTGCTGGAGTCGGCTGTCAGTCAACTGCCTATTCGCTGGCGCCCCGGTAAAATGCAATAGACTGTAGATTGTGCATATGCCGATGATATTAAGATGAAAGTGCCATTCAGGAGAATCAGCCTTCAAGCATCTGTATAAACTCGCGACGGGAGACAGCAGTATTTTGTCCTATGACGGCCCTCAAAACAGCAGTGATAGTAAGACCCGGACGGCATCACTGATCGTACTGTTAGTTGGTGACCACTAGCGGAAATAGGGTGTTTGATTACCTTCGCAGGAACGTGATCGAGATCAGGAAGGAGAAGTCGGAACCGGGGATGTGGCGAGCGCACGCCACCATCATATATCTGCTGCTATTTGTAGTATCTTGCAGGCTTGGCGCGAACCTCTCTGCGCGCTCCTTACGCGCTTGATAGAGTTGCTTGTTCGGGCTTCTGATATCCGACGGACTCTATCATGACCAACATCGCTTGCTGTGAAAAACCACTTGCGACGATACCGGACTCGGGGCCCTGAATGAGTGTTCAGCACCCAGCCTCAGAGGTGCGTGGCCATGGCAGCCTTGCGAGGGCAATCAAGTCACTACCTGCCAGATCTCTGAGCTGTAGCTTGAAGCGTAGGTCTCCCGCCTCCCGAGTCACTTTGGGCTCTGACACAAGCGGACTGCAAAAGATCAGAAAGCGTAACAAGTGCGTATTTTTCCGCAGTAGGCAGGCTTGCGCTTGTCTTCAAGCAAACACTAATAGGGAAACACCGACACATGCGGTGTCCTCCATTGTTTTTTTTCCTGTCCTCTTGTTCACACGGACGCTGGCCGCCAACGAACACTTCTTCCATTCGTGATATGTCGGCGGCTGGATGTATACCTCGTCGTCGATCAGGCCACCTGCGTCCCGGCAGCTGCGTTCACGAGGGCACAGACACGAATATGCATCATTACTAGTGCCCTGCTTCGCGGATCGTACAGATTCAGTCGTGAGCTCACCAGGCGGCCGCGAGGGCTCGTTGTGCCTAGAACGATCGCTTATCTGGGGGCCAAGCCCATACGCAATCTTCCCGGGCGCCGTCGACCTGTCTACTCAAAGACTTTGCTTCTGTTCCCCGAGTCATGTGTCAGTCTGCCTTGACATTCAATACATGAGCTCGTTCCCCGCTCTCCGCACCATGATCATCTGTCAATGTTCCAGGTGATATCTGGCATTGGGCGCAGCGCAGATAGCAGCGACCGTGGGTGATGCGCTCGTTCCCTGCTATCTATATTGTGGTCTTCGGATCTGTGCCAAGTGACATCCCTCGGGTTGTCGCTTGATTTTTCCCATGGAGGGCACTCATGCAGGCAGCGGCGACCTGTGTTTGATGCCGCGGCATTGGAGCCCCTCCGGGGTTCGCCGTTATTTAGGTCGTGAATGGTGGACCAGCGAGCCTCGTCCAGACGAGGCCACCGGATCGCAGACCTTCATGTCCATCGCCAAGGTTCCGTTCCTCATCGCAGGCACACTGGGTGTCTACACCACCTTCACCCCTCCCCAGCCAAGGGCCGTACAAGGCGAGCGCCCGAAGTCCCTGAGCGCGTTTGAAAAACTCTGGTCGTCGGTCGCGAGATCGTATTCAAACGCTTTCAAAGTACGTTACTCGCTTATTCTCCTCTGCAGATCGCTTGCTGACGGTGACCGGTGCAACCAGGTCGTCACCTGTGCCGGAGGGCTTCTAGAAATAGCCGTCACCCTGGCACACAGATATCCCTCTTCCCCCGCATCACGATCGGTGCTGGCCGTGCTAGTCAACGGCCCGACGTCCTTGGCCTCCCGGGTCCACTTCTCGCCTGCATTCTACATCGGTACTGCGCTCGCCGTTGCAGGCGGGATCGTTCGGTATCAGTGCTACCGCACGATGGGCCGCTTCTTCACGTTCGAGATTGCCATGAGGAATGGCCATCGGCTCGTCACAACCGGCCCGTACGCGTATGTCCGCCACCCGTCGTACACGGGCTGGCTGGTCGCCATGGTCGGCCCAGGGATCTGCTGCGCCAGTCCGGGATCGTGGTTCCGGGAGTGCCGCATCTACGAAACGGCTTGGGGAAAGTTCGGAGCGGCGTTGTATGTGTTCTTCTGTCTGCTGTCTCTGGTGCCCGCCGTCGTGCGCCCTCCGACGGAGGACCGGCTGCTACGAGAGCAGTTTTGCGAGGAGTGGGATGCGTGGGCACGGAGAGTCCCGTACAGGCTGATTCCATATGTGTACTGAGATGGTCTGTGTGTTCATTTTAGGCTTTCTGCATGTACCTTATTCTCTGCAGCACCAAATATGTCTCATGACGATCTAGTACCCTGAGCTGTCTCGTTGATTCATTTTTGTCTCTGTCTCGTATATTTCTCTCTCAGCTAAAGCTAGATGTGGTGCTCGAATACACTGGAAGGGACTGTGTTACTATTAGGCGCAATGCAGATGTTGTGGAGGCGTCACAACATGCAAGGCAACAGTGAAAGACAAGGACGATGAGGTGAAGGCAGCTCTCAACGGGAGACCGGTACGTCAGGGATGTCAGGGAAGATTCGCGGGTGCAGAGGACAATGTTCTAACAGTTGGATCTCCGGCCTTGTTTCAGTGATGGTTTCCAGTACACCGTCTGCCACCCACTGCCGCGGAAGATACAGCGCAGCGAGTTTGGGTAGCGCCAGCAACGGACTCATGATGCTGTAAGGTGGCCGCCATCCGTCATTGGCGAAGTGGCGAGGGTGTATGGCGACGACTGAAAGTGTCTGCGAGAAGGCACATGTCGATAACGACTTGTTGAGATATCTCGCTGGGCACGCCCCCAGTACCCGTCCACTAGCGAAGTCATGAGGAAGATAGCTAGCGTGTGGAGGTGCTCCGCCCGTATGCGATGGATGAATAGAGTCGTCTTCTTAGAAATGAAGTCTGTTATGATCTCAAGAGACCGCAATGTTGAGAAGCAGAAAGCTTGTGGGCATGTCAAATACCATGTAGTATTCTCGTCCAAATGGATCACCAGGTTCTGAAGGTTCCTGAAGAGACTGAACGATTGGACGGAAACGTAGTTAATGAGGAGAGTCGACGAGAAATCGCGAATGGTGCCACTGATGAGTCGCAGCAGTCTCGCAATCAGCTCGCTGCCCATGGCCCGGGAATACACCCAATATTTGCGTCCGAGATGGAGAGCCGTGAGGGAGGGGCGTGCGGCTCGAATCGTGTCTAGGATCATACAAATATCGTCTTCATGACAGTCGCCGAAGTCGACATGTAAGGTCTGCAAGTTGCGGCAGATCGCGAACATCTTGGTAAATAGTACTATGGTCCACCGGAGCCCGACGTCGTCCTTTGCAACTCGCACAGAGATGGCATCCACTCGAGGCCCGAGGAGCATGTATATACCTTCTGGTCCACCCACAGCGTCAAGATGAATGTTGAGAGTGCGCACTTCCGGTAGCAGGCGGTATCCCGAGACCTTGTGGATAGATAGATCGTGCAAGGTCGCGTAGTAGGCGTCCTCATTGTGGATAGTGACATGCTTGATGAACCTTGCGTAATGATCCAGACGTCGGGTATTCAGTGCTAGACGAGCATTAGAATCTAACCGATGTCGATTGACACCCTACGTCATCAATGTCAGTCGTTAATATCGTGGGCGTTTGGGAGTGGTTACTGACAATGATGGCGATACTCTCATGATTCTCAGGTACGTCTTCTTCATACTCGTCGACATGATTTGGAGGCAGTGTGTAGATGAGCGGCGCAAGACCCGACATTGTCTCCCAGAGGACAGACATTGCTGGGACATGCAGCGAGCGACAGGCGATTCCCAGGTTCGCTACAGAGCGTTTGCCGTTTCCATTCGAACACAGGGCACGCGCTATCAGGCTTACAATCTGGTTGGACAGCAAGCAGCGAGTGGCAGCTGTCGTCGCCAGCGTATCAGCGGGCTCGGTTTCTACATATCGAAAACAATGCACCATCAGTCAGATCATCGAGACGACCAAATAAATCTTGAGCAGCTCACGGTCTACCATAGATTATGTTGAATATGAGTGGCGGCCGAGTCGAAGCGCTGAAGCCACGAGAGGCGCTCGTGCTCAAGTTTTTGAGATTGATGGGCGCTGGTAGCCACCGATCGGTGCCACACCGTCAAAGTGGTCCGCGTTCGTCTTTCGCCTCAAGTTCCCTGCACACATCTGAGACAGGCAAGCTACCCACAAATGACTTCGCTACCTTCAAGTTCAAGTCACATGCACGGGCTGGTCGCCTTTACAGGTCATCGTTGCCTGCTCATCGCTGAGATTTTCGATCAGATCGTCCGTCACGTATACAGTTCCGGAAGCGGTGAAGGCTCAGTCGCGAGTCTCGCAGCAACGTGCAAATCCTTCCATGTCCCTGCCATATGCGTTTTGTGGGAGAAAATGGTTAGTGTCGCCCCACTTGTGGAGACTCTGCCGCCGAATGGCATCCACGGTGAGCTCGAGTTCCCCCGGAGACCCTCGGGCCGCCACAAGCTTTACCATGATGTGAGACCCCTTTTATTCCCCAACAGATATCTGAAGCTGACATATAGTCGGCCTATAGAACATAGTCGACGCCTTGCGACACCCAAGTCCTGCCACTATGATCCAAATTGACACATCCCGACTGGAGCATTACTCGTGCTTCTTACGAGAACTCAGCATCATCGAGGACTATATAGAGCTCTCTACGTTGGAGTATCTGGCACCTCATCTTCCCAGCGACTTCTGCTTCCTCCCACGAACCCGTGTCCTTAAGCTACGTCTCTCGGGTGACATGGAGGGTTTCGACATGCTCATCGGACCCGAGCTCGTGGATGTGCATATTGAAATCGACAGTGACTGGACGTCAATGAGGTGTGGCATCACCTTTCTCGCAAGGATGTGCTGCGTATGCACCAATCTCGAAGTGCTCCGGCTGGATATACGTTTTGAAGAAGAAGCTGAAGCTGAGTTGTCGAGTCATGTTGGTACGTTCGTGCAAATGGTGCAATCAACATATCCTCGACTACGCATCCTTCACCTCTTGGCCATACACGATTATGATTATCGCTGCGACCCTGAGTTCACGTCGAGGCCCATCATCGACCTTCTTCGTACCACGTGCGCTCGCGCCCAAGAATTCTCGTCGGTCCATATTCCAGTCCCTGAAAATGGTGTCATCAAGCTCGCGAGAAATCCTAACCTCCGCGACGTGTGGATCTGCCTCGACGAGACACCTCTCGAACGTCGTATCTTCGAAGGGATCCATCGTCCCTTCTCGGCTTTGCATGCTATGCGCTTCAGCGTCAAGGAGATGGATGAAAGTTCCTTATCTTTTCTGGGCAGCGTCAGCTCAGCGGTCCTCACAAGGCTCATCATTGATGTTGAGGATGACTCGGAGAACCTCGACTCAACAATGCTTTGCGCGCATATTCAGTGTGTGCAGCAGTCTCCCTTCCGAGACACCTTGACACTCTTTGGTCTGGCTTTTGATACACGCTCAAACCTCTCAAAGAAAGTCACATACGAAATCTTGGGACCGTTGTTTGATCTCCCTCAGTTCTCAAGACTGTTTCTTCGGCGGCCTTCCGATGAGCTGGTTCTGACCATTGCCGGAAAGCATCCACACATCGAGTTGATTACAGAACCCTACTTCCAGTGAGTCTATTAGGAATGTTGATGCAGCCGTTAGTCGTATTCTGCACTGATGTACCATCCTCTTTATGAAAACAGTGAATAATGTTCTTCTGCAACATCCCCACTTACTCGTGGTACGAAACCAACGCGTTCGAATAAATTCATGAATACCATGAATCTCACGCAGTGCGTGTGACGCTCGGGTCACTCTGTCGTACATCAGAGCAAAGAGATAGCTGTGGTTTGAGGGAGAGAGAGGAGCTATATTACCCGACATCGACGCTGGCTTATGATAACACAGAGTGGGAGAGACAGGAATGCCATAATGAGGTTGAGATGGTCCAATATCTGATCACACGCATTTGAATATGGTAAACTACTATCCGGATCGGGATGAGAAGCCTTCACTAGGCAAAAGCAAGCTAGACTCAAATGTCAGATTTGAGTGTACAGCCGACAGATTCTCAGTCTCATGGGAATGTTACCCTAGCCCGTCATACTCGCCTGCTGGCCCTTAGGACCACTTCCCTGATCGACCTACTTCAGTTACTTCATCTCCCCATCAATCTCATCTTCGCAAGCCCAAGAGTCGAAGGATGAGATTGGTAGTACGTGCTGTTTTTCGCTCTGCATCAAGAAATACAAAAGAAACATAAAGCAATAAAGGAAATTGAAATGGTCTTGACCGAGTTCCCTGTTTGCTATTGCATCAGGAAAAATGCCCAAACCTACATAGCTCTATGTAGATCCTGTAGACCACATAGAGTGATAGACTTCCCCCCGATTATATAGTGCTATGTAGATCCGCCTGATCTCGCAAAGTGCTATGTAGCACCATAGACCGCGAGGCTCGTAGGCTCCATAGCCCAGTCCGGGATCGTGGTTCCGGGAGTGCCGCATCTATGATACGGCTTGGGGAAAGTTCGGAGCGGCGTTGTATGTGTTCTTCTTGTAGAAACGAGTGTCGGCGTCGGGTTCGAACAAGCGAGCGCGAAGGTTTACGGAAGCGAGCGGCGCGGGAAAAGATCAAATACGAAGCGGTTTGTCTCGTCCTCGGGGCGGGGAGGCAAACGCGCGAAGTAATTACATGCGAGAACTCGGCCTAATATAGTAAACACTTATCTAAATCAGGTACGAAGGAACAAGGTACTATCGCGCCGCAGCGCGGCACGTCGGCGAGCCGGTAGTCGGGCATGTGCTCGCCCGGTTGTTCCAACACTTCTGTCTGCTGTCTCTGGTGCCGGCCGTCGTGCGCCCTCCGACAGAGGATCGGCTGCTACGAGAGCAGTTTGGCGAGGAGTGGGATGCGTGGGCACGGAGAGTCCCGTACAGGCTGATCCCATATGTGTACTGAGATGTCCTGTGTGTTGATGTAAAGGTTTCTGTGTGCACCTTGATCCTTGTACGTTTCATGACGATCCAGTACCCCGAGCTCTCACGTTGATCCCTCTTTGTCTCTGTCTCGTAGATTCTTGTCTCAGCTAGAGCTGAATGTGGTGCTCGAATATACTGGAAAGGACTATGTATTGGTGTAATGCAAATGTTGTCACGAAGGCACAACATCAAAGCAAGGGGATGTTGATAGACAAGGACTACGTGATTAAAGCAGCTGTGAATGGAAGAGCGGTACATCAGGAATGTCAGGAAATGCACGTGGGTGGAGAGGGCAATGTTCTAACAGCTGGATCTCCGGCCTATTTTTAGCAATGGTTTCCAATACATCGTCTCGCGCCCATTGTCGTGGAAGATATAACGCAGATAGTTTTGGTAGCGCCAACAAGGTAGCCATCATGCTGTAGGGCGGCCGCCACATGTTGCGGTCCCGTTGGCGAGGATGCATGGCGACAACCGAAAGCGTCCCCGAGAAAGAACACGTCAAGAATGACTGGTTGAAGTCGCTCATGAAATCCTCACAGGATGCGCTTGGTGATCTTATAAAGAGTAAAGCCAGCGTATCCAGGTGCATCGCCTGTAGGTGTCGCATGAACGGCGGGGTGTCTAGAAAGATGTTGTCTGCTATGATCTCCAGAGAACGTAGTGACGGAAAGAGGAAATTTGGGCCTTTACTTGTGAGATGCGACATAGCCTGCGGACTCAGATGAATCATCAGATTCTGGAGGTTCCTGAAGAGACCAAATGCCTGCATGGCAAGGGGTTCGATGCGGATGGTCGAGGAGAAATCGTGAACGGTGCCGCTGATGACCCGCAGCAGTCTCTCCATCGAGTCTCTGGGCGTGCCCATAACCTTGAAGCCATATATCCACGCCTTGAATGTCAGATGCAGAGCTCTGAGGGAGGGACGAGCGGCACGCATCATGTCCAAGATCACACAAATTTCCTCTGGATCGCAAAGATCAAAGTCGATCTTGAGCGTCCGTAGATTGCGACAGATGGCAAACATCTTGTTGAGAAATACCGTGGTCCAGCGGAATCCTGTGTCGGTCCTTTCGATTCTCACAGAGATAGCATCCACTCGAGGCCCAAAGAGCATGTCCATGCCTTCTGGCCCGCCCACAGCATCAAGGTGGATGTCGAGTGTTCGCACTTCCGGTAGCAAGCGATATCCCGAGGGCATGTGGATGGATAGATCGTGCAAGGTGGCATAGTATGCATCCTTGTCGTGCACAGTGACATGCTTGATGAATCTCGCGTAATGATCCAGACGCTGGGTATTGAGAGCAAAACGAACGTTGGAAGCTAAGTGATGTCGATTGACACCCTACATCGGCAACGTCAGTCGCTTCCATCAGGAAAGATCTTGACTTACAATTACGAAGGTGCTCTTGTGGTACCCGGGGTCGTCGCTTTCATAATCATCATACTTGTCATCTTCATAATCATACACATGATTTGGAGGCAATGTGCGGATGAACGGAGCCAGACCCGCCATCGTCTCCCAGAGAACAGACATTGCTGGGACGTGCAGCGAGCGACAGGCAAGTCCCATATTAGCTACAGAGCGCTTGCAGTCTCCACTCGAATAGAGGGAGCGTGCGATGAGGAGTATGATTTGGTTGGACAGTAAACAGCGACTGGCGGCCGTCGGCGGTGGTTCGGTTTCTACATATCGAAAATAATGCACCATCAGTCAAAACGTCGAGACGACCGGATACATCTTGAGCAGCTTACGGTCAACCATAGAGTATGTCAAATACGGATGTGTCTAAATCGAAGCTCGACTCCGAGAGGCGCTCATGTTCAAGTTGAGGTTGATGGGCGCCGGAAGCCTTCGGGCCGCCAGCCACAATGATTTGTGGCGTGCCATTTATAAGGACCATGTTCATCTTTCATCTTTGGTTCCTGCGCACACAACTGATGCTGATACCTATACTCCGCATTCTAGCACCGAATCCTCCAAGTTACCCGCAATAGCTCCACTAACTTCAAGTCATACGCATGGGCCGGCCACCTTTACAGGCCACCCTTGCCTGCTAATCGCTGAGATATTCGATCAGATTGTCCGCGACGTATACGACTCCGGCAATGGTAAAGGATCAGTCGCAAGTCTCGCAGCCACATGCCAGTCCTTCCATGTCCCCGCCATATGCATTTTGTGGGAGAAAATGGACAGTATTGTCCCACTCATAAAGACGCTGCCGGATGGCTTCTGGGGTCTACATGAGATTCCCCACAGTCTTCCCATCTCCTACCACACTGTGAGTCCTTTGTGGTTTCCTATACTTTGATGGTCACAGTTGATGAACGGTCTGTCCACAGGGCATACACGACGCCTTGCGATACGCCAGTCCAGTCACTACTCAACTCGATATATCTCGTCTTGAGCATTACTCGCGCTTCGTGAGAGAACTCAGCATCACGGAAAACAACGTCAAACCTGCTACACTCGAATATCTGGCGCCTCATGTTCCCAGCGACTTCTACCTCCTACCACGAGCCCGCATCCTCAAACTACATCCATCTAGTAACCTCGATGGTTTCGACATGCTTTTCGGACCTGCGCTCGTGGAGATCGATATCCAGGTCGGCCGTGGTAACTGGGAGTCGATTGGACACAGCATGTCCCTGCTCACGAGGATGTGCACCGTGTGTACCAATCTCGAAGCGCTTCACATGGACATGTATCACAATGGGTCGTCATTTCGCGTCGGCACGTTCATGCAGGTGGTACAATCAATGTACCCTCGGCTCCGCACCCTTCACCTCTCAGCCGACCATGATTCTGAAGGTGATCGCTGCGACCCAGAGTTTACTTCCAAGCCCATCAGTGACCTCCTCCGGACCACTTGTTCCCGTGCGCAAGAGTTTTCATCAGTCAAAATTCCAGTCCCTGCAGATGGTATCATCCAACTCGCGACAAATCCAAACCTCCGGGACGTGACGATCTGCCTTGACGCGACAGAACTCGAACCTCGCCTCTTCAAAGGAATTCATCGCCCATTCTGCGCTTTGCGCGCTATGCGCTTCAGTGTAGAGCACCTGGATGAACGCTCCTTGTCGTTTGTGGGCAATGTTAGCTCACGCATCCTGACCAGGCTCATTATCGATGTCGAAGACGCAGATGTCGAACTTGACTCAACGATGCTTCACGCGCACATTCTGAAGCTGCAGCAGGTTCCCTTCCGAGACACCTTGACTCTCTTTGGTCTGGATTTCGAACACGCAGAACTCTCAAAGGCAGTGGGTTATGAGGCGTTGGAACCGTTATTCGACCTGCCTCATATATCAAGACTGTTTCTTCGGCGCCCTTCCGACGAGCTGGTCCGGACCATTGCTGAGAAGCAGCCGCATATCAAATTGATTGATCAGGTCTCCTGAGAGTCTTTGAGGATATTAGTGGCGATATGTATGCGTAATATAGGAGTACGATAAGATGTTGATGGACCTAATTTAGAGGAGATCCCGATGCTTCTTGTATAGACGACGACCAAGGCCTTGAGCGCTGAGCAGCGAGCGACCTCTAGATTAAGTGCATTAAAAATTGCCGCTTAAATTTCGCTGGAAAACAAGCGAAATTTAAGCAGCCAAAAGCAGCGAGCAGAATCTGAGCTCCCTCCTCGAACAGCGACAAATAAGCGACTGCTCGTCGCAAGCGCTCGCAGATTTTGGCCTACGGCCATGTCACGTTTGCATGACTCACCAACCTGATTGGCTGGTCAGCGTGATCAAATCACGGCTTCATCACGCGTAGTCATCAGCGACCTTTCAGCGACCTCTGGGCGCTCAAAAGCAGCGAAAAGTCGCTTCTTTTCCAGCGACATTTAAGCGGCAATTTTGAACGTACCTATCTATTGCTGACAGTCCGGAGTATGGTAAATGGAAGATCAAAACGGATCAAAACAGTTTGCGTCTAACGCGCTTGTACAGAGTTTCCTTTTCCGGAAACGAGACCGACGTGTCCTACCCGTGATTGCCCCCAAGTTAGTCTTTGACTTGCAAGGTCTTCATGCTGCCACTGGCATTCGCTTGCTCCAGATCTCTCAGTATATCCTCATAATTCTCAAAATGCAACACGGGACGGCCTAGCCAGTGGTATCAGAATATGCAAGACTCTGACTGAGCCGAGCGTCTGACTTTCGAAATAATTAGCCATACTCCTAGCTATGTGCTTCTTTTCAGATGGCTCGCGTAGTGTCTTTTGTGTCGCCACATGATGCGCCTCGAGGATCCACCAGCCCCCTGTACACTCAGGCGGTCCTTGCTTTGGTGCTTTAGGTGGCATGCTAGTACACTCCGCCACATAGAGCGGGATCAGTGGCGTCAGCATCACATTGCTCGTCAAGCGTTCTTTCCGCCACGATCTCGTCTCCATCAGCGAAGAACCTATCAAAGCATGTTTTTATCTCTCCTTCAAAAAGGCGAGGTGACACAGTCGAGCGTTGACACCCTCGTTTCATTCTTGCATACCTGGTCAGTTCAAGGACACCATACGCCCATAGTCATCCTCAACTATGCCCTTCATGCAGCGCGTTATCGATAACGAAGCTTTGTGCTTCAAAGTGCTGACGAACATATATGCAGATGGACGTGGCGCGGGTACATTGGCGAGCCTATGTGCAACATGTCGGTTGCTTCAGAAGAGAGGAATGCCGATATTATGGAAGAGCATGAAAAGTCTTGTGCCCTTGCTCAAGCTACTCCCTCCTAAGAACTGGTACGAAGCGCAGGAAGACGATGGGAGGAATGTGTTGGTGAGTGGTTCCGTTTTCACCCTTCATGTATCCGCGTTCCAACTATGAAGTCGTCGACCCCGTCAGGTACTGTGCCCTATTGTCGCGTCAGGAAACCTACAACGATTCAAATATTACGCTGGCTATATTCGCCACTTTCATTGGGAAGACACTGGTGACGTCGACTATCCGTCACTATGTTCGTTCGTCGAACACCGGCATCGTCCGATTCGCCTCCTCCCTCAGATCCGTCGTCTGTCTCTACACAAAGATTCGCTCCACACACTTCCTGCTCCAGAATGCATTGTCGGCCCTTTCATCGATCACGTGCAACTCGAACTCGTTGACCACGATCCCGAAACAGTATACGGCATTGTCGCTGGATTCGCTAGACTGGCCACTCTTACTCCAATGTTTCATGTCGATGTTTCCCTTGAGTCATCTACTCCGGGACCTCATGCTCTCCGCGCCATCTCATTGCTCTCCCCAATTGCCTCCGTTACGTCAGCTGGTCCGGGCTTCCGCAATCTCCACACATGGAAGCTTTCCATCCCTACGGTCAACGATGCAAATATCTTTTTGAAGAGCATCTCATGGAAGTGCCTTACAGAGCTTGATATCGAGCTACAGGAAGAGTCAGATCTTTTCCCAATCTTTGATATACTATCCGAACGCCATATCGGCCTGCAGCATCTAAGACTGGAGATTCATACAGGGAAGCGAAAAGACGACCAGCTTCGCTGCTCTGTGGATCGCTACTCTCTCCGACCATTACGAAATTTGTGTGACCTCCTGACCCTATCAATCTGTGGCGGGCACATCGACCTAGACCCCATCGCAATCAAGGAGATTGCCGAGAACCTTCCGAAATTACAGGTGCTGAGACTCCTTCCTCGACATCCTGGCAGCCCGCCACTCCCGCTTTCTGCAATGCATTACTTGGCGGAACACTGTCCGGAGCTGACTAGAATCGGGCTGCGTGTACAAGCGTGTTTCTTTGAACATCTTGTTGTCGACCCTTTACTGGCCAAGCACCCCGATATATGTTCCTTCCGCTCAAAATCAAAGGTAACGGCCCTACGTTTTGACGACTCACCTATAGACAGTCAGGCCTGCATGATCGAAACCGTCTTCGAGTTACTCATAAAGTGGTTCCCTTGTTTAACTTGCGTTTTCGCTGATTATGGCGTAGTCCCCCGCGAGTCGACGAATAGCTGGTCGAAGGTGACGAACCTCGTTGTCAAATCTATACCGGAGAGACAGAAGGCGTTGATGACCGCGGCTTCTTCTGCTAGGCTTGCGTAGAATTACTCCTTGACGGCACATATATGATACCTGTTATTGATTGCGGCTCCCAATATACTGATTATGTGGATCTCACAATTGGGCGACTCAGGGCGTAACATTGTGTTGAGCCCGCCTGACAAAGAGATCTCTCGACTAGATGCGCCGTCGCCGCGCTCTGATAACTGAAATACCAAACCAAGAATAAAATAAGAGTCAAATACGACGAAGCAAGCGAGAGAAACAGCTTCAATGATACAGGCTACGAATATATGCACATTTTGTCCATTGTGGTTCATGATCGTCGCCTAGCGTTGCGTCGCAACCCAAGATCTACGACCGCAGCATTGAATTCTTCATTGACACCAAGTTCAAGACCATGCTTCCCCAATTGATCAATAAAGTCGAAGGAATGTACCGGGACGGACGAAACAGGCCGTCCTCTCGGTTGCTGATCTAGCTTCATGGGTCTTCGGACGTATTTGATAGCTTCGAAGCGTGAGACAACCTTTTAGGCGGATTACCAAAGGCAACAGACATACCAGGGCGATTGACATACGGAAGTTTCGTGAAAACAATATTCCTACGCACAAAGTTAGGATTAGATCGATGGAGAGGTGATTCTGTCCAGCGCCACACACATATCACGAAATCCAGAGTGCGCCTTGAGTCCGGTCGTCCGTGTTCGCGCGCGAGAGTCCACACACAGCATCTACAGGGTCTCAATTGCAGGAAGAAGGCATGTATGGGTAATTGAGACTCACAAGTGCTATGAGGTCGCAGAATTTCCCGTGGCGCCCGCCCTCCCCTTCGATCAGGGTCAGCGTTGACGTTATGAGCTCGTTCAGGCGTTGATAAAAGTCTTTACGAGATAATCCAACCCTGCCGTCGAACTTTGACTGATGGCACGTTGAGCGGTACGACATTGAATGAAGAGAAATCGAAGACAAACCGTCCCAATAAGCAGCTCACCAAGTACCACACCAAGAGACCAGATATCGGCCGTCTCGTCGTAGTAAGCTTCGTCGGCATGATTTCCTGAGGGACAAACGAGTAACTCCGGGGCAGCGTACTCTCTTGTCACAATGACCTCGGCTCCTTCGGCGCAAGACAAGCGTCCGTCTCTCATACTCTTACAGGCACCGAAGTCTGCGATCAAGCAATGTCCCTGGCCATCAATGAGGATGTTGGTAGGCTTGAGGTCATGATGCACGTATCCTCGTGAATGCATCCAATCAAGACCTTCAATCTACGATCGTGTATTAGTCGTTACACGTGGACAGCGGTAATAGCGTGGGAGAGCCTAGCGTACCAATTCGGCAGCGACTAGCCACACCTCTTCGGTAGTCAAGTATCCAATATACTGATGCAGATCTCCACCCGAGCAGTATTTCTATGTGGCGTGCATCGTGAGACGGCGGGTCATAATTTCCAAGGAGAGTAGGGCACCCACCGTCAATAAATGAACGTACCCCGTCATGGAGTACCACGCCCACATGTTGTATCCAAGATATGGTCTCAATAAGAATGGCGCCGGACTCTCCGCCAATTGCTGGAGTATCTTGAGCTCATTGATGAGACCGAGACATTCCGTCTTAGTTAGTCGCTCCGCATATCGAATCACCTTGATGGCAACTTTGTGCCTGCGTTCGACATCAAAGAGAAGGTAAACCTTTCCGAAAGTTCCGCTACCGAGCAGAGCGCTTGGGAAGAACCTATCCCACACAGCACATGAAGGGTTGTCGGCAACTTGGCGGTCAGAAAGATAACGGCGGTCATCTTTGAACTTGCTGTTCTTCCGTGGCTTAGTATGATGACCTACTGGGACAACCCCCAAAATGCGAGGTACCATCCAGCGGCCTACTGGAGGCACAAATTCACCATTCTTAGGCACTCTACGGGGTCATGAGCGGACGCCGGGGTGAGCTGATATCAAGGATATACCTTGAGGATGTCGCGCACAATGCATGCCATGTCTCTTGAGAGATGTCATCAGTACGATTCTTTCCGCTAGAACATAAAGCTGTGGCCCAAGTTAGACCAAGTCGGTGCCACTCGGGAAACACCCACGGTATCAAGCCGAAGATAACATACCTGCTCCGGCCCTTCCAGATGGCAATAATCTAGACAGTGTCCCAAAAGCGCGCCGCAAAGGATCTACCTCGGAGTCGAACAGCATGGAAGGCGTAGGCGACAAAGGGATGCAAGAATATAATAGGAGCCACACGGTAACAGGAGAACAGAAGGATCGGCGTCAAGAGTCGGGATGCTTCGCCACATGTGGCTGAACAACGCAGGCAATGACGTTGAAGGAATGACTGTTCTGGTCGACTATGTCAATGCTTTGTGCTCCCTGCACTGCTCTGCGTGAAATGTGGGGATTCTGTCTTGAAGACAAATCACGTCAGGCGGTGTGAATATTCGAAGAGCTTCATAGAGTCCCCATCGCGACATGCGCAACGTGTGAAGCCTCCTTACAATACGTCCTGCTTGACAACGGATTGTGGTAATTGCCGAATATGAAGGCTTCTTCACGGAAATTGATTGAAAGACAGGCTAGATTTGCATTATACGCGAGGAGTACGATGTTCAAGCCAAAGCGTTGCAGTACACTCATGCGTTCTTCTTGAGATGTCGCTTACGCTCGGCCACAAGTAGTGTAGGGTAAACAATTCATCGGCATGTAAATTACCGTTTTTTACACCCCCCAGGTTTCGGGACCCCGTTTTTTACACGGTCAAAAATGTAAATTACAGTAAATCACGGGACTTTTGCTCCTCGGCACGTGACGCCGCTCCGGCGTGTAAAAAACAGTAAAAAAACAGTAAAAAAGTGTAAACATATGTAAAAAAAGCCTCAGGGAGCGTCTGAATTACACGCAAGGGCATACAGAGTTTCTAGTACACGCTGTAAAGTACCTACACATCCCAATCAAATTGCCACAATGTCTTACCATCTTCTGCCGGCTCGTTCACATTTACTAGCTCCGAGTCCTCCTGAACATCCGAGCGCGGCCGTTGTGAATTTCCAGCCCTAGACGACGGCGGCGATGTCGCGAGCATCTTCAGAAGGTCCGGGTCATTAAGGTTCACCTCGTTTGCAGCAACAAACCCAGACTCTCCCCGGATAACTGTAGCAGGCTCATCGAGCCACTCCAGTGTCTCGTCGGCGTCTCATTCCTCCGGCTCGAACCCCTTGATGCTACCTGGTAGTACCAAGGATAGTATTGCTGGTGGCAGCAAAAGTTCGGCCTCGAGGGCCGTCTTGACATAGGCAGGTAAATCTTTTGTGAACTTCTTACCAGACCCAATCCATCCGCTTTCTAGGAAGACGCCAGCATGGCTCATCGACTGTGGTGCCATGGGAGTGACCGAGGGGGATGCTGCCAGAGAGCAGCCTGCACAGCAAAAGATTGGGGGGAAATACAATTGATTGGACTTTATATATATACTAGCACAAAGAGACCGAACGTGGCGCACTAAACCTACGCAGTGGCGTTGACAAAACAATAGCCCGGGGCAGCGTGAGAGGCACAAGAGGCACAAGGCATCGGCCCCAAGTGGTGGCTGGACGCGGGTACCCAACACGTGACCCCTCCTTATTTACATTATTTACACCGCTAATCAGACAGCCTTGTAAAAACTGTAAATTACCTGTAAATTACCTGTAAAAAAGTACGGTGTAATTTACACCGATACATTTGCCTTACACTAGCCACAAGGGCGCGTTTTGGGGCGCACGTACGCTCACGTGATGTGCGTTGGCATCTCGGGACTATGATTGGACTTTAAAGGAAGCAATCTCCCGCCATTCGTCTGCGCAGCCTTGTCTTCGATTCCGTCATCAGCTCTGCTTTCCTAGCCTTCGTCTTCGTGCTGATCTGCTCTTTGATCTGAACGTTGACGAGCTCTGCGCTTTTGTCGTGCTGGACCAATCCGTCTCCGCCATCAAAGCCTTGTACTACACGATATACATCGCTATATACGCCTGCTGCAAGAGATCTCTTATAATCGCCCAGATTATAGATGTCGAGATCCAAGTATAGACATGTGAACTGGGCACTCCTAGACGTCGGTGGCGAGCGCAGCTCGTAGAGGCATGTCCCCTACACCAGAAAGACCTCGGTTGCGAGCATAGCTCGTACAATCACCTGGGCATCGCCCCCATCTCATCCTATCTGGTGGCGGGCCCGTTGTTACTTCTCCGCGTCCCCTTCGGCCGACAGCCTCCTCCACCTGTGCGGTGCCCTGGGTTGCGGCGTCGATGTGTTGGAGACCCGCACTGTCTCACGGGACGATATTGCATCCCTTCATGCCGGCTGACCTCCCGCCGCTTTGGCACCCCTTCTTCTGCCGTCTCAGAGTAGGACCTGGTGCTGGACCTCCTCGCCAAGGTTTTGCACGAGGTATTGGCGGTGTTCGATGGGGTTGCTGTGTATGTCGTGCCGGGCGCGCCAGTGTAGGTGATGTTCGCAGCGGCTGAGGGGTGCCGTTGTTGTGCCTGTCCCGTGTTCTTGTTAGGGCTTGTGGGACCGCTGCCCTGTGGCTAGTTCTGCGTCCGGGACTGCGTGTCGCGTAAGTGTGCGTCTGGTGGGCTCTGGCCGATGGGGAATTATGTCGAGTGCAGCGGGAACCCGGCTCGACTCCTGTGACGGGTTTTGTCCCACTGGGCTTTCCTGCGCAGGGTTCAACCATTGGTCTTCCTTGGAGCTGTTACCCTGAAGCCGAGACTCTTTTTGACATCGCCGCGCGGCGGCGGCGGCGGCGTGGGCGTGCCGAGTAGTCATCAGGGACTGTAGCGACCCATGTATCTAGGTACGGAAGCTGACGTTCCTGATTGGGACCCATGCCGGTATATTCTTTCCTTCCTTCCTTCCTACAATGACCGTTCTGTGACCTGTCTCTTGATGAGGTTGCTACTTCTGACAAGCTGACATCGGAAAAATGGACAGATACGCCGAAGACCGTTACATTCGTTGATGTGAAACGATGCGGTAAGTCGCATGCTACTTTCATCGCACTTATTTGGGACATGGCAAACCGGCCACGCTCATAAATGTGTTTCAGAATTGTGCCGTGGGCCAGGTACAATGGTTTTTCTCTTCAATTTGCTTTGATAGAATGTCATGATGGCCATGCTTCAAGGCATACGAAATAAATTATGATGGATACATGTATTGCAACTATATATCGGTCACACGCGGCAATCACACTGCTGTCAGACAACAAACACGATCTCCATCCACACTGCGTGCGCTCGGTATAAAAGCTCTCTTTGCTTACCCTTTCCAAGCCAGGGCACTATTGTAGCCTCTTCGAACCCTTTAGTTGACTATCGTCAGACCTATAACATGCGCTTCAGCACTATTATCTATCTGGCATGCGCCGTTCTTTCTACAGCTGTTGCTGCATCGCCCACCCCGGAGCCCACCTATGTCCCGCATTGCCCCCGTGATATAGAAGGGCGGTGCTGTGGCATTACATGCGACTGAGGTCCATTGCGCTCTGCGTTCCTCTCCGCTCATCACTGTGAGTAGCAGTCATGTAACTGGTTGGGAAAGTTCCGACTCCCCAGCTGACAGTCATTGGTCTCGTCTTTCAGGGAGCCCCTCCCTCGGCGATGGATTCTAGGCTTATAGATGCATAGATGAGCGAGAGCTGGGAGACGCGCATACCACGGAATATAATAGCAATGTTCCCGTTATGTGTTCTACGGCCATGATATATCCGATCAATTGGCACATTATGGCTACTTGGCGTATTCAGATGCTACGCGGCTGAACACCTAAAATCAGCCATGGGCTGTCAGGGAAGTTGAACGCTTATAGGGTCTTCACTTCGGCACGGCGCGCCACTAGAGAGTTCATTATTGCCAGAGATTGGCAGGATGCGCGCTCCAGTTCTACTTGTACCTATGACTCGTGCAGCGGGTCAATGTCCGGAGAGAAGTCCGTCTGAGCTGCGCCGTAGAACGTGACAAACTGGTTGGCATCTATCTCGCTCAACTGGGCAGGAATTCGATATTAGCCTCTGTGATGCTGCTACACGTGCTATATTCAAGTACTGGTGTCTTATGACACTGAATGAAGTCCTACGAAATCATTGCATCTCCCATCGACCTTCGCAAAACTATTTTTCTCGATTAGTTCTTCGTCAGCATTAGCGATTAAACAATCGTTTCCATCCGGCATATCTCGGTCTGATACTTGTAGTACTGACAAGTTCATAACATCGCAAGACAGAGGTCGCAGACGGCGAGCTGCAATATTGGCAGCTATGTTCCGTGTACGAGTTTTGGCGCAAAAGCCCTTCATTGTAGTCTCCCTCGCTGTAACCCCCCTATCAGCTTTTGACTTGCAACGGCTCGAGTCAGTCAACACCATACGTCCCGCTTGTCTCAGCACCCTTGTATGCGCAATTGGTTTCGCCAACCGCTAGCCTCAAATATGCGGCAGAGCCAAGTCTTGCGTCTGCTGAGATAGACCTCAGTCCATATAAGTGCTGAACAGAACCGAGGATGGGAGTACCTAATGCTCACCTGCGCTGCCTCTTGTGAATCTATAGACATCGCGACAGTCGACCTCGGACGTCACACTGGTAGAGGACATCGTGCCGGCAACTGCTTCTCAGACTATTGTGGATTCGGCTTGAAGTCAAGGTGCGCTTGTCAAAAATGGCAATTAGGCCATATGCCACTCAGCCTGTTTGTATCAACTATTGGCCGCCTTGGTGTCAAAGTTTGACAGAGGTCACTGTCATAGATCGTTGTCAAGACCGTTTCGACAATCAAGGACTCATTGCCTTGCTTATATCATTCCATAATTCACTTGGATGGATAGCAACACATGCGCCATCGCTATCATCGTTGTGCGCGCGCAGCGATCCCCTGGTTGTTTGTTACCGTTCTTTGCGTTCAAAACGAGACGATGTATGCATTATCAACAGTCAGGCGGCCCAGAACCTCTGAGTGCCTAGATAATTAAAGTACAATGTATCCTGTTGTCTTACTTAAGTCACTTTCCACCGTTCCTTTCCCGCTTTGGACTCACCTCTGGCTCGCAGAACTCGTTTTTGAAGATGCACATAAATTACATGTGCGGTATGATTGTGAAGCGTGAACACACTACAAAGCCAAGGATGTCGAGTGATAGACGGGGATCGAAAGGACCTGGATGAACCACTGGAGAGTCGAATGTCTCGCTTGCTTGTGCGAGGTGCCCATGCGTTCGGTTGCGGCCAAGTTGCAGTGTGCGTCCCTACCAGGCCATATCTCCAGTTCGTGATCTACCGCGACAGCAACATTTTGTTTCCCTCATGACTGACCCTTGTGTTTAAAGTTTATGTCCGTCGGAGTGTTGCAACCTGCAGGCGGCGAGATCAGTGTGAGCACTAGTCTAGCAAAGCATCAAGGGGCCAATCTCGACAGTGGCCTCTCAACACTCGCAGAGTCGGTCTATGATTCTATGCATGTAGATCAATGCTCACAAGTTGCCGCAACGTGTACCCAAAGAAAGCGCCGTGACCGTCAATCCGGCGGATGTGCTCCGTTAAGAATTGTTTGTACAAGAGCTATCCAAGACCGCATACCCAGTCACAACTCGTCTATTGCATTGACATTCATTGAGTATGGGAAAGACGAAGCATTGAAACAAACACGAAGGCCTGCATTGGTCGCCGACAGGAGACCCGAAACACGGGGAAGCTGCTTCACATCACGTGATCAACGCTGCCGAGGGCTCACGAGCGTAAGTACTTGAATCCGGCCTCCTGCTCATTACCACCCACCCCACGCACTCCCTATTCACTGGATCGCTCCTCCAATATCAGTCATGGCAGCAGCACCCACGAAACAAGCTCTTCAGGAGCTGTACTCAAACACCCTCCGCTCTGCTCGAGCATTCAGCTCGTATAATTTCCGACAGTACTTCGTGCGCCGAACGGAGACCACCTTCCGGGATATCGAGGTATGCTGTCGCTATCGCTGAGCATGGAAGAGATCTATATGCTTACCCGCTTTTCTGGAAGAGCGAGACAGACTCTGCGAAACTCACAGCGTTCTACAATGACAAGACGAAGGAGCTTGAGGTGCTCAGACGCAGCGCCCTTGTGAACCAGCTATACGGTGGTCGCAAGCTTGTCGTAGAGGAGCAAAGTGCAGAGCGGGAGAGGAGTGACAATTGAGTTTTGTGAGTAGAGCCGCCAGTTCAGTTATGCATTTGGTGCTGATTTGTGCGTTGGTTTCAGCGATTTGCTCTAAACATCCTATTACATTCTGCGCTGCGTTTTGCGATGTATGATTAGGCGTCTTACATGTATGTTCTCTCGTATCTATGCTGGATACAACTACCACTTGTAGTCTGCTCAATCAACATCGAGCGAAGTCTGATAAGGGACGTCAGGAGTCATCGAAGCTAATGCTCTTCAGCGGTGTCGGGGCTCGCCGTCAATAAGACTGAATATTTATTGTTTCGCAGCAACGAAACAATCTACTCGAGTTGGCTGTGCATAGGAGAACAAGTCTCCCTAGCTAACCAGCAGATTCGCTTGCCTCATGCCGGCTCAGATAGCTTTTCTCAGACATCCGTGCAAATGATCGCCTTTTCCTTTACAGGTTGGCTATGGTCCACTGGCCGTTTGTTTCTAATTGCAACCGTGAGGTAGTGTCTTGCGTTGTAACGGGCAGACGCGTTGTATGCAGTTGATCCTGAACTGGGTCTTCTCACCATGCAAGGCTCATCGCATGACCAGGCGAGCTCGTCTGAGATAAGGAATACAGTAGAAAGTGCCGTAATAGCTATATGCTGTGTAGTACTTGTTGTACAATTGCAACATAAATGTGTTTGCTTCCGGACGCGCAATGTCATGGGGCTGAATAGGCGCCCCTCGGGCGACTTCGTTCACTCGAGCCGCCTGCATTGCTCTTCTAAGCCCTGCACACCGACTAAGCTCTCCCAAAACACCCGATCTTAAAGTATGTGCAGACTGCAGACTAGGTCTCACCTTCTTGTTAGTAATAGTGCGAGAATACAGCACCTGGCCGTGCCGACTCCACATTGCGCCGTCGGCCGCCTGCAGCGATAGCCTTCTCACCCTCTTCCCCGAACTTTGGTCTTGCCTGACAACATCAACGCATCCACCATGAGCGTCCGCAATGTCACCCCCGTCCCGCCCAATGTAGAGACCTACAAGGAGAAATTTACCCGCAAGTTCAAGGAGCAGCCGCTGGTCCCCATCGGTCCGTCTGCGCGCCTCTTTTCTCACTGGCTCACTCCCCCCTCCCGCGCCATCTCCCAACGCCCGGCCTCTGCAAGTTTCACCACTGACTACTGACTGCCGCCTACAGGTGCGCTCGCGACCTGCGCCGCGCTCATCACCGCGATGGTCAAGATGCGCCGCGGCGAGGCCAAGGCGGTGAACTACTGGCTGCGCGCGCGCGTCCTCACACAGGGCCTCACGATCGCCGCCATCGTCGGCGGCTCTTACGCCTACGGCCAGACGAAGCAGCAGAAGGAGGCGCACGCGGCCGCCGAGCAGGACGTGGTGCTCGCGACCGCGGCACAGGAGCGCGCGGAGTTTCAGGTGCGCCTCGCCGCCGCGGAGGAGGCGCACCGCATCGAGGAGGAGGAGATGGCGCGTGGTGGGCGGGGCAATGCGCTTCCGGCGGGGGCGGGGCAGGTTCAGCAGGCCGGTGGAGGGTGGTTTAGCTGGTTTGGTGGCGGAGGGTACGCGAGGAGAGAGCAGGGTGCGCCGGAGCCGCCGAAGACGAACGAGCCGCTGCCACCACCCTCGGGTGTGTCGTCTGCGCCTGCAGGCGTGGACATGGTGCGGTCGCCTGTCGCCGACTCCGATGCGACGCCCCCTTCGAGTAAGGGCGTATGGGAGCGGTTAGGCTGGGGTTCGGGTTCGGACAAGAAGTCGTAACCGATCCACAAAAGTATACATTCATGTTGTACTAGTCTCTACACGCATATCCCACTCCATCATTTGTACCGTCATACATCCGCTACCCTTGCGTCGCGTACTCTCTCGTTGCAGAAGCTGGTGGTGATTGGGCTAGCGATCGATAGTAGCCACTGCCATTCAGCACGGGGCGCAAGGCGTTCACTCAGCGGCGACGATCGCGACAACATTCTCCCTTCAAATATGCCTGTATACAAACCTCTTAGAATCCCGAGATACATATACTGGGCATGTCTGTACTCACCTGATGGCCATTGCAGGCCGCGTCTCTGGCAAGCGATTGCGAACGGCCCGTCCCACGGCGGATTGCACCTGCCTAGCCACCATGCAGCGTCGAGATAAACACGATCTCGTCTCCCTCCTTGAGCACGTAGTCGCCCTCGCCCTCAAGCTCCCAGTCCGTGTCATTCACGAGCACAAGTATACCCGGCCGCCTGGTGACATACCCGCATCAGACATAACGCACACGTTTGTTCCAAGGCGAGGCTACGCACACGGTCTCGCCCTCGACGAACAGCTCCGGCCGCTCCGTGAGCAGGTTGTCGCGCAGCCAGTGTATGAGGTACGCGACGTCCGCGGGGCGTCCCGCCGCCGCCGCTGCCACTGCCACATCGCTCTGTCCGTCATTGCTGGGTCCTGCCGTCCCACTGGCTGGTGATGGCAGACGCGCGAGAAGGGCGACGCGGTGTGTGCGCTGGTTGGCGAAGAGCAGTTCGAGCCCTCCGCCGAACTCGACCTTGACGGAGACGGTGGGGATGGATTGCGAGCCCATAGTAATATAGCGTGTATTAGCTGAGATAGTTATGGACGCTTTGACTTAGGTGAGTACGGCAGGGAATCGAGGACGATGAGACTGAAGTACTGAAGAGCGTTGAGGACAAAATGGCAGAGATATGCCAGATCGATCAGTCCCGATCGCAGATTTAGACGAGCGGCAGGCCCGATGCCAGCCTCCGAATACCCTCGAACATTGGTTAGCCTCACTTCGGTAAATCATAACTTATCACCTTTAAGATGGGGAGGGGCCATCATGATGTTAGTGGGTATGCTGCAGGCTGGAGCACTAGTGACCACTAATCGAATATAGTATCACGTATGGTACAGGCGAATTTGTACACCCTGATTATGCAGACTACTAGCATATATATCGTGCGAAGGCGTCCGTCGTTGCCAATCCATTCACCCCCACAGCGCATCGACATCAACCTCTCGCGGACCGCCCTGCCGTCCCTGTCCTTGGACAACACCCTCCTCGTTGTCCGGCGCGAGCTGGATCGCGCCCTGGCGGTGCGCACGGAAGCGCATCCATAGCCAGGAAACGACAAGCGCGAGCGGGTGTGCGATCGTAAACAGCACGGCGGTGAGCTGCAAGAAATCACGTAGTTTAGCTGTGAGCAACAACCAGGAGCAAGAAAGGAGCAAGACGCACCCAGATGGGCATCGGCTTCGGTGTACGGCTCCAAAGGCTCGCGGACAGCCAGCTGGCGGAGAGGCACCAGACGATATCCTGGCGTACAATGACGACAAGGAGGCCTATGCAAGGACGTGAGTCAACGGCACAGAGTCCACACTTAAAGTAAAACCCGTACCGAGTATGTTCACGCCCAGGACAACACCGAACCCAGCCCACTGGTGCGGTGAGTAATGCTGGGGCTCGCCAGGGGAGAACGTCCAGCCTAGGGTGACGCTGCCAAGAAAACCATCAGCTGAGGCCTTAAGGGCACCGTAAAAGTCGGGCGTACAACAGGCTGTACGGGAACATGATCATGAGCGGCCAGAGCATGAATGCACGGGCGGGCGCATGTATCAGTATGATGTCGATAGGCCTGCATTGATAGCGACAGTATGAGCATCAAATGAGGCTTGCAAGCATGACGGACCGCATTCACCTGGACCATGTCGGACTGTGGTATATGAGCAGGTTGAGATTTGCATAGATCAGGAGCACAAGCAAGATTCCAAGTAGGACTGTCGAGACGAAGAACGCTTGGAGTACCTTGGAGAAGCATTAGACCACACATGGTTTTCATAGGTGGAGGGACTGAACTTACCCATGTAATAGCCCATGCTGCCATGACCCAGTTGGCAACTACAAGCGGGTATCCCACACCCTTCACAAGGGACGCCTGCACATAAACAGTCAAAACACATTCTCACAGTCAGGCGCACGACATACCTTTGTCTCAGGCTTCCGCGCAAGCACGAGCAGGACGCAGTAGCCAACCTGGGCGATGTATATTAACGTGATGAAGACAGCTATCATCGAGTTGCTGGGCGCGATGGTCGAGGGATATTCGCGGGATATGTCTCCTGCAAAAATTTGTTAAGGACGGACAATAGGACTGGGAATGGACTACGCACTGAGACTAGGATGCAGCACGAATGCGCACACGATCACGGTGGCAATGTTGATGAGGAGCGAGAGCGGCGTGAGGACCTGCAGCCTGCAGATCAATGTATTTAGTGACTATAAAGTGGACTTGCCAGCACGGTCCAGAATGTACCTGATGAGCGCGAGGTAGTCCCGCACGGCAGGGTGAGACGTGTCGATGGGCAAGCTTTCCATCATCGTTGCATGCACGGCGGAATTTATGAGATAGCGCCTAATTCAACGGGGAGCAGGAAGGAGGTTGAAAGACTGGAGTTGGGGACGATGAGAACGTCGAGACTGGAATTGGGCGGAGGCGGGGGACATGGTCGTGGAGTACCAGACCGACAAGGATGACGTCACTCACACCCTCGGCGCATTCCAAACCGGGAAGACCAAGTGTTCACCTGGAGACGCCACCAAATACAAGCACAAATAAGCACGGACTGGCACATGTGTTGACTTTTGGGTATGTCGGGCAAGCGTCGCTGCCGGCCCGGGTCACGTGGTCATGTGCGCGCCGTAGGTAGCCCCATCGGTTTGTAACCTGATCCACCATTGATCCCTGTCCATCGAGGACGTTGTCTGCCGGCGGTCTTTCCGGCGTCGTTCTCACAACATGTCCATATTCTCAAATGCCTATTAGGAGCAATGTTTCGATTATTGAATTTGAGGTAAGGGTGTTGCTCTAGCGGGAAAGGGATTTATTAATGCCATTCTGCATACTATGCATGGCGCCCACTGGCAGTATGAAGCGGTAAGATGGTTTCTCAGTGCATCTGTGTTAATCGAACCTAGTGCCTGCTTTTGTTTTATATAATACCACAGTGACGAAATCGCTACGCGGTGGTCGGTCTCATTAGACGGACTAGCAACCTCTCGGTATTTGTTGCCGGAAGTACGATGGTTTTACACATGTACCTGGCAAAGTGATATATCAACCTCTCGTGAGACAGCGAGGGTGATATATAACTTTCTCTAGTGAGTGCATGTGACTGTGTAGTATATCATCACCAATATCAAACGAATCACCTCTAACAGAGAATGATATATCTATCATTCTCTCTAGTAGGGATGATTGTTGTATCAGTATGACACTAAGGTTTACGCCAACGGACATCCTCCAAGAAGGAGCAGTTCCGCATACACGGTTAGAGTGATGCTCCTACAGTATAGCGTCCCGAACAGCACGGAAGGCCTACCTGGCACGTTATTTCCACTTTCATCATACTTCTGTGTTCAATCATTTCGCCCTTCTGCTAGATGTGATGGTGATTGGCTTTACCTATTCATAGCTTCACTCTGCGGCTCTCACCACCAAAAGCGCAGGTATACCTTGGCTTCTCAAAGCTTCGGCAGAAGTAATCAGGTCGCAGGTAAGTTATCATGGGACAGCGCCTTCCATCGGACAGAGAATGCGCGCTATGCATGCCACAATATGCGTATCGAACATTCCCCATCTTGTGCGCAGACATGATACCTAAATTAATTCGCGCATATGCATCTCTCGACCCATGGCACCGCGATGTGCGGTGTCAAAGTGGTTTGCCCCAAGATATCACCATGGATTTGTGATGTCTATCCTGCTCCAACCGCGTTTGAGTTCCACATTCAAAGCTTGATGATTACGTATGATTCTATCTAGCTTCACTGTCAATTGGTTTTGGAGCGCATGAAACGGAGATATAGGTATCCGGCATCTGCCTATCTCTACTTCTGCGAAGACTCGGGTGCTCTTACATCGGGTTACATTTTACTCCTGCTCTGTCGCATAAAAAGGTCCATACATCTCTCACCGATTTCTGTATCTCCATTTGCAAGTCCCTGGGTGAACATGGATGCTCACTGTAAGCACACTATGTTCCACGACCGTCGTTCCTTCACTTCACTGCTGGGTCTTCACGTCTTCCTTCTTGTTCTCTTAGTGGTAGTCGAGTTCGCGATTTCGGCGACCACATTCTTGGTGTATGATACTGTTATTAACTTCGCGGACGAGGTAAGTCTTTTTCGTAGAAATTCAAACATCGATAACATGCATACACAGGTTGAATATATTTGGTGGTCAGTAGTTCCGCTCAAGATTGCCATGCGTAGACCTATATTTGACATTCATGGAAGCCGTCGGGGCCTTTGGATGAAATTTGTCTATGTGTTCTTACGGCACATCACGTATCTTATCACAGCGTGCGTGTGAACGTGTGTGAAAAACAACGAAGCACTCACTGATGTTTATAAACATACAGATCCATAGTAGCGCTCTCTATATTTGGCGTACAGGGAAAGACATGGGATTCACGCCAATGCATAGGATGGACACTATTGCAACTTGTATCAAATCAAGTCATCACTATCGTGGTAGAAGGCATTCTTGTCTTTCGCAGTACGTCGCTACGCAGAGAACACCTCTCAATGCCACTCTAATCGCCGTTCAAGTATGTGCTATGTACAATCGCAACAAATGGATCCTCATCGTTATCTCGATTCTCTACGCTGGTGTAGCTGTTACAATGGCCGTCGCCTGCTTTTTGAGTGTGCCCAATGCAAAGTGGACCCCACAATGCTTGGTGACGGATGTACCCCCTATTTATGGTTCTTATTGGTATGTGCGGTACATCTACCTATGAATGCGCTGTGGCATACTGAACAGACCAAAGGATTATATCAGTTTCGTTTGAGACTTTGCTCTTCTGTTTGACTCTCTACAGGTGTTACATCAGTTCACAAAATCTTGGTCAATATTCAATCTTGTTCTCCCTCATGCGTGACGGCACATGGGCCTATGTTATGATGTTCGGTTAGTCGTTTCATGTCGGGCTATGGAAAGCCCGGTGCTGACGTGTACCTGAACAGCGATTATGCTCATCAACCTACTTATGTACCACTATATCCACAGTCCTTTAGCAGGGCTTTGCTTTGTGTAAGTCAGTTACACTCTGATTCTTGGTTTCCACTCTAACTTGTTCTATGGTTATTCCTCTGCCGCAGCTGGGAGTTTGCTATCATGTCATTCGCTGTGAGTTGATGTAATCACACCCTTTATCGTGCTCACTGAATTCCACTGGAGCACAGGGCTCTCACATCCTGCTCAATCTACGGCGCCTCGCAGCACCTGAAAACGAGTTGTCTATATCCGATGACACAAGTACTATGGTGTTCGCTGATTCACAATCGACCCAAATACCGGGGAGGGATTTTCGGGTGTCTCCAAATAACATAGAGCTCCAAGCCATACAGCGGGGGGATGACATAGCCATATCCGACTCAGGCGATGCCACTTTGTTGATTAACTAGTGTCTGCACGTGTACCTTTCGCCTGAATCAATGTATGACGATTCAGTTTGTATTGATCATACGTTACGTTTACATTCACGCTGCGCAGGTTTCGAACACAGCCGCTTGCGATTTCCGATAGTCATCGAGTAAACTGCCCTCTCGATAATTTTCTGAACCACAGAATGAATTTTACACCGGTTCGGTCTCCTTCAAACCCAATTCCTCAGCGAGAATCTGTAGGGCCTATATTGCAAGCGTCAGCTGGGACATATATGAAGAGGCCAAGTTACATACCAGGTATTTACTGAAGGCACGAATCTGTGGCAACAGGCCCAATGCGAACCAGAGACCCGCGTGTCCTGAAGGCCGGTAGGCCCTCATGTGTTCTCCTTCCTCATCTATCCCGCCGAGACGAAAGCCAATGGTGTCTGTTATCTCGGGGCCAAAAAGCTCCTTGATGTTGTCAATCACAGGCTTGTAGCCAGTGCTAGCGAGATCGGGAAAGACTTAATAGAAGCTGGTATATGTATATGCAGATACTGACGCAAGGACAAGAACATCCGCGCCGACGCGGGACTCATCTTCGAAGACCACGCTGTCCGCTTCGAGCCTGGCAATCGAACCGCGTTTTACCTTGGGAAATGCATCAGTAAAAGCTGATGATGTTGAGTGCGAGTTCAAAAATTCTTCTTACCTCGACCTTGCCATCAATAATAAGTCGGCCACAACCCAAGTCCATCACTACGAGCACTTCACTATACATGACAAGAAGCGAGGGTAATGTATTACTCACTGGAGCCCGCTCCCGCGCGCTCGGCAACGAAGCCTACTGCGCCAACTTCTCCACCACCGGGCGTCAGCTCCCAGGTAAGCGCAAAGCCAGCGCGCTCGAGGCCATCAAAGAGCTCTTTATCAAACGCTTTTGCCACCTTGGTACTACCCGCGGCAGCGAGTTTGAGACCCAACCGTGTAGGCATTGACAGGCTCCCAAAATCCGCATCCTCGACCGCAAAGCGTTCATTATACACCCTGTCGTACACAAGCGTGTCCGCTGCATTCGCACTGATAACACAAGTGGCGCTGCGCTGGATCATGGTCACCTGCAGGGTGTGAATATGAGAATGTACACGTCCGTGAAGCGTGCTTAATCGACACATACACTGTGTGCACCTTTGGCAAAGAAGTCTATGCACATGTCGGCGGCAGCGTTGCACTAAATACGCGTCGGCATGCGGACATATTTGCATTTAGTGGTGTCCAAGTACACAACGAAGGCATGCACGTACCGCACCAACAACCACGGCGCGTTTACCTTTGAATGGGGTCGCACCGCGGTGATCATCCGAGTGATAGACAAGCCCGATGAATTTCTCGATCCCTGGAAATTCCGGCTTATATGCCTTGCCGTTCCCGGTTGCCATGATAATGTGCTTCGGCCTTAGGGTCTGCCTTTCTCCGCCTCGATGTATGGTCACAGACCAGTGTTTACTTGCAGAGTCGTATTTTGGAATGGGAAGCAGCTCGCATGAGGTCCATACAACAAGATCCTCTCCGGTAGCGTAGGCCTCTAGGAAATCGGCAAGTTTGACACGAGGAATATACTTGGGGAACAATTTGCTATGTGTACATTCGTAAATATTGAGAAGACGAAATGTAAGAAACCTTACGGATACGGGTGATAGGGTACTAAGCCGGAGTCAGCAGGAAAATAAGACGAAGAGATGTCAGGTTTACCTTCACTACCGTGCGCGGGAGTTTGGAGATGAAGGTTGCTGTAGCTGAGAAATGTATAAGCAGGATTGTAAGACGACAATGACGAGGGTACTATGACGTTACCGGTTTCTCCAAACGTCACCGATTCGCGCATCCTTCTCAATCACGAGAGCTCGCACATTTAGTTTAGTCAGTCGCGCTGCGCAAATCAGGCCTGTGAGACTACCGCCCACTACGAGTTTGACATTAGCTGCAAATCGTGAGATTCGCGACAAGCCCGAAACAAACCAATGAGTACGGTTGGATCGCCCTCGATCGCCCCTTTGCGCTCGCGTTCGATCTCATCCCATGTAACAAAGTCAGGAAAAAGACCCGTGGGGCGCACGCGGGGCTCCTCATGCCCCTTGATTTCATGGAGCGTGAAAAGAATCGTCAATGCCTTCCATTCATGCCTCTGCTCCTCGACAAGACGGACAAAACCTCTCCCGCGACCCGGGGGAGAGGAGATTGAATATTCAAAAACAGCCTGTATGGCCTGCGCACTGGGATCTAGGGGGGAAGAGACTAATGCAGGAGGCCCAAGAGTGGAGGTTGCCTGAACCTGGAAGCTATGAAGTCCAGCTGCGTTGAGTCGGGTTTGACCACGGATAGACTCGCTTAGGAATGTGGTAATATTCTCGTTTCCATTCAGGCATCTGTAGTCCCACGAGAAGCATAAGAGGTCTGGTTGAAGGTGGTTGGCTGATCACGTCGACATATGCTCTGAGAATATACAGGTCGTACCTCTCATCCATCCTGCTGCTACGAGCGACCCCGCAAAAGCGTCGATATCTGCATCATTGGCTGCGGCTGCCAGACCCTCGAGCCACTGAGTGGCGATGTAAGTCGGATCGGGAACGGGTCCATGATAGTCCGTGGGCGGCATCACGTTGAAGCGGCACGGAAATTGAGCACCAGCAGGGCAAGTCGACGGCTACTGGTGAGAGCACTGTCAAGACAGTACAAGCGAAAAGGAAGAGGAGGAATGGCTAGACAGCGCCTGTATCACCCGAGTGTTGTCCGAGCCACGCCCGATCATGCGATACAAACCGCATACAACAGCCCTTCGTACAGAGCATCATCACCGTCGAAGCATCAGGATACTAGAATTCCTTCTCGGTCCTAGGTTCAGTGTCTCCACCTGATGTCCCGTTCAGGACGCCCGCGGAAAAGCGAGTAATGTGATTGCGGCTGTGGGTTCGGTGGTCAGCGCCTCGCGAATGTATGGTGTCTGCCGGCACCTTTCGATCTGATGCTCTTTGTTTCCGAGAATGTTGCATGTCCAGGCCTGCGGAAGTTCATCAAACTAAGTTCATGCGAAGGCTCGCGGGAAGTGATCATATTGGTGACAGCCTGTCGGTAAAACTAGCCATTTCTATCATTCGATGGTCCACATCGATGTCCTGCGGAGGGTCCCATTGACCATTGGCATTCATGAATGCTGAGAGTTCCGTCAACGGTGCTTCAGCTTCAGAACTTGGAGCCACCTGCCTGATGGAAGTCCACTCCGCGCTCAAACTCGCCCAATTTCAATCTGATCGGCTGTCGCGCATCACAGAGGCATGTATTCTATTTTAAGTCTTTCGAGAAGCGGATACAAAACTGAATATTAAAAAAAGGTCTTTCGAGTTGGGAGACTGGATGCTTTCCCGCAAGGGTCTGGACGAGATTGCAAAATAGAATCGACGTCTAAATCTTGTCGGCTATCCGGCTGATCTGACTGGCCTCGAAATGGACTGTTGCCGTGCTGCTAGACGCCGAAGAGTCTGGATTGTCACGTTTGCATCTGGATTGTTACCCTCCCTCTCCAGGCCAGATTGGGCATTGCAGACGTTGTTTTCGGGCTCCGCTCTGCACAATCATTCTGCTTACCTCATCCATTCCTGCCCTCGTTCAAAGTCACTTGTTGGTTTGCATCTGCAAACCGTCCAAATCCTGCGGGAAAGCATCCCATGTCTTCCTAAAGCGGCCTGTCTCCGCTGTACGTCATGATGTTTGTCATGTCTTATCTCTTCGTGAGTAAATAAACTGCGATGTCGGTTTCATGTGGACTTGCGATACGCTGTAGCGTGAACGTGTTCAACCTACATTTCCAATGACAGTCCAACGACACGTTCTTTGCGTTGTCTTCTGCCGTCCAACAAGCTCTCTTCAGAATGATATCCGAAGACTGAGGATATGGGCGTTTAGATAAAAATTTGTCCTCATCAAGACATGTTCATGAGGTCGGCGTTGTTGGTGTGAATCCCCTCTCTCAGTGGCAATGATATCAAGGAGGTGCGGATCTTTGCCACTCTATTATCATATTGGTTTTACCAGTAGGCGGTGAAGGTGCCTAGTCGTTATATATCGTGTTAGTACTTGAAGCTCCAGATTCCTGCATTCCGAAGTTCTGCCATCATGAGTGCATCTGATAATGTCAACTTATTGTGCGTCGTACCGACGAGTCATTAGCGTCTGACTTCTGACTTTCTCCTTGCTATAGGGCAGGGCCTCAGGTATGCTAGATTGCTAGCGAAGCGAAATAATGTCTCACCGCTGCTAACAGCTATTGGGAATCCTCTTTGATTGGGGTCTTCAAGGTGTTCTGACAGTGCAGATCTGTAAGTGCCTTAATCCAACGACGACGGACTCGCTCACGGCTTTTCCTCAACCAGATCTATATCATATCTACTTCCCTGGCGATCGCCTCATGCTCAAATGCCTTGGTATGCCTCACAAATTCTTGTTGAAAACGTCGACTCATGATACATTTGAACAGTGTATGGCATGGCCATCTTCGCAACAGTCCAGACAGGACTGATCACCGCATATGCATTCGATATATATGTATACAATAACGGAAACGTAGCGTCTATGATGGCCACGCACGATGCATGGTTCGCAGTGCCTGTCATGTCGGCCATGGTATCCTGTACAGCGCAAATATACTTCGCATGGCGTATATGGGTGCTCGCGCGGTCCCACATCCTTGCAGGGATCATAATAGTGGTTCGTACTCTCGTGTTCAGTCGCAATTCTGCCCCTTTCACAGAGCATGCCGTCTACAGCTCTCTCTAGTCCAGGCGGGAGCTGGTTTCGCAACGGGGATCAAGGTTAGTTCAGGTGTCGTAGCTTCTATCCCGCATTCGACGAGGGTTAACTGTGATTTCAGGGAAAGGTACAAGAACAACATGACATATGAACTTAACCACTGTGAGCTGACTGCTATACTCCCGCTGAAAGATCGTACAGCATGCGGCATCATCGGCGGTATGGTCGCATACATCTAAAGCAATTGCGACTTGAACGAATAAAGGTTCTTTCCAGGAGAATAACGCGGCAGATCTCCATGCACTGGTTGGTAATGGGGCTCTCATTGTGAGTCTTTTGTCCAAATACTCTCATTATGACTAGTCGAGCTCGAGATATGCAGGTATTCCTGCTCGGAAGTGCACTCGTGGACGTGCTAATTGCAATAACAATGACGATAGTGGTGAGGCATCCGTAGCTCGTAGACGTCAAGCCCTACCTGATCCTGCTGTCGGCACAGTTATTCAAAATGAAAACGGGCGCCCCACGATCTGATGCTCTCATCAACAAGGTCATCCGTCTAGTTGTAGAAACAGGAACGCTGACAGGTGCGCTGTTCCGAGACAAGATTTTCATGCGCTTGATCTGATTTTGATTGTTGCAGCATTATTTTCTATCGTACTGCTCACTCTGTGCCTCGCCCTTCCCGTAGGAGTCGTCATTCATATTCGCATCTGATTAACATTGACGCTCACGGTACAGGATAACTTGGTGTACGAAGCTGCGTGAGTATTTTGGAGCCTTTTCAATATTGCTAACTCCAAAGAACTTCATATCGGGCATTCTAGTGCCAATGCGTTCGCTAAGATGTGAGGATGTGTCTCATTGATCTGGTATCCCGCAATGATATCGCATGTATCTTACAGCTACGCAAACACGTTCCTAACGAACGTGATTAATCGCGCGTTCCTGCCAGCACCCACTTCCGTGGAATCAAACAGGAGTGTATGGCTGTCTTTCCAAGCTGCGCAACCGAGCACCCTCGCCACGACACCTTCTACTTCACTATCCGCTGACGTGCCCGGGCGGATTGGAACCTCTCACGGTGATGAGTCGGGGGACATCACTCTGTATGAACTTGGGTCACACAAGGTCAATGACATATTGGCTTCGTCATCACCGGTAATATTGGCTGCAGGCGATATACAATGCAGAAGAAAGATATCTCAATAATCAAGGGAACAGAATGCGAGGTTGTTGCAAGCACTGTCTAATCCCGGTTTCTATGATAACATAGTGACGTCTGCTGGTTTGAGTTCCTGTGACTAACTATCCGATTTGTCTTCAGTCCGTGATTCCATTATTCCTGTATGGCTTGATGACAGTACTACTCACGAATATAATGCCGACTCCTTGTGTTCCGTGGTGGACCCTTTTGGATGTTTTCTGTACTCAGCCTCCTTTATCCTAAGTGCAGCGCCGGTGCACCAATTAGCTGAGGAAGGTCTTCAGCATCTACAAGTGCGATACGCTGAACAAGACACTATCGCAACGCGCAGCTGACGAGCGAGTCGTTCCATGATATGTTAAGTCATTCATGTAGAAGATAGTGAGCACTATAAAGAACATTGCTCAGACATATCTCGAACGACGTGTTTGAAAGAGAATACATGTGTGCCCAACGAGTGTATGACATATGGTATATCTTATTTCCCCCCAAAATAAAGATTGTTGAGCTATTCCTTTCCTGCCTCCTGCTCGGTGTACAAGGGATAGATTCCTCGATAGCCTGCCAGCCTCCCAATCACACCGCCTGGAAATTATGTGGGTTGCACATGAGGAATCAATTAGATTGACAGTTGGACCGCGATGCTCACCAAACATATATGCTGCCATGATTGCGAACGGCTTCGGAAAATGTCCGGGCGCAGATGCGGCTTCATACCAAATAACCATGTCCTGCAGGAACGGGACGGGCTTCTGCGCGACGAAGTACGAGTTGAAGATACCATAAGCGCTGTTGATGTTCCTTTCGTCCATTCTAGAAGCAGGTGCGTGCAGGGTCAGATAGCTCTACCCTATGGACATAGGGGATACATACCCCCTTCCAGGTCGCGCCGTAAACTCTACGATTACATCTTCCTCACTCGTCGGATCGCACCAGAACTGGAAAAATGACAACGCCGCCCATGTTGTGCAGGCCTCTGGACAGTATGAGGTAGACATACTGTGTGCACGGCACCTTTCGGAAGCTCTACAACAGCGCCAGTGTGGGCCACACCTTCCTTGCCATTGCAAACGTAACACATTCTGCCCTGGATCTTGGGTTGGTCAGTCCAATGTTAAGGGCGTATACGGTCAACCACAGCACGCATACCACTTTGAAGAGTTCGTCTTGCTCCATGTGGAAGCTGTTCGGGATACTACCATTTGTCGTGTGAAAAGAGACGCTAACATACTCACTGAGGCTTAGGGAATGCACCTAAACATTTGTGAGTATTGGCAGGGGTCGTGGACGACCCTACAACAGGTAGTATGACACGTACTAGATCCACGTCCAACACAATTGAAGGGATCCTGCATTCGGTAATGGGAGCGAAACCTGTACTCTTCATCGTCCATACGAAGTGTTTTGTGCCGCCTGCAACGACCAAAGCCGACGTAGTAACCCTCGCTATCGCGCTCTAGAGGGACCATCGGGACCTAGGAGTGACCGCAAATTGGCAGATAGTACCAAGACGAAGGCTTGTTCAGTACCGACCTTTGGAAAGAGCCAATCTCGCAGCAGGAGCAACATGGTGTCGAGCCAGAATTGAGTAGACGGCTTTCCGAGAAACTACATATGTCCCAGAACTTCCGTCGAGATTTGAACCCCCCAGTTGATTGACACGCGCGGACACTTTCCACGTCGAAACGTGTAAGGCATGATTATGATACTTGCAAACTGTCCTGAATTTTCCCCTTGATCGGTGAACAAGGGCTACCTGGTTAATATGGCATTATTGTAGTACTACACAATCACATTGCCCCCCAGCAGTCCGAATTGCGGCACCTGTGAGTGAAATAGGATTCAGACCGCTAACGGTTCCTTCGTTCTCACAAAGCAGTCTGATCGGGTAACAGATGGACCACGAGGGAAACTTACGAAAACAAGTGCTGCATCAAGAAACGTGAGGTTCTTCGTTTTGAAACGATATCTCCATGTGGGGAGTGCTGAGCGGCATCTTTGGTTCATGGATACACGGGTCTATACTGCCACACACTTGCAAATTCGTATTGCTTGTGTGTATCAGTATCGATCCCCATTGGGAACAGAATGTGGAAGAGTATGGGCGCTTATCATCCGAAGCTCAGGATCATTCGAATGGAAGTTTTCTGCTTCCGCCAGCGCCGAGCTATCTGTAAGACCTGTTGAAAAAGTTCGATATGTACGGACTGGGGCGGAAACGGGCGAACTCTGGGAATAATGGCCTACTTTGAATTGCGGCTGCGACAATACATTTCCGGCCAGGTCGGCGGGATCATGGACCTGAACCAAACTCCGCAACAACGCCGCTATGCGTACCGCTATTCTGAGGTAGATCTATCGATATAGAAATAGCTGTTAAGAGGTCTAATTATGTGAAATTGACTGTCATATCAATGAATGCAGAATCTGCGAACGTATACTCCGACTAAGCCCGATCACTGTTCTAGCTGATACTCGCCCGAACTTCGGGTCAGCTCCGATACCACCAACCATACCGTAATACTACATCTCAAGCGTGCAGCGCTCGTGGGGCTTGCTCGTGTACACATCCTCGAAGCCTTACAATTTTCAGATCGGAACCTCTCAACGAGATGATTGTTACCATAGAATCATGGTTCGTTGTGACATCTCTGGCTACATTATGGATCGTGTTGATCATTATAGTTGGTTACGACATCGTGGAACACCCGGGTGTTGGAACTTGGGATTGTGATGAGTGCATGCCATCGTACTTGGAATTGTTCGTAGTACCTCGCAGACTATGCGCGAGTCTTTTTGATGTTTTACATAGTGCAGACAAGCACGATATGTTTTTGTCGGCATCAACACTGGGTCGTGTGGAGCAGCTACGGCATAAATCGTTATGTTTGACTTGTGGTATAGCTTTACAGCTGCTGGTGCGCCTGCTGCTTTTCAGACTTGGAACCGGCGGTCATCAAACATTCTGACTGTGCCATAGACCGATGTAAGTAATGGCCAACGTTGTTCCATTGCCGCGCAGGTGTGGCTTAAATCGAGTCTTTACACATAAGTTGAAAAAAGGCATAAGTAGGAGGACAGAGGCACGAATACGCATTAATGTACCCTGATGCTCTTAGCTTTCCAGGAGATTGGAGTGGAGACTGTACGGGACGTTAGACTCGGAGGGAATCCACTAACAAGCCAATCGTCACAATATATCCCAAATACCCATTTGACTGTTAGTGCGTCAATCAGAACGTCCTTCTATGCATGTGAATTACAGGACATCATAGTACTCACGTTAAATTTGCTCCAACAGTCCTCCGGACTGTCTACATCAAGCGTTAGAAGCTGCCATACAAGATGCGCAGCGCATCCCCCCACGCTGAGTGCGAAGTAGGTCCAGCCGTGACCCGTGGACATCCCCGCGTAGGTGAGCGTTGCGACGAAGACCGTTGCGAAGACCGTGAGAATAGGTTTAACCCAATCTGCAAAGAGGAGCGCCGTTGATTTCACTCCGGCCTTGACGTCGTCTCTACGATCCTGTGGATACGGTATCTGAGTGTCAGTGGTCGAGTTGAAATGTATTGGGCATTAGATTACCTGGCATGCATAAATTGTATCATAAACGATTGTCCAACTACTCTGCAAGGTCAATGCGCGCATCACGAGATGGCGCTCGAGGCACTAACCAGATGGTGCCGAAAGTCAAAATGTACATTGGCACAGATTTGATGTCGCCAGGAGCAACGATGAGCCATGCCGTGGGAAGCCCCCAATTCATTGCAAGCCCTTAGCGTATAGATCAAATATGAGCGTGTCAAAGATCGCAAAAAAGGGCCTACCAAGCCAGGCCTGCGGCCAATATGTGATGCGCTTCATGAGCGGATAGAATGCGTGCAGTGGGAATACACCAAATGTGCCACAGAGAAAACTGTATACTTCTTTGTCAGCTAGATACCTTCTGATGTACGCAGCTACTCACGCGGTACTGTTCACCCGTGACAGAATATAGAAGAACACAGCGACTTGAAGAATGAGGAATATAGTAGCTCCAAGCACGGAGATGGTGCCAGCAGCAAGCGGGCGGTTCTTCGTGCGCTCTGCGTTGTTCTTGATAACGAAACCGATTGAAGGACACAGGAATCCACCCACCGACTTGGCGGTCAAAGTCACGATCACAAATGTCGTTAATGGTACATGCTGCACTGTGCAGGATCGTGCTTCCTACAAGAAACATGGCGAACAGCGCTGGGAGCCTGTGCCAAGGAGGAATGTTACTCCCTGCACTCATGAGATAACCCCACACTGCATAGCAGATTCAGTGACTATCAAACTGAAGAATGAGGAGCGAGAATGTATGTGCTTACCGCAGGGCCAGAACACGAGCATAGAACCCGTAGGAAACTTGTGCACTCGGGCAAGTTCCCAATATGGCCTCCACCAGCTTTGAGCAACCGACTGTGTGGGAGGAGCCTTCATCGATGAGGTCGCCATCCTTGAGAGAACACTTTGTCTGCACAGCTGCAGTCGGATTGCTTGCGGTATGTTTATATGATGTCTTCATTCAGCGGTACTGCATAGCTCACGCATGATGGGTGCGAGTTACTCTCACTTTGGCATATCGGAGTGTTCACACTAACCATCTCTGGGGTCTTGACCTAGATCAGAGCGGTCTGACCATCAGCGTGTGGCGGTCTCGAGAAGGTTATGGAGCTGACACTCGCTTGAAGAACCCACCCAATTAGGTAACTAGGTTGTGTTTGCAAGAAGTTAGGTCTTAGCTCGCTTGAAGTAGAGAATGGGAAGCCCATATTTGTCCACTGTCGCCTCTATCATAGCGCAGCAACAAATATACGAGGCAGCCGGATGTATCACACGCCGGGATTCTCAAACGTGGACCGTTGTGTGTACCACTTACACATGATACCCAGGGGCCGAACAATTTTAGCATGACGTTTTCTACACACGTCAAAAGATGTTTACATCGTCGTCGCGCTCGTGCGAAAGGCGCGGGAGTATATGCCGGCATGATAATCAGAGACTATATCACGTTGGTGACCATATCTTCGTAAACGGTCAGAAATGAGAGAAGGCTTTAGGGCTGAGGTTCGTGAGGTGTGTGTGTGTAGGCAATTGTTTTCGGAGAGTGTCCTCGGACTGCGGTCTCTACGAGCATGTGATAATGACAACTCCTGATTGGCCAGCATGCGATGTCCGAAGGAAAAAGGTGTTCTTTGAATTTCAATCGAAAATACCATTCCTACCTGACGGCGTGTGGATCGTGCCCATGCTCCGGTCGGCGGTTCACGGGTCCTGCCGGCGGTGACAGTTCTTCTAGTTTCTACAACTCCACACTACTTCGCCGAACACTTCCTTCCCTTGGCTTCTTCCTGTATCCCACCTCTCGGACTAAGTAGTGCTACGCGTGGTGGATAGTAGGAACTGAATACGAACCTAGACTGACAACAGATCAGCTGCAAGGCGTTCAAACGAATCCCGGAGAAGGCGATAAGTACTTGTGCTGATACATATGCGCGAAGCCCGGCACTTCTGGAGACCACGGCGCGCTTTTCGATAGGTGTAGATTTCTGATCTCATATATGCACGCTATATTATGATCTAACTGAGGTCGAATCATAAGGCCGTGTCTCGGGAAATCGAGGTCTCATGCATAAGACCGCGTGTCCTCAATGTGCTCGACAATCTATCTTACATCGCACAAAGAGCGGCAAGCCGAGGTTTTGAAAACACTTTGGGTGACCCAACAGAAAGGCGCCGTCGCATGAGGATTCATGACGGAATGTTCGCAGGCCGTTCGCAAGTCCGATATACATGCCGATCGCTTATCAAGCAATAGTACTTTTGAAAGCTACAGGTACTTTACAAAATAGTGAACTGGAGAGAAGGAAGTGAACTAACGCACCACACGTCTTTTACATCGCTCTCATATCGACTTCATCATGCCCGCTTTACAATCTAACTCACTCATTGTCGTCACAGGCATCACAGGCTACATAGCGAGTCACGTTGGACTCGCGGCACTCCAGGCAGGACATCGCGTGCGCGGTACCGTGCGCGATCAGAAACGCGCTGAAGAGCTCAAGAATGCATATGCGAAACAAGGAGTCGATACTACCAAGCTCCAATTCGTCGTCGTGGACGATATCACCAGCCAGGTACAGCTAGCAAACGCAATCAAAGGTGCGGACGGCGTCGCCCATGTCGCCTTGCCGGGAGATATCCTCGAGAGCTCGGACGACATGCCGCAACAGGCAGTCAAGGCAGCTGTTGGGCTACTCCAAGCCTCTGTAAATGAGCCGTCCATAAAGCGCATCGTGTTCACTTCCAGCTCGCTTGCGAGCTACCAGCCACCGGCCCTCCTCCCAGAGCCTGTAACGGATAAGGATTGGAACGACGCGACTCTGCAGGCTTGGGAGAATGCCACAGCAGAGGACAAGACGAAGCCTGTGTGGGGATTTGTACGCTACACGGCCGCGAAGATTCTGTCTGAGAAGGTGGCGTGGACATGGGTGGAAGAGAACAAGGTACGCATCCCGTATATCGAGTCTCGCCATGTCCCTCTTACAGTGAGACATCGTAGCCCCCCTTTGACATTGTGACAATACTGCCAAATGCAAACTTTGGGCCTGTTCTTTACGGAGAGCCACGTTCAACCGCTGTCTGGATCCATTCCTTCTTGAAGGGAGATAGTGAATGGGCACAATCCGTCGCAGCTCGTGAGTATCCACCCACACCATCCAATTTTGGCAGCTAATGATGAATGCGGTCAGAGTGGTTCATCGACGTCCGCGATGACGGCCGTCTCCATGTCACCGCATTGACCAACCCCTCACTGAGCGGCAGGCGTATATGGGGCGTGGCGGAGCCTACCGGGTGGAACAAGATCCTCGCTATCCTGCGGAAGAACTTCCCAAGGGCCAACGTTGCGCCCGATATTGTCGGCGAGCAGGGTGAGCCCACTGAGCAGAAGATCGAGAACACGGTGGCGACGGAGGCGTTGGGTGGCTGGATCAGCTTGGAACAGTCGCTAGTTGACACGGGGAAGAGTGTTGGATTTTGAAGCAGTGAATCAGTAGTTTCGTTGCCAGCCTCCAAGGATTGTAGACAGCACTGCATCACTTTTACGAGCGCTACCTTCCCCAAACTACTAAGTCCCCGCGCGGTGCATAACAGTGGCGACTGGACACGAGTCTAACGCAGACCCCAATAAACGATCTCTGTATTGTGCCATCAAGAGCAAATATTGGTAAACAACTACAATCAAGTTCTGGCCTAGCGGACTAACTCCGAACATGGAAGCCAAAGCAAGCGCGCAACCTATTTTTACGAGGACAGAAGAATCTTCTCGCTTCGTCAGCCGCGAACCGGGCTCGACCAGAATGCTATTATGAACCTTACGGTGATCAGCCGCGACCCACAGTGCTTACATAAGCTGCCTGGTGCATAGCTTGGAAGTAGGTCGCACGTTGTCTCACCATTTTGAGAGCGAAGTATCTTATCGTTTCCTGTAACTTGTGACAATGATCTCTTCCTCATTCGCGGAGCTTTGAGGAAACAACGTCACAGTCGGCTGGGGTTTCATAAAACCCGCCACATGTGCACTCATTAAGCTCAAAGTTTACAGGCAACAACAAGAACCGTGGTCCGTGGAACGCGTTCTCCGTCCATTTCAAATGTGTGGCAGTTCTCATCTTGCTTCCCGCTGTTCGCGACAAGAGTGCGCCGCAGTTCATCGTGTTATACGCCCCCAAAAGAGAGCACGCTGCTTATTTACTCTGCCGTTCCTCGACCCAGTCCTGCCTGAACGTTACAGTCCACACGCCACTGTATTACCACTGTGCAAGTCATGGCCGACTCGACCAGGACAACAGAGGCCCCCCGCGGTCCTGTTTCCTTGTCTGCGTGGCGCAAGAGTGTCCTTCTCTTTGTCTTCTGCTTTGCTCAATTCATCGACTGCTTCAGTACGACAGCACTCATTGCAGCTGCACCACCTATCTCGAACCAACTGCACATTGTGAACGGTGCTTCCGTTTGGCTCATCAGTGCTTATCAGCTTACATTTGCTGCTTTACTGCTCAGTGTTCGTATTCTTGAGTAAACCTTGATTGAAGTCGCTGACAGACATTTCAGAGCGGACGACTAAGTGACCTGTATAGCCCAAGTAAGCAATCGTACTGAGCGCATCATAAAACAACTCAGCGTTTTCACAAAAACCCACATCGAATGGTGGACATTTAACAGAATGGGTATTCATCATCGGGTCTCTCGTCATGTCCTTTACCTCTCTGGGCTCGGGATTCATTCGTGTACAAGTTCCTTTGCTTATCCTTCGTGCCTTGACGGGCATCGGTGAGCAACCTTGACATGTCCTACGATTTGATATTGCTGACCGGTCTTATAGGTGCAGCACTCAACATCCCGTCTGCAATGCACATTATCGTACATATGTACCCTGAGCCAAAGGTACAGTCCCGGGCGATCGCAGCATTTGCTGGTTCTGCCGCGGTTGGGAACGGTTAGCGGAGTCACCCGACGCCCTTCAGTGCTGCTCACTCAAGATTACTCCAATCACAGTGATAGGACTCATCATCGGTGCCGCCCTTGTGACGTATATCTCATGGCCATGGGTGTTCTACTTCATGGCGATTGTGTGTTTCGCTATGGCGGCAATGGTTACTATCTTACTCCCGTCTTGGCGAAATCCATATACAGAGGGCGAATCATCATACAGAAAACTAGGGCGCCTGGATCCAATCGGGGTGACATCAGTGACAGGTAACGCTCCTAAGACTTTGATACAATGATGGCTTCAGCTGCGCTAGTGTTATTCGTTTTTGCTGTCACCTCAGGGTCCATTGAGGGGTGGCGAAATGCCCGTACAATTGCGCCGATCATCATATCTGGCGCCCTCATCGCATTCTTCTTCCTTTGGGAGCCTCGTCTTCCAGAGAATGCTGCCGCGGTGTACGTGACGCCTCTGGCCTCCGTGCGGTATATGCTTACTATCATCATCTAATTCAGGCCGCCAAAGATGTGGAAGTACGAGAACTTCACCCTCCTCATGATCATTAGCCTGCAACCCTTCATGTGGTGGGCGTCCGTCCAACTCACGTTCTCGTTATACTATCAAGACGTCCTCCAGTGGTCGACTATCATTACTGCCATACACTTGTATGTTTACTCAATCACGATGTACGCCTGCTGATTTCTCGCTCTGTTTGAAGCCTTCCACTTGGGATCATCGCATTCGTGGCAATGGCCTTGTCTACCGTCCTCAGAGATAAATTCCCGTTGAAATGGATCATTATCGGAGGGGAGCTACTGGCCATTGCCGGCACAATTCTTCTGCCATTCGCAGAAACAAAGGAGGATTACTGGCGATTCGCATTCCCTGGGTTTATCCTAGGCACCGCCGGAATGGCGCTTGTGTTTGCCACAAATAAGTGCGTAAGGATGTGTATCTGGTTCGGCTTTCGCGCGGCAGCTAACGTGCTTTCCACATCCGCGTTCCATAATAGCATAGCCCTCTTTGCCGTTACCCCACCGGAAGTCGCAGCTATGGTGGGCGCGATGTTCTCATCCGCACTTCAGCTGGGTAGCGCCGCCGGCACCGCTATCGTTACCTCAATCCAATCTACCGTCACGCAATCCCACGGCGGAGAACGCGGTTGGTCTGGCAGAGCAGCGGGGCTCTGGTTCCTCCTCGCAGTTGCCGTCGCAGAGACGTTGGGAGTAATTGTGTTCATGCGCCGGCTTGAACCTCCGTCGGCCGCGAAACCTCAGTCCACGAACCAGCTTTCCGATGACGCACTGGACGTCAAGGGAGTGTCTAACGATTCAGAGAAACCAGGTGCTGCGAGCTGCTGAACTGAGCTGACGGGTCATGGGGATGACATGAGTTTGACTGGATAGGCGATCGTTTCGAAATCAAATACATGGATGCTTCGCGCGTAATAGGTGCAGGTAGTGAACGCTTTCCATGACACTATTCTAAGCTAGAGCGAGCGAGTGGTCAGAAAAGAAGCAGAATGACAATTCATAAGCCCCGAAGTGTACCGTTGTCCAGCTTGTGATCGAGCGGATGCAGCGCCGATGAGACACTTCACAGCCCTCTGATATATCAAACAAACACAAAGCATGGCGTTCGGATATTATATGGAAGAGTAGACTAAGACGATCCGGTTCTTCGTGTAGCCCGAGGTCAAGCTCTCTAAGGCAGTCCCATGAGATGCTCTTTAGCATAGTAGTGGCAACACGGTTGACCGTAGCGATGGAAAGCTTCCATGTATGGAGATTGCGGAAACCTGGACTAGCTAACGTAACAGAGGCAATCCGGGAGTGCAATGTTGGATGAGACCGTCTGCAGGGACTTGGATTTTGGCTGACGAGAGCTCTTGCGCACAGGAACAAGAAAAGTTGATGCAGGTCGTTCGTAACGTCGTCTACCTGCGCGTCCAGCTGGCTGTCCACATCGTTGACAGTTGGTAAGCCGTCCTCCTTGCTTGCACCCCTTGATTCAACCTTCTCATCAACCTTCGAAGCGCATAACACGATGTCGGAATCGGTGTCCCAATCGTTATCTTCGGTATCGCCAGCCGGTTCCAGCTGAGGCACCCACGGGTGCGGCGTCGTCAAGCGTCCAGGCGTCTGATGGACTTCAGCGTGAACTCTGGGTCGCAGCGATCACCTTCAGAATCATGGTCGGCCAAGAGGCGAAGCGTGCGTAGCTGAGAGTACATTGATTGTACCATCTGCACGAACGTGCCACCGCGAAATGACGACCCATCGTGATACATATCCATTCGAAGCGCTTCGAGATTGGTACACACGGTACACATGCAGGGACATCCTGTGTCCAATCATCGACTCCCAGTTGCCGCGGTTGATCTGAATATCGATTTCCATGAGCGCAGCTCCGAAAAGCATGTCGAAACCGTGAAGCTCACTGCATGGATGTAGTCTGAGGACACGGGCGCGTGGTAGGGGGTAGAAGTCGCTGGGAACATGAGGCGCGAGATATTCCATTGTGGCAGGTTTGATATCGTCCTCCGTGGTGCTGACTTATCTCACAAAGCGCGAGTAATACTCAAGACGAGATGTATCAAGTTGAGTAGTGACTGGACTGGCGTAGCGCAAGACGTCGTGTATGCCCTGTAGACAGACTGTTCATCAATTGTGGTCATTAATGTGGAAATCACAGAGGACTCACATTTTGATAGGAGATGGGAAGAGGTGAGGAATTCCCTGTACACCACTAGAAGCCATTCGGAAGCGTCTTTATGAGTGGGACAACACCGTCCATTTTCTTGACGCAAACAATGACAGAACTACGCAGATAACGATAGATACTTACAATCGACCGTTCGACGCTCCAGCACTATCCATGTTCTGGTTGTGGATAATGACGGACCTACGTATATAATGATGGATGCTCACAATCGACCGCGCACTTTTACTGTAGCTACCAATGCCCTATGACATCGCTACAGGTTGCTCGGGATTTATTTTCCAGCATCCGCAAACCATGTAATATATCATATAAAGCCAGAAAGAGATATGTTATGGTTTGTTCCCCTCATTCATGGTTGGCATTCATTTACCAAGAGACTGCAGCGCTATTCGGGACGGCTTCCGCTGCACACAATGGGCTGATAGTTGTACTGATCTTCGGTTTCATCACCTCTCATACTTGAAACTAACATGCATACAGCCGGAGAGAGACTATATGAGATGCCCCGCACAGTACATCACACCAGCGCTCTGTCAAGCCCCAAATCACCTTGAGAGGCATTTGATCGAGACATACCGGCACGTCATACGTACAAAATACAATGCATAGAACAGCTTGATTACGAAAAAAGCGTGGCTCCAGTATAAGACAAACCAACAGTGAGCCAAACGCAGACGACTGTCTCTATAGGAGGACTTGACATGTGATGGAAGTCTGAAAGTGCATTAAATTTGCTTTGAGAGTTGGGGTCCGTCACATTGAATGCCGTTTATGCCGTCCGATAGTGCGCGCGCAGGGCATCGACAGTAACGCACGGACAACTGCTAAGTAGATGCCCGATGACTTTTGAAGCTAGGGACTCACTAGTAGTAAGCTATTAGGCTGAGACGTCGGGTAAGGGAGAACATGAGGCTACAGGTGGTTAATCATAGCTTGCGTGATGATTGAGCGCAGAGAACGGACCAAATGAAAGCTGTACATTAGGGGACGCACCATAAATGATATCATGCCCTTCACAGTATCCATCTTGAGTGATTGCAGCCCGTCAATACGAATGGATGCTTGTGTTCGCGGGCGAGAACAATTCTGCATCCAGAGGAGGGTGGCGGAGGTGATGACAGTCACGCGTGGACAAGTCATGATATTATGGGTGCCATTCCCTCCGTAACAACGAGCAGAGTGAGCCACAGCAAGAATCAAGGCAATACGATGAGTACTACGCGAGATATCCGCGTTTTTTTCCAGGTCCCCAGAGCGACGCAAGGCGCGGAATTTATGTGTGTTTGGCTCGATTGTAGTCTGCTTTGCTGACCATATACGGACATGTATGACAGACGATCCATAACTAGTAAAGATTGGCCTCGTAACGCGAAAATATGGGCACGAGACCAGTAAAAATATGCTCGGGTCGGCTCGAGTGACGAGTTTTCCGAACCAATACAGGGGGGTTCCTGAAATCTTACCGAGTTAGCTGACACTAATGATGCATTTCGCGCGCGCATTGATCCGACGTCAATCTCGCGAGACGCAATTTTGAGAGCTACTTACATGTGGTCTCGCGATAGTCAGTAGGGTCCAAATCATTAATGCTGGATTGGCGGATTCTGACAGCTTCCGTCTACCTTATCTACTACCTCCATGAGCGCTCCATGCAGGTTCTATCCCTTGGGTGCGTCCATCTTCGTGATTCATTTTGTCACATTACTTGCACATAATTGTTCCCTATGCAGCGATTTCATATACTGCTAGCCAGCTGACACGTTGATTCATGTCAATATGCTAGACCATGTGAAATATCAGGGCGACAGCAAGCCGAACATGAGAAAAGCGGACAGCCTTAGGATTGCTTTGTGATTCGAAATGCATTAAGACCACAATGCAATCTGTGCGTGATCTATATACATTATTATTTTGGTGGGAAGCCGTTCCTGATGTTCTAACTTCTTTGAGTGTCTTGAATCAAGCCGCTTTCGTGTGCCACCTGCAGGCTCGCAATAGCATGATGAGGTACTTGTCTTGGATCATGTGGTTTCATGTCGCCTGCAGTTCAACGTTCAACGATGGCACAATAGCGCTCGTTTCTAGCGTCTCCGAAGTTCAACGTTCAGAATGAACCCGATTCTGACCCGTGAACCAGCTGAACCGAACCTAGGTTCAGGTTCGGGAATCAGGGCGGCAAGTTCGGTTGGCGGCTCATGCACATGAGCAGGCCATCTGGTTCAAACCCGGATTGAATCGAGGACCAAGTGAACGAGATATATCGCTAATAGTAGCGGTGCAGACAAGAATAGTAGCCCAATGTGGACAGGGAGCGGCGTCTCCCAATGGATGGCGGGGTGAGCATCACTAATGCTTGGGAAACAGTGCGCGCTCGCCCAGAAAGGTCGAGATGTTGCTCACTCGTCATTTGTAGCGCATGCTCGAAAAGCCCAAACACCCTAGGTAAGTATATATTAATTCTTACTCTGATACATCTCTTACTGGTTCAATAGCAGTTCGAACCCGGACCGGACCTGCTGAACCCGTTCGGCAGGTTTGGTCCACGTTCAGGTCCGGTCTGAGGCCATCGTTGGAGGTTCAGGCCCAGGTTCACGGCCTGAGGGTCCCGGACCTGGACCGAACCGAATCTCGGAGACGCTTGCCTCGGCTTCTTCTGCACCTCAGTTCGCGTATTTAAGCTCGAATGGCGGCCGTCTTGCCAAGTCACTGACCCATCATGGACCCGTTCAACACTGCCGCTGCCGCCATAGATCTCGTTCAGCTCACTGCTGAGATTGGCAAGCGTATTTTTGAGTACGCTCAATCTGTGGCTAACGCTGATAAGGCCTATATCACACTCCAGGAGAAGTTGAAGGGCATAGAGAACTCCCTCAAGCTTGGAAGCGACGCGCTTCGATCAGTATCAAACGGGGATCTCTGCGGCCCTACTCAGCAGCTCTTGAGCAGTCTCATGTCTCCGGGTGGTGCATTATATGACTGCAACGTCATGCTCACTCGACTGGAGACAGAGCTTGATATCTCATACAAGACACCCACGCCCCAAACGACTCGTGCTCGCCTGAAATGGCCGCTCAAAGAGAACAAATTGAAAGACCATCATATACTCCTTAGCATCACAATGTGCGTATTCCTATACCAGATATAACTCGTGTTCATTGCCTGTAGAGGGATTACTGCAAGCCTATCTTCCACGGTTCAGTCGATGACAAGGGAGGGATGCTTCGGTGGTATACCATTCTGCCTGGCGTCAGCTGGTCTTGGTTCATAACTAATTCAACTCAACCCCATCTTATGGCATTAGGCAAATCAAAGCTGCTAGACTGGCTGTCTCCTCTTCAAAGTCTGGAAGGAAAGCTCGACACAGCCATTCAGAAGCGCGATAGCAACACAGTGAAGTGGTTTTTCGTACACAAATCCTACACAGACTGGACGCGGAGAGAAGGATCCCTGTTGTGGCTCCATGGAATACGTGAGTGCTTATGCATATGATGAAGGTTCCAAAGGATGCTCATCGATATGTACAGCTGGAAGTGGGAAGACAATACTAGCGTATGTTTCTCGACAACACAACATCCTTCTACCACCTCACGGTTTTGATAGGTCTACTATTATACAAAAGTTGCAAGGGCTATCGGGCAATGCTCGTCTTGCCTATTTCTTCTGCGACTTCAGTGATCCAAGCAGCAAGGATCCTGCAGTGCTGATGCGTACCCTGACCCATCAGCTTGTTCGAAGGATGTCAGACCAGGAATGCACGGAGACCTTTACTGAGGCCTTTATACGCATACGCGACGGTTTGCCTCCTCCCAGTCACATCCACGCTTTGCACGAGACACTGCTAGTCAAGGCAATAGGGACTCAACAAGTCGTCATCGTCATCGACGCACTTGATGAATGCGATTCAAGAGAAGGCCTGTTGCCGATTCTTTGCGAGCTGGCGAAGAATCCCACACTTCATCTATGCGTGACATCGCGTTACGATCGCGATATCGCCACGGCCTTCACGAAATTCTCCACGATCTCGCTTCACGACGTGACCAGCCTCATGGGGGAAGATTTTCGGCGTTATGTCTCAAAGGCAATGCGTACGCGTTCAAACATTTCCAAATTTCCGCAAGAATTGCGATCACGTGGGATCGAGAAGCTTATAAACGAGGCAGATGGAATGTGCGGGTCTATTATGATGCTCTGGCGGGTAGCACACCATCGCTCACCTGTCGACAACTAGATTTCGCTGGATAGATATTCAGCTTGACCGTCTGGACGCATGTCGCACAGCGAAAGCATTCAACGACGCTTTGAACAGCCTTCCGAAGGGTCTCGATGCCACATACGAGAGAATATTGGACGGTGTTAGCCAGAAGGATGACATGACGTTACTCCAAAATGTCTTGAAGCTTTTGGTTTCTGCCCACCGCCCTCTCCCACTATCTGAGATTGCGGATGCTATCATCGCTGAGGAGGATGAATCGACATGGGAATCTTCAGACATCTGGTCCGCGTCGATTGAGGTCTCTGGGGAGTCGATCCTGAAGACTTGCGGTGCTCTCGTTCACCACAATGTTCGTACTGATGCGTTGACCTTGTCGCACTATTCTGTAAAGGTCGGTGATATTCACTCTGATTCGCATAGGCAATATCTCAAGGTCTGTACTTCATTAGGAATACCTCCTCTCGGGTCGATCTGTCCATTGTAACGTCTCGCTAGATGAGGCACACGCATTCTCCGCAAATACCGCATTCAAGTGCATCGGATTCTACGCATTGGAAGATGAGTTTCTGTGCGAAGACGGAACGGACGCATCTTGGTACGGCATTGATGAAGAGGATGACGGAACGGATGCATCTTGGTGCGGCATTGATGAAGAAGATGACGGAACGGACACATCTTTGTACGGCCTTCATGAAGAGGATGATGTCACCCTTGCGGAACCTAACATGGCAAACGAAGGCGCAGAGCGACCTTCTCTCGCACGGCGCAGCTTCAAATTCACCTATACCTCAGGAAACGACTGCATCACACATCCCTTTGTCACCTACGCCTTCACTCATTGGCTCGATCATGTCAGAGAAATCGAGATCGCCCGCCCTGAACTGGCGCAAGATGTACTGACTTTCCTTCCGGATTCGAGATTTAATCAAATCCGTTCCAAGTGTCTTCTTGATTTCGTGTCCCGCCATTCTCTTTACTACATTCCACTATCCTGCGGGCCCATCGCCTTGCTTCTGCGCCATGGACTCGTGCACACAATCCGCAAACTTGGCGACACCCATCCACATCTTCTGGAGGAGCTCGACAGCGACATCTCCAATTACGGTTCTTTCCTCATGCTCGCAGTATTCTCCGCCAATCTCACTATGGCGGAATCTCTCCTAAATTTAGGTGTTGATTGCGACAAGGTTACGTCGAAACATCACATAGCGGGCGACCCTATTTCTGCCCTATGGTTGGCTATCGAGTATGGGCACGATGAAATGTTCACTTTACTTGTTCGTGCCGGCGCCCGACTCGAACTTCCCGGTGGTCGCTTTGGCGATTCGCTCATCTTCCAGATGGCCTTCAACAATCGATCTTCTATGCTATCGCAGGTACTCGACAGGATGAATGTCAATGCGAGGTCTCGCGATGGCTCGACAGCTATGCACTACGCCGCACAAGCACGCTCCGCACTCTTCTCGAGACGGGCTGCGATCCCAACATGGCGAACTGCTTGGGACTGACACCGCTCGAGATAGCATTCACACTTCAAGATCCAGACGTTGTCGGTGCACTATTGCAAGGAGGGTCAAGCACCGGGAAGCTGCGTCATTGGAAGGACCTCAGTTGGGCCACCGAGAAGCCGTGGTTCCCGCTGTTCAAATTCAGGACCCAAGACTATCATCCTATTCCATGCGAGGGTACTCATGATGTTGGTGCGTTCGCCCATTTTGGAGTACCGAGTTTCAATACCGCTTTTACTGACCTGTTGCAACTTCTAGATTACAGCAAGCACTATTCACACTCTGTGAAGAAGAGTTTAATATTGCGCAACTGGCAACCTCAAGATGACAGCGATCCTTATCTGAAAGCGGTTATCGAAGACAAGCTGTGCAAAATGGTTTTCACGATACGCTCTCATGATCAAGGTATGTCAATTGGCGTGCAGTGATGCCGTCCAACTTACCACATCGTACTAGGATGGAGCGATGAACGTGACGGAAAGGGCACGTACGCTTATTCCTATACATGGTTCGAAGCGGGCGGCTGGCAGCAAGGGCGCACTATAAACCGGCGCGTAATCCAACACAACGTGCAGGCGTCCTCGCAGTGGTGTACGCACGTGATCACGTGGGATGTGAAGCAAGCAACGGAAGATCTCAGGGAGTGGTTGGAATCGTTCAGGCCTGGGGATGCTCTCTGCGTGTACGCGAGAGCGAAGTATCCGGCTTGGACAAACTATGTCGAGTCTGCCCAAGTGGACATTTATACAACGCCACAGCTGTCCTCCGGAGCTGCACTTGACACTCGGGACGTGCTACGCATTCCTCGTAGTTATGATATGATATGTTGTCTGTAGAAACACATATAGATGGCTACCATTCGATTGTTGGACTAGATAACGTATGCGTGCACTTCGAGGTTTTGACCAACTATCAATAGTACGAATCGCTCAGCGGCCTCGGGAGAACAGCAACGCATCAATGCAGACAGTAGTACGTCGTCATGGTACGCGGCTGAGCATCAGTATTGTGACTCTTCGCGTACGTGACGTTACGCTTATGGCCAAGGGTAATGACAGGAGACCTGCATTAGCAAACGTATCAAAATCGCGCGAGGCCCTTGTAATATCTCGCGTGCCCCGCAAGGCTCGTGGTCTCCTGGCCAGGTCCTTAATCTTGACCTCAGTTTGTCGCAAGGGTCAAAGGTCGCACGAGGTTTCCAAAAATGGCGAGGCTGGGGGTGCCTTGTCGGCCACGCTTGCACGCTCGAGGTATATAAGCACACTATGTCAAGTTCGCAAGGTAACCAGGATTTGATTAGTGGCAAACATACATAGCCGCGCGTGACTCGAAGGAAGCTCGTACCCCTACCGCCACAATGCCTGTTTGTCACGCACGACATCTCTAAAACCAACTCAGAGTGGTCGAGGAACTAGTCCACGCACTAGTAACCTTTCAGCTTTGTTTCTGCAGGCATCGCGCTCCTTGTCTTTCCCCGTAACAGAGTTGTTCAGAATCATTCAGAATAATACTGCAATAACCACTCAACACAGCAAGCTAAATTGACGTCTCGCACCGTCTACGTCTCAGGAATAATTCTCGCTGCTATGAGTTTGCACCGGAAGTATACAAGCATTGAAGGCCCTCGTGTTACAACTTAAGCGCATCTAGCGGAACTCACTTGCACGCTGTAGAATAGCACATTTACTATTCAGCCGAGAATTTGCAAGAATGTTTAGAACATTTCGACATCGGTGATGGGTTGTACTAATCTACGGACGCGAAACACTCCAGCTGGGAGTGTCATGTCATATCTGCTCGATCCCAATTCAATCAAACCTGACTCTCTCACCTTGTAGAAAGTGTAGACAACAGGAATATCAATGAAAGAATGCACCTGTGAATGTACCCAATCATCCCATAACAGACAGATGCAGATATTCAAGTCCTTTTGACAGCAAAGGTTCAAAACGGTGAAGCCAATGAAACAAAATCTCCATTATATCCACGCTGACAATAAGATACGTTGCGCTAGAGCTTAGCCTTATCTGCGTCCGTCAGGAGGCCTTGCGCCTTCATCTCCTTTGCACGGTCGCGCAGTACACGTCGTAGCAGCTTCCCGCTCGGGTTCTTCGGGATAACATCGATGAACTCAACGCCACCCGCCAGCCGCTTATAATGCACCTTCACATCGGTGACGTGCTATACGATGAACATCAGTCACTACTTGGTCAACATTGTCGGATGCTAGACAGAAAGCACGCACCTTCTTGATGGACGCCTTCACCCTCCCCGCCTCGGCGGAATCCTTCTTCATGCGCTCGAGCGCCGGCGCGCTCGGCACGACAAACGCAAGCGGCAGTTCCCCGCTGTAGTCATCCGGCACGCCAACGACGCATACGTCAGACACGTCCGGGTGATCCAGAAGGTGCCCCTCCAGCTCCGCGGGCGCAACTGTACGATAAAACCTCAACACATGAAAATATCGAAGAGGCCCGCATACGAACCTTGGAAGCCTCGGACCTTGAGTAGCTCCTATAGGGAGAGATAAGTATAGCGTCGAGAGCACAGGACGTCGAGAATGCTGACACACCTTGATACGGTCGACGACGAACAGCTCCGCCGATTCGTTGATGGTCACTTCGTCCCCCGTGTAAACCCACCCATCGACAAACGTTTCCCGCGTACTGCCGGACCAGGTGAGCACACAAGGACATACGCAAACATAGGGCGGCTAACGCACGCATCATCGTTGTTCATGTAACGCAGCGCCATCGCAGGCCCTTTCACAACAAGCTGCCCGGGCTCGTTGAGCCCGGCGAGTGAGCCGTCAGGCTTAACCACGCGCGCGACAATACCGGGGACGAGGCGCCCAGCACTACCCGGCGTGCAAATCCTCTGCTCGATTTGCGGGAACGAGACTGTCGTGCACGTCTCCGTCATGCCTACACGCGCATCAGAAACCCAAGACACAGATCAGAGGGCAGGGTCGGGGACGCGTACCGTACCCCTGTCCGATATGAATTTTGGGCAGGACTTGGGACAGCTGATGGATTAGTTCCGCGGAAAGGGGTGCGGCGCCGCTCATGACCGCGCGAACGGAGCTAAGGTCGTGCTGTTTCACAGCTGGGTGCTAACAGGCAGTGTGTGGATATTTGCAATACACAATTCACATCTCGACCTTACCTTACACAGCAAGACTACCATTGGTGGTACGACACTATTTGACAAAGTAAAGCGCATCAACTGTCAGAACCCAGAAAAGTGGACGAGACCAGGCACACACGGTAGTTGGTTTATGTGATAGCGCTCTATGCTCTTGAGAATGTCTACAAAGTTGAACTTTGGGATGACAACTAATGTCGTCTGGGCGTGATGTTGTTAATGTACGGCTAGCGCGATCAGTGCTATATGACGCACTCCACAGAACATCTGGAAATGCATGATAACGACGAGCCCATAAATGTCTGCACGATCCCTTTGAGTGACACGTGATGTGGGCTCTAGAAACGGACGACATACGGAAGAATGGTAAGACTACAAAACCAGTTAGGACATTCCACATTCATCAAGTAAGGCAATACTCATCACCTCCTAAACAGACGTCGCCTGGCCGCCACTTCCGCTCATCCCAAGGTAGCGTCTGGAGGTTCGCTAGGTGGGTCATTTGCACCACGTTCGCAATGGGCCCATAATGCGGGATGCAGACGGCCTATATAACTTAGCGTAGGCAAGCACTTGCAGGCATACTTCAAAGGCTATACGCCTACCTTCGGCTTCCCCGTCGTCCCGCTCGAAAAGCTCAGGAACGCGAGCTTCGTCTTGCCCTCGCCCGGGCGCAGCCGCCGCTCATAGAAGCACGTTGGCTTCGCGAGGCCCTCTGCGACGAGCTGGCTAATTGTAGGGTACGAACCAAGGGTCGGCGCTGCGTCGTACAGCGCGTCGAAGAGGACTATGCGATCGGCCGGAAGCCCCGCGGCGCGTGCAGCCTCAAGGCCGACGGCGAGACTCCAGGGGTGAATAATGAGCAGCTTGGCCTTGGTTATCGACATTTGGTATTCGAGCTCGCCGACCAAGTAGGCGGGGTTTGCTGCCCTAAGTCGTGGTATATCCTCAGCATGCGAATACCGATGGGAACCACTGGCCATACATACGTAATGATGGCACCTAGTCTGTGCACCGCCCTGTGTGAAAACTCTCAACCCCAATGAATACCAGGCAAGGCACTTGCGAATTACCAGACCGCAATGGCATAGTCTAGCGAGATCACCAGAGGATCAGTATAAGATGTTGCCCCAACACACGATCGCACAGAGAAAGGCTGTAGCGATAGGATTCAAAGACATATGACGTACCGACATGATTTGGGCTGTATATACAAACTAACAGCGTGCCTCAGCGAGACACAGTATCAGTGATGCAGGCGGCCTTACCGACATCATCCTCCTCTGTAGCGCTCTGTTCAGTAAAAGCATACTGCTAAGGCACTCAGAGCTCACCAAGCTTCCACCGCGAATACAGCGCGTTCGCCATGCCGTGCGTTCTTTCACGGACCTCCACCACGCACACGCGTTAGACATGCTCGCTTCACGGATCCTACGTGAGCGCGCATACCTCTGCAAACCGTATCGCTCTCCCTGTCGCGTCCTCTATCATCCATGGATTTGCCTGCGCTTCGGGTCGAACTGGTCTCGATTCATGATCCACATCAAGCATGAACTGCGCAACAGTGAGGTCGTCAGGAATATGAGGTGGGGGACCTCCCGGGCCATGAATTTCAGCCATCTCTGCGATAACGAGAGGGACAAGAACGACAATGTCGTGTGGGGGGTAGGGAAAGAAATGCCACGGTCGCCATTGCGGGCTATATACCGCGGGAGGGTCGAAAGTGGGATTTCCCCGCGTTTTAGCGTGGGCACGTGGTGACAACCTCCCCGATCCGATCTTTATCACAGCTGCGTCCATGGCCTTCTGTGAGACGCCCTGTGGCAGTCACACGCCCAGGATGAGATTTTGTATGTATATAAGGCAATAACAGTCCGACAAGGCTATCACAAGGCGGACGCTGACGGTAGCGGGAGAACATGTCGCGATGCCGCCATCGGCACATAAGCACCATTGGTCAGATGAGCTCGTTCGGTCAACGTAAGACCATCCTAAGCACGCACAAACTGTTACCAGTGGCCAGTCCGGTCACTCAGGGCGACCAGTCTGTGATAGTCCGCGCGCCTACAGCGAACGGTGGGAAAGCTCTACATCGCAGTCATTCTTCCATGTACGTAGAGGAAAAGAAGAGCCAGCAGAGATGACAACATGCCCACAGTATATCACAGATCCGAAAATCCTGCAGAAGCAGAGAGACCTTCCTGTCGTCGCCGCTTATCAGCTTTGTCATGGAGAAGGCGTCTAAGGTTTGAGCCGCGTTCGCGCGAACTTGAAAAGCGTGGCAAACGCTACGCAGAATGGTATATTCCTTGCCTCGAGGTGCCTTGAGGCCACACTCCTGTCAGCGCCACATACTAGCGCCATGTGCAGACCAAAAACTGAACACTGAATGGGTGGCTGGAAGTGCGAACAAACGCCTGCGAAGGTCCGCAAGAAGGCAGCACACGCCTCAATCTCTCGCGGAGGTTGTTTCTCTCCGACTCCGCGAACATAGGCAATACCGAGGGGCCGAGGGAAGTAACGGCAGCATCTCTGCCAGTATTTGTCGGATTTTAAATGTCAGCATCTGTCAAGAGATGATGGAGTGAATCGGAAACCGGCTTTCACGGTCTGCGGGGTTGGTCACAGACCCGGATATAGATGAAATTCCTTTTTTGATTGATGAAAATCAAGCGAGTACGCGCGCCGAAAGACGCGGTCACATGACCGTGATCCAGTCGCGTTGTGCCCTTGCAACCACATTTCTGAGAACTTTCTTAGGAAAGGATTCCACGACACCGATAGAGGTGTAAATATTCCAGACACATAGAGTATTGATCTACAATCAGTGTCAATTTTAATTGAACTGGACTTTACACATCCGTACACCACGTAAGAGCCCGCGATCATCACTAACGAGGATAGCATTAAGCAGTCGACTCCGATGGGAACTGCACGCCTTGCGCAAGCGGTGCCTCGTCCGAGAAGTTAATCGTGCATGCGCTCCAGCGCACATACTGCTTCCACGCGTCACCGCCCGACTCGCGACCCCTGTAATATCACATCAGAGCATGTCCAGCACGATGTAAGCGTACTGCACTCACCAGCCTGTGGTCTGTTATAACGCGTTTTAAGAATGAGGCGCGGATCCTGCTAATATTGTCTACTCACCTTGTTTCCACCAAATGCAGCTCCAATTTCCGCGCCGCTCGTCCCCACATTGACCTGCTCATGCGCGATCAGCAACACAAGGTCACTCCAAGCACGCGCATGCATCACTCACGTTCACAATCCCCGCGTCCGACCCCGCCGGGCCGATCCACTTCCCGACGTTCCGCAGATCACGCGTCCACAAGCTGCTGCTGAGCCCCTGCGGCACCCCATTGTTCCACGCGATCGCTTCCTCCAGCGCGTCGAACACGCCCACGCACAGCACCGGCGCGAACGTCTCCGTCCGCCACACCGCGTCGCCCATATCGACCGTCGGCGGCACCGCGATCGTCGGCTGCACGAAGTTGCCGCCGTCCAGCGGGCTCCCCAGCGCCGCGCCGTCGTACCGCGCGCCGCCGGTCAGGATCTCCGCGCCTACGGTCTGCAGCCGCGCGACGGCGTCGGAGTACACGCCCACCGCCGCGCGCGTGTGCAGAGGCCCAAGCAGCGTGCTCGGGGCCAGCGGGTCGCCGGGGAGGAGCGAGGCGTAGAGCGCGCGCAGGCGCGAGAGGAACTCGGGTGCGATAGCGCGGTGCAGGAAGAGCCGACGCGTGGACGTGCAGCGCTGCCCTGCAGTGCCGACCGCACCGAAGAAGACGGCAGGCACAGCGAGGCTGAGGTCCGCGTCGGGCATGACGATCACGGCTGTGCTGGGTCAGACACGCCGTAGGAGGCTCAAAAGAGAGGCTGCGCACCGTTGTTTCCACCGAGCTCAAGGAGAACCTTGCCGAAGCGCGACTGGACGACCTTGCCGACATGACGACCAACTGCCTCACTGCCCGTGAACGACACTGTACAATGTTTGTATATGCGATGGGGCGTACGAGGTAAATAAGCACTCACCCATGTCGACATCCTGGCTCTCCACAATACCAGCACCCACGTCCTTATCGCCGGTGACGAGACCAGCCACGGCGCCAGGCACCCCGTTCCGCTCCAATACTCCGGACACGATCTTGGTAACTGCAATACCACACAGCGGCGTGCTCGGGGACGGCTTCCACAGCGTAGCATTGCCGGCTGCTAACGACAGAGCAAGATTCCTGCAGAGAGCGTGAACGGCAATTTGAGGTATGCATGGCTATGAAGCATACCATCCGTATACAGCGACGGGGAAGTTGAAAGCAGACAGTACTGCAACAACTCCGAGCGGGTTCGGGACTGAGCAGAAGAAAGACTGAGGGGTGCTGTAAACGTGAGAGAGGACACAGCGCACCTTCGAGGATGCTGTGCCCCGGACGTTCAGAAGCAACGAGTCTGCCATTCATCATTCGCGATAGGCCGACTGCATAATCGGCCTCTCCATTGCCTCAGCATTTCATGACCCACTCAGCATCCACGCGAATGCTCACAATGTCCACAAACTCCTGTACCTCCCCGACGCCCTCGGTTCTGATTTTTCCCATCTCGAGAGATACAAGGGCGCCGAGCTCATCTCGCTGTTGTTCGGACTGAGTTATTGACCAGCGCGTCGAGTTTACCTACGCACCTTGGAAGCCAATGCTACGCGGATCTGGCGCAATATCTCGCCTCTCTTGGGTGCTGGAATAGACCTGAACACTTGATACGCCTCGCGCGACTTATGCAAGGCAGCGTGCAGCTCCTCAGGCGAAGCCTAGACGCCTCTGTAAGTCTCAGAGAACAGTCTTCCAATAACACCCAGTAGCAGCACGTTATGAGACTGGCGTTAACTCGAAGGTAGCTCAAGGTGACTCGAGTGAGGACGTCGCGAGCTATATTGAGTAAATCTTCCACGTATCAGACCGAACACCACAGATCTTCTCAACCCTGTCGCATGATTGCAGAATGACGTGAAATACGATGTCTAGAGCACCTTGACGCGGGGTGGCCTCACTTCCCAACAATACTAAGTGAGGTACTCACCGAGCGTACACGCGCCAAAACCTCGCCGGTCGTGGGGCATTTGCTCTCCAAGAGGTCGCCGGATCCCGTCCACTCTCCATGGTACACACCAGCCAGTTCCTTGTCAATGGGTATGTCTAGCGCAGAGAGGATTGCGGATGCACGAGTCGATAAACTGCGCGCGTGCGCTGGGCGGGAGAACGACAGGCACCGCCTTGCGAGCATGGTGGTGGTAGGTCTTCAACACCGTTTTGTGAGAGACGCTCGCCGTTGCCGACGTCGGGGACGCCATGATCCGACCGGGCGCGGGAGAGGCTGGAGGTCATGTACATGATCGAGGACGCAACGGGCGCTTATATGCGCTTGCTTGCAATCTACTGTTATCCTTCACACTGCAGTAACATTATACTACACCTTTCCACTGAGTTTGACATCCAGTAAAAGCCGAGTCCTGAGACGTTGTCCAATCTGCAATCATAAGATCATTGCGCACGTGAAGGTGTACGGTCCAAAGTTAAAATCCCTGCCCGGGCGGGACGCCCACTGCAGCAGCCACTTGCGACGTGTTCGCTTTCTTGATCTTGAACCATTGTCGTTCGAGCTTGCATAGAGCCTGGTATGTTACGGTAACTCTGTACACACCGGGCTCGCCGTCTGACCATTATTTGCAGGCTCTACACGACGATTAGTTGATATTCATCGCCCTCGGGAGTACCATGTCGAAGGAACTTGGCGCCTTAGAGACGAACATTCAAAATGATGCTCATCCAGAGCTACATGCGTTGCGATCTCATCTTCAACACATACTGGAGGATATGTCCCGCTATGCGCCGGTGATCTTTAAACCTCCAATCCTAGACTCGTCATATGATAGCGCCAAGGAAAGCGGACAGGAGTCGGTACCTGGCATACGCGCACTGAGGGATGCAATCAAGCAAGATCTCGAAGTCCTGGAGAAGGTATATGAGCGTTGTTGCTGCTTCAGCTTGACATGCCCATACATAGAGTTGACAGTATCGCCCTCAGTAGTTCCTCGCTGACCCAAAGAGTGTTTCGCTCCCGCCGCTGTCCACAAATGCTCCGTATTTAATCGCAGTATGGCACGAAGTATTGCTTGCTCCGCCACCTATCACTGCCATATGGCGCACGTACAACGACAATGCCCCGCAGGGTGAATCCCATCGGCGCAGTGCGCATAAGCCGCCAGGCATCAAAGTAGACGTGATCGCAGAAAACGGCCGCCGATGGATCCGCATCAATACGTGAGTTTGCCAACTTCACCTGTATCTGGAAATGCTCAATGCGAATCCTTCCATAGTATCAAGAACTCGCGTATGTTGGCCGAGTTTCGCGAAATCGACTCGTATCTTACCGACTCAAGTGAGGGCTCGGACGATCCTGACACCCCACCTACCCTCGCCCAAACCGAGTTCGACAACTCCCTTCTCAGTAGAGGCCGTGCACTGCTGTCTGCTGCGGCGCAGAACCCTCTTCCCGGCACCAACGTACTACCTATTGTCAACCTCCGCCTAACACGCCTCGACCCTGCGCCAGAAAACCCGAAGGAGCATGACCCGCGCATAGCACAGACCATTGATACGCTGCGTGCGATGGGAATCGATGTCCAGCTAGGCGAGCGCGACGCGAATGCCATCCCCCAAGTGGCTGCCCCGCCGCCTTCTCGTCGCCTCGAGCCCACACTGCGCATCAATCTCGACTTGTCCATACTCATCGCGCTCGTCTCTGACATCACGCACGCCCCGCCACCACACTCCGCGGCGGAAGCCGATGCGCGCTACGAGCCGCCACCCGAGTACCGCGAGTGGAAAAAGAAACGCAACGGCGTGCTCAAAGGGCCCGACTTTGACGGCAGCGAGGAAGGTATTGGGAAGCACGCACGCGCCCTCGCGACGCAGGCGCTGCAGGAAGCAAAGCGCGGGCTGATCCAGGAGATGCACGACCGCCTGTGCGCACTTGTGCCCCAGCCTGTCGACGCGTCCGGTCGACATGCATGCCCGCCGGTGGAGTTCTGGACGACGCCCGACGCACGCGACCGGTTTCTGCGCATCGTGCTGTCGAAGATCGGGGGCCCTGCCGAGCAGCGCCGCGCACTTGCACTCTTCCCCGATCACGCGTCCCCGCCGCTCAGCATAGAGGAGGCGGAGGAGGCGTATTGGCGCGGCTCGCGCTACCCGCGAGGCTTCCTCCCGTTACTGCCGGTGCGCATGTTCCCGGCCACGGAGCCCGACGCTGCGCTGGAGCCGCCGGCGGACGCGGACGGATGCCTGTTATCCCCCTTCTTCCACCATCTTGCATGTGCATGCCGGAGGGTGCTCGCGCTGGAGACCATCCCAGACCTGCGCGAGGCGAGCGGTGCGGGTGGGGACGGTGAAGCTGACGGGCAAGGAGACACAGATGGGCAGGGAGATGCAGATGCCGACGTGATCCCGCGGGCTGCCGTGACTCGTGCAAATCCTCGGCTGACGGCGCACACGATGCAGAGTGTGCTGTGGGGTGCGGTGCGCAGGTGGACGACGCTGACGGCGAACAAAACGAGCGTGAAGGCGATTCTGCGAGAAACTGGGTCGGCGGGCGGCTCGAACGAATATGGCTCGGGACCCACAGATGGACTAGAGGACGCGAGTGGTATGTTGGCGGAGAAGGCGGCGCTGTGGGTAGTAGACCCTAGGAGCCTCGCGGAAGGTATGAGATCGGATGTTGTCCCATCTGAATCTGGTGTTGTATGAACACTAGAGTGGAAGATCGAGAGAGCAATGCCGTGTACTGTCGGACGCATTACATGATATTAGACGTCGCTTCAAACAGACCCACTAGGTAGGAAACGCACCGTGCCAACCGATAGGGGACGTAGAGTCGAGACTGGTGCGCAGCCTCACAAAATGGCCAGGCACTGCTTAAGTAATTCGCGCAGCTCCGTCCAGCAGAGCCTGAACTCTCATCAGCAACACCCCACATTTTGTGAGCAGCCTAGATCTTGCCTTAGCCCCTTGACGGTCAAGGAAAGTCTGTTGCATCTGTCTGATTTCCCCCCCCTTAATCAAGCTTGGAATCGACTGTTATGACCTTAACTCCTAGACATAGGGAAGATTCGTGCTTATACTCAATCTCTAGTTGTAATACCTGCTTGACACATTGAGCGACGGCTCATTTACTACCACGGCACTCCATTACATTCATTTCATGCATATACTCACTGGTGAGCATGTTTGAGAGCGTGATGTGTTAACACACATCATTTTTTGTTTCGAACTGGTACTGGCGAAGCATCATCACGTCGCTGACATCTAGTCTTCTGGCAATAAAAGTCCCGCCTCACGAAAGCAAGAGCACCGAGGACTAGCTCGCTGCTGGCATTAGCTTCAATGAATAGACATACGTGATGCATTGTTCCCTTGCCTTTTTCTCAAATCCAGTTTTATATCCGCTTTCCTCTCTTGCTTGTGAATAAAGGTTTCACTTTGCGTGATGCATACAAAGATCTTTTGACCATTCTTCTATAAAACATCTTCTAATTGTCCGTCATAGCTAACTCAAGCCGAACGCCACAGCACAGAAAGGTAATAGTGGCGTATATGAAAATTGGGTGTATGCCGTGTTGAACGACACCTGCACAGCGGCTACACAATATCCGTAACTATCTGACACATCTGACAAGTGTTTAATATGAAGGAGACTTCCGCGGCGAAAATCCTCATCCCAGTACAGAATGACTCAGTATGTAGAGCGTGCTACATATCAGTAACACACAAAGTCTCCCTTCAGCGTTGCGCAGTACTGGCGCGCTGCCTCACAGTATGCGGAGGCCCTGTTGCAGACGCCACTAAAGTGCGTGCCGCTGCATGCGAACAGCTCCGTCCTGCACCAGTTGAAATCGCTCGGGGTGCTCGAGGCTTTCCACGTCTGGTAGTTGACATTGTTGCACTTGGCGAATGTATCACCGTCGAGGTTGATGTCGAACTTGATGTCGATCTCAGTAGCGTCATCGCACGCACTGCGGGCCTCGAGCGCGACGGCTTCGGCCTGTAATGAAGCAAATGGGCGGTGAGCAGAAGTGGTCAGAGAGGTACGGCGGTGTCCGTCAATACCTGGATTTCACCGCTGAAAGTCGGTCAGTAAAAGAGAATAAGGCACTGCGACGTGGCAGCACTCACTCGACGAGATGGACAGTAGGGTTGGCCGCGACATTTGCAGCGGACAGCAGCGCACTGGCGAGAGCGGCGAGGACGAATGCACGGAATTGCATGCTGAATGAGTTGCGTGTGTTTGAAGACTGATGTGTGGGGTTGCTCTGAGCCGACATGGAAAGTACTGTGGAGTATATATACCTGAACACGGTCAAGGTTTGGACACTCCTTATTCCACAATATCTCTGGAGACTACCGAAGTCGGCCATGCTCCGCCTCTTCGCGACGTCCAAACGTAAAGAATTGACGTGTATAGCTATAGCTAAACGCTTTATACTGATAGTGTCTTTTCAGTCACCTGCATACCACCTAGAATCATTTCTATGCCGATTAAAGAAATAGAAGAGCCCTCGGGAATCAATAAAAGGATGTCTGAGGAGCCATAGGGCTTCTGTGATACGCACGGCAAGCGATTATATTTTGGGAGCCGAATAACATGGGCTAGACGTGGTCCAACGGACGAATATCCTTGCCTCGGGGATGAAATAAACCCTTGAGCACAGGGTGCCTCAGCATGACATTGACAAGCACTGCTAAGGACTTTTCACAGAGCATTGAATCATGGATGATGTTGCTCGCTCGGTTCGTTCGCGGAGCGCCCGCTTTTTTGGTGTTCTCACAGTCAGGGCTAGAAATACTTACCAAAAGAGGTGGGCGCTCCGCGAACGAACGGAGATTTGAGCAACCCTAACAGTAATTGAGATGAATATTATCATTATGTAAGCCTTTAGGTAGTGCACGGACAATGCCGCATACGCTTGGTCATTGAGCCAATGATACAGCGTGGAATCCGCGCTGGAATTCGTACTGTGATCAGCCCTAGGAGCGCAATGGTATGGCCCCAGGTGTGCTCTCGGACAATACTTCAGTAAATCGCATCGCTCCATCCACCGGCAGATCTCAGCAACACTCAACATTTCTTAAGCGGCCTTAGTCTTGCCTTGGGCCCTGTCATTCAAGGAAAGTATTATAGAACAGCCTTATTCTTCCTCCTTAATCAAGCTTAATTTTAGCCGTAATAAAGCGTACGGTGTGACGAAGCTCGAAACGAAGGTCAGCGGGGTCGAAGAAGAGATTATTGGGAACATTGCACAAGCGTGTCAGCCATCGTTGGCTTAGTGAGAACATGTGCAATATATTGGGGCTGAAGCATTCGTATATCGACAAGGGCCCAGAAATGAATGTAAACGTGCGGACTGAATTCCAGTCATCGGTAAGACAGAGGCAGCCGAGTCCACCACGCTCTCGCCAGATCTTCGGATCCTGTGTCTTGATCTATGACGGCATTGTACCAGTTTGCAGTTCATAGGCACAGCATTTCGTGTCCGGATTCCCCAGGCCCCGCGCTAATACACTGTTGGCGTCACGCTCAAATTGCGTCGTCTACGTCATACAACAGTCCCACTGCACGCTCTGCACTATATACAAAAGAGCGCCCCATCAGCGGGCGGATCGATCTCCGCACCGGCTGCTTGCGTCCACAGATGTGGAATCAACTGCCGCGAAGATGTGTTCTTACGCACGACGGAGAAGCAGCAGCCACAGTGGGGGTCCATTTGTGTCCGCAGGGAGCTCTGATAGTGTGTCGGGCTGGGCGGGGAGGGACGCGCGAACTGGTAGGAGCTGTAAAGGTCCCGGTAGCAGCGCGAGCAGCACCATTACATCTGCCGTTGCTCTCGATGCGGCATGACGGATTCATGCAGTGCATGAAGAGCGCGAGCGCTCGGATGCTGTGAACCGCCGTCAATTTATTTTAAACAGAACCCCAGGACAATGCGGAAGAATGCGCAAGCACATCTTACATGCGCCTGTAGGGACGTGGAACGCTCAGACGTGTCAGCGGGCTGGAGCGCGAAGACCCGGAAACAGTCATGCATCACCTAGCAAGAGCCTTCATTCATTATTAGTGACAACACAGGCAAGCGGAGACGTCCCGCGCGCTCACCTAGGCGGCCGCGAGATGCACTCTTTGGGGTCTGAGAAGGACAGACTCAAGAGCGTCATCACAAGGGAAAGAAAAATTTGCACCCATGTGCGTGGAGATCGTCAGTCCGCCAAGCAAGAACCAAACTTGGAACAACATACGCGCATTCCCTCAAGACCAGTATTGTGCATGGAATACGGGGAAATTCGTTCAAGCGCTATTGGCACTGGTGTCTGGTCTGCTAGAAGACAAGAAGATCCAACAAGCACACTCATACTTGAATTCGTATACCTTGTATACGACGCGTCACTGAAACGCTGGAGTGTGGCGGGAGACATGGACGATCTGGCTCAGGCGCTGATGACATTCCGAAATTGGAAGGTCCAGTGTTCGCCGACACACACATCGTATATTGTGATCAAAGAACGTCGCCATTGTGATTGCGGTGTAAGTTGGCCTATGGTAACCTAGCGTCAGTGAGTCCATGTGTACATCGGCAAAATATCGCTCTGTAAGTGGCGCTGACGTGTACGAGACGTCCTGGGCTATCTTCCACCGCCCACTAGGAGATCCGCTGATTTCGCACCGCTGCGGCATTATGTGTCTCTGTGCATTAATGGTTGACTACATATCTGGGTGAGGAGATGTGCACTTGCACAAAACATTTTTAGCCTAAGAAGACGGTCAACTGCCTCCCGAACCTTGGGCTCTCGGACACTGATAATTGCTATTCAGACATTCAACGTAAGCTTGTATTTTGGGGGTCAAGTGCCTTGAGCGGCGCAACCAGTCATTCGCCATGTTACGTACCATGCTAAATACGCTTAACATCGTTTAGCAATGTCGAACTTAGGAACCCTGGGCTGAAGGGCTATTTGCATCACCGAGGTAAGGGCATTCGTCTGTTGCGCCTCAGCATATAGCCTATGTTGTTCGCTTCCCAGAGTATATTCATCATTCACGTGTATCGCCGTAATTCCAGAGCTCTTCGGGAATTTCCTTATTGATTCGCGAGAGCTCTTCTATTTCTGCATCCGACGGAGACATGATTCCTGGCTGTGTGCAGGTGACTGGAAAGACACTATCAGTATAAGGCGCTCAGCTGTGCACTTCAGTTCCTTACGTTCGGACATCGCTAAAGAGGCGGAGGAACGCCGACTTCGATTGTCCGTAGAAATCCCGTGCATTTGTGTGGCGCAAGAATGTCCAGACCTTGGCCGTGCTCGAGTATATATACTGCACAGTATTCTCCATGTTGGCTCAGAGCACTCGACAACAGCAGTCCTCTACCCAGACATCAGTGTTCAAACCCATTCTACCCATTCAGCATGCAATTCCGCGCATTTGCCGTCATCGCTGTCGCCAGCGCGCTGCTGTCCGCTGCAAATGTCGGGGCCAACCCCACTGTCCGCATTGTCGAGTGAGTCATGCCAGGTCGCATATCCATTGCTTTCCCGTACTGACTGGCACTCTCATTGGTGAAGTCCAGGTAGTGACGGATGCCGCTGAACCACTTCTGCTCACCGCCCGTTTGCTCCTGCACAGGCCGACAGCACCACGCTCGCAGCCCGCAGCGCGTGCGATGATGCCGACGAAATTGACATCAAGTTCGACATCGGTCTCGACGGTGACACGTTCGCGACGTGCAAGAATGTCAACTGGAACACGTGGGAGGCGTCGAGTACGCCGGGAGATTTCAACTGGTGCAGGACGGAGTGGACGAGATGCAGCGGCACTCACCGCAGTGGGGTCTGCAACAGGGGCAGCAAGTTCTGCGAGGCCGCGCGCCAGTACTGCGCAAAGCTCGGCGGAAGCTTCTCGTGCAACTGATATGCGGGGCGCTCTGCATACCAAGGCGTTCTGTAGCGGGATGTGGATTGAAGTGGGTTTGCGCACCAGCGGTCTCCTTCATACTGTATGCCTGTCAGACGTGCGATATAGATACGTTTCTTGTGTAATCGCGGCGCAGTGTCGTTCAACACGACATTCGCTCGATAATATATAGGCCATCATGATTTCGTTGTGCATTGGTGTTGAGCTTGAGCATGTTTTGCATTGCGATCCAGGTGACGACGAGCAGATAAAGTGAGAGCACTGTATACAACATCTCTGTGAGGATCACACAAAATGTACTGTTGTCCACAGGTAAAGGAAGGACGCACTGTCGGGACCACAACAGTTATTGAAGGCAGCTGTTGTTGAATGTTACACTGTGATTACCGAGTGACCGGGCACTGTGGGGAGAAACAATTTTTCGAATGCACATAGCAGATTAAATGCTACATTTGGAACGATCCTCGGGGGAGGGGGGGGGGGCAGTCAAGCATGGGCTCCAAACTTCGGGACGGATGTCGAATCACGCCCTCCTTACGGGGGGCGGTTGTCCTGTTCGCGGCTTCAATAACTCAGATATTTGAAGACATCATCCATAGAATGAAGAGGTCAATAGACGAGTATGAAAATCTGGGATAGGGCCTTCGCAAACACACATACCGGCAAGATGTATGACAGTAGCAGCCGCCAACACGAATCTCGGCCGTCCGGGATGCAACAGGTGCCAGAAAGCGTTACACCAGGCGATGCACCAGGGTATGTTGGAACTTGGGATTGTGGCGAGCGCACGCCAACGTATTTGGCGTTGTAGTACCTCGCAGACTTTGCGCGAGCCGTCCTGTACGTTCCTTACGCATTTGACAGAGCTCAGACAAACTCGATATATCTTGTTGATCGTTCTCGCTTCGGGTCTCAGACGAACTTTAACAGAGTCGGCCCCGGACTGGTAAACCATGGTAGGAGTGAGAACGCGATAGTGAAGACTAGTTCTAGGAGCCTGACGTTAGACATGATTATCCGGAGCCGGTGCAGGTTGAAGGAATTGTCTGATCTGTTCTCAGGAGACTAGCGCACGCCGACGAAGGATATCTTGACGATTATGAGGAGTCCGAGCTAATAGCAGCGTCACCCATGGTTTATTCGAACTCCGCTGTGGCTTATGGGGAGCGTCGACCTTCAGTCAGACGCACACCATGGTGTCGTGAATCTACATCCGGCTCGACTTTCTAGACCGCCAGCCGCTTATGAGCCTGAGCAGTCAATCCTCTTCACGTCTTCGGCCTTCGTTTCTTCATCTAGTGCACAAAGTGCAAAATAGATTCGGAAGAGCACCTTCACCATGTATGTGACTCCCCTACGTGAATTCAAGCACACATTCCACCCCCCTGGGCAACGCACCTGAAGTGTGCTATGATCTCAATGATCTCAATATAGTTCTTATATCTAAAATATGATTTGTGTGGTGTGGAGACTGGAGTCTACATCACGCTAGCCCGATCAATCGCCTGTGAATAATTCTGACCGTGAGCTCTATGATTAGCGCCGATTCCTCCCGTCAAGCCGCAAACGATGTATATTTCCCCAGTTGGAATCGGCAATGCAAAGCCAGAAGATCCCTTCTGGCTGGAGGGTATCAAGCATCAGGGCATCTCCGCTTTCAACCCAGACCCCAGCTCTTACAAGGTGTTCCGTAACGTCAAGGATTTTGGCGCTGTTGGTGATGGCGTAGCGGACGACACAGAGGCTATCAAGTCCGCAGAAGTTGCATTATACCTTGATATGTAGCTCATCTATCTTCAGCGCTGCGATGTCCATGGGAGGGAGGTGCGGTGGCGGAAATTGGGAGTCTTCCACGATCGTCCCTGCCATCGTTTACTTCCCTCGAGGGTGAGACTAAATCGCGGCATTCATACCGGATAATGACTTTCAGTGCCTTTTCAGCATATACAAAATCGCCTCTCCTATTGTGTGAGCGACGATAGACCCTCTTACTATCCTCTCTTCGATTGACTTTACTCATCAAACAGTGCTTATTATTACACCCAAATCATCGGAGATGCACGAAATCCCCCAACTCTTCTTGCTGCCTCTAACTTCAACGGGATGGCCATCATCGGTGATCAAAATTGTCATGCATATAGTTTCGCCCCGCTCTGAACATACGAATGGCAGATGCCGATCCGTATATTCCCGGAGGAGGTGGTGCTCAATGGTACACGAACCAGAACAACTTCTTCCGCAGTGTCCGGAACTTCGTAATCGATCTCAGGCGGATGCCTGACTTTGCGTCTGCCACTGGAATACATTGGCAGGTTGCGCAAGCAACTTCGCTTATGAATATAATATTCTTAATGAGCACGCGGAAGAACAATGCCCATCAGGGTGCCAATCCCTCTGCGTTGTAGGTAGACCGGAGCTGACTAGAAACGCGTCACAGGAATTTGGATGGAGAATGGAAGTGGCGGTTTTATGGGAGGTAAGCCGAGAAATCCTTTCTCTTCTGCGCAAATATCCAGGGTCGATACCAAACTGTCAACGTAGATCTAACATTTCATGGAGGTAATACAACACAGCTTGGTATATGAGGATATATCATCTAACCAATATAGGCAAATTCGGCATGTGGGTAGGGAACCAGCAGTATGTTTCCGTATTTATGGGGTGACAATGTGGTTGGTTTATTCATCTTCGATTGAAAGATTCACTGTGCGCAACATCACGGTGCATAACGCAGACACAGGCGGGTGTTAATGAACAGTACATCTGACAGGATATTTGACATTCTATTTGTTTTAGCCGTGTACGGAATGTGGAACTGGGGTATGAAGTTTTGCGTCGAACCGCGATGTTATATTTACCTACTATGTATAGGATGGACGTTCCAGGGGGTTACAAGTAAGACCTCGCGGCCAATGATCAGAAAAATCCAGCTGATCGGATCACGTAACAAGTCGACAATTGTCAGGTTGGCTTTGATCTCAAGACTGGAGGAACATCGTCGGATAATCAAGTCTGTACTACGCTGGCATTTTCTACTCTTACTGACCACTGCCACAGACTGTCGGCGGAGAGGCCATTATTGACGCTATAGTGACCAACACGCCTGTCTTCCTGCGCACCTCAACAGCGACCTCTTCGCTAGCTGGGTCGCTTGTCTTGAACAACATTCATCTTAACAATGTCCCTGTAGCCGTTGGCGTCATCGGGGGACAAGTCCTCTTACCAGGAGGTACCACCGTCATTGCCAGCTGGGCGCAAGGGAATGTGTATACAGGCATGAACAGCCAGCATTCGTTTGTTCGGGGCAACATTCCTGCGCCAATGAAGGCACAGAGTTTGCTTGATAGCTCTGGCAGGATTTTCGGCCGAGTGCATCCCCAGTGAGTCCAAGCACCATGGCTATGAAATGATGTTTAAAGGCGATCAGGTATGAAGACTACTCTGTAGACCAGTTCGTGAGCGTCAGAACTCTAGGCGCGAAGGGCGACGGGCGCACAGACGATACAGAGGCACTCCAGTCTATTTTGAATGAGGTAGTACCATTTCCAGTCCCGATATCGAGCCGTTCTCTGACGCGTATGATAGTACTCGGGACGAAGGATCATATTTGTCGATGCGGGCACCTATTACATAACGGGCACCCTCACAATCCCTGCAGGTACCCAACTTGTAGGCGAAGCATGGAGCGTAATAATGGGTGGTGGACCCGCCTTCGCCGACCAGAAAAATCCTACTGTCATGGTGCGAGCTGGGGAGCCGGGTTCCGAGGGTATCCTCGAGATCACGGATATCATCTTTGCGACGCGGGGCCCTGGTTAGTGCGCCATCGGTCCAGGCCCTCACCATATATTGCTGACGATCCGCAGCACCAGGCGCTATCGTTGTGGAATGGAATATACATTCTGATATTCAGGGCGGCGCCGGGATGTGGGATTCTCACATCAGGTAAGCGTTCCGGCATCCCATTTCAAATGACGTCCATGCCGAAATAACAAATACGGCGGGATCTACAGACTCGGTGGAGGTGAGCGAACACATGAGAGATCACTCAGGGAAGACGTGCTGAGTATGTTCCAGCGGCCGGGACAAACTTGGAAGTAGCACAATGCCCCCAAACGCCGGTCAACGACTCATGCTATGCGGCGTTTCTCGCACTTCACTTAACACCTAGTTCAAATGCCTACCTCGAAGTACTACCGACCTTGATCTCGCATGCCCGGTGACAACTCTAACGCGTACTTAGGGCACTTGGGTCTGGCTAGCAGATCATGATCTTGACGGAGATGGAAAGTCTCAGATCACAGTTTTCAGTGGTCGTGGTATATTGTCCGAGTCGGCGGGACCTGTATGGATGATTGGAACAGGTGCGTTATCATTCACTATCAAGACATGAATAATATGCAAACATCGCATATACACTACTCAGCATGTAAGCCTGGCATAATATTACGTGAAGTACGCTAATTTGATACCATTTTAGCTGAACATCATACACTGTATCAATACAATCTCATCAAAGCCAGAGACCATTATATGGGGTTGATACAAACTGAGACGGTAGCAGTCATCCACAATCAACTGTTGCCCATGCTGACAGAAGGTATTACTTTGTCTAGCCATACTATCAGCCGACTCCCATGCCTCCGGCACCGTTCTCGATCGAAGCAAAGTACAATGACCCAACATTCCCACCCGGCCAATCGTCGTCGTGGGCCGTCAACATACAGAATTCTGCAAACATCCTAATCTTTGGTATGTCCGCAACTGAATTCGGCGATGAACTTGATTGACAATATGACGTCCACTTCCAGGCGCTGGCCTCTACAGTTTCTTCAGTAACTATACGCAAGCGTGTCTCAAGGATCGGTCGTGCCAAAGCCAGATTTTCAACGTCGACCTCACGTCGTCGATCAGCGTGTACAGTCTGGCAACGGTCGGAGTGACCCATCAGCTCAGCGTTGATCATCACCCGATCATTCCAGCCAATGCAAATATGAACGGCTTCCAGTGCACGGCTACTGCTTGGACACGGTAATGCACACAGTAGGATTAACTGGTCGATAGCAACGGGTGCCTAGGGCTATCACCTCTTGTAAGTACTAATTCCCATGACATGCCGAGCTTCCGTTTCTTTGAATGACGTCGCTACGAATTACTTTTCTTTCCTTTTGAGTGGTTTATGTGCGATGTTATGGACAGGATGCTTGCGATAGACGTAGACCGACCAAAAATGACTGCAGGCAACCACTGGTGCTCTCATCGAAGATTACTTTAGCTATAGAGAGGACCGCCCTCATGTGCATCATCACTGCCCCCTCGTGTGAATCGAAGCAGGATCAACGGCTGCGCGTCGTCGAAGGAAATCGCGCGGGAAATTGGATGATCTAACGTGGATTTGTTCTCATGATGCAGTGAAATACTGTTTCGCATATTTTAGCGCAGTGCAGCCGGATCGCACTGTTCGCGCACCCTCACCATGAGTAACATCTATGGTCCTGGCGGTACCCTCCCTCCTATTCCAGATGATCTGACAATAGCACAGTTTATTCTTGATGCCGCGCATGTCTCCAGGCCACAGGTAGTAACATCATGTCTGATCGATGACTCCACTGGACGCAAGACCAAGATGGACGAGGTATGCGTCATGATTTTAATCGATGTTGATAATGGCCTGGCTCATACTCTGTAGGTCCGGATACGTACACGAGCACTTGCCCAATCTCTCCAGACCCATTGGGATATTGGTATGTCCTTGAGACAGGAGAAACGCACAAGCTGACCTTGGCATACATAGGGAAGAACGACGTTGGTACGAGACCTTGACATCCTCAACCCTCCGTTCTCCATTTTGACAAATAGCAAGTTTGTATCTGTAGCCCAAATCATGTCGGTATGTGGCTGCAGTGAATGTACTCGAGATTTTGTTCCTTGAATGTTGTCTCGCAGACTACCCCGTTGCTGTTTGGTGAGTCATAGGTAATCATCCTGTCTGTAAGCAGAGCATATTGATTATCGACAAGGGCTGTCCATTTACTAGGTGGAATTGTGACGTAAGGACAACGGTGTCTGGATACTTAATTGCCTCGTGGATGATAACCTTTACAGAGCTGCAAATCCGGCTTATACAACGGGTGAACTGGAACATCAACTTGTGACTACTGAGGCAAAGCTCATGATTGTTCATCCGGCGAGCTATGCTGTGGCGCTTAGGGCTGCTAGCACTGCAGGTCTACCGATGGAGAGGATTATTTTGATAGATAGTTTGAAAGATGCGAATTCTCGACCTCATCATATCGTCCAGGAGTTGATCACAGAAGGCTATCAGCACCATTCCATTCTTGTTGAGAGCCGCTTCCGTCCGGGGGAAGGCAGAACGAGGCTGGCTTTTCTGAGTTTCTCGAGCGGGACAACAGGCAAAGCGAAGGTGAGGACCGTTCTTGATCATATTGGTCTCGCGCCCAGGCCTCTTCATTGTACACCTGCCCACCACTGAGGTGGTACAGTATAAGACTGATTGATCCGAGGCTAGGACAGATCAGGATGTGCGCTCACTGATTAATATCCTACCCAGGCCGTGTGTATCCCACATTACGCCACAATTGCAGCTGTGATTCAACTCGCACATCTAGTCAACTCACAACCTCGATCGTCTGACGAGAGAAAAATTCGTCCAGGCGATGTGTGGCTAGCACGTGAGTATTTGTCCCTGTGCAACGGTTCCTCATGAGACTGATTGAATTACGATTCTAGTTGCTCCGTTTTATCGTGAGTTGCTAGTGAATATTATCGCAGACGGGCAGCTCACGTTTATAGACATTTATGGTTTGGTTGTCATGATGCATTTCGCATTCTTCTATGGAGTATGCGTGCGCTGTTAGAGTGCAGCCTGAAATTGACGAACGCTTCTAGGGCGCCTTGATTGTCGTTCCGAGGTTCAATTTCGTAGAGATGCTAAAGAGTATTGAGCGTTACCGAGTCAACGTCCTTCCGTGCGTTCAAGTCTGCCTTTTGGGATAATGCTTTATTTATATCGCTGTCAGAGTGGTACCTCCGCAAGTCGTTCTGCTCTGCAAGGTACATATCCTTGAATTACATGGACCTTCTAAAGTCAAGATCGATCATTTCCCACAGCATTCTGATGTCAAGAATTACGACTTACGATCCATTCGATTGCTAATAAGCGGAGCCGCGCCGTTGTCTGCGGAACTCATAACCCAGCTGTCCCAGATACTTCCATCTGCAAGTATAGGACAAGGCTATGGTCGGTGATCATCGCCGAGTAGCACTTACAGGATGTTCTTGCCTGACTCAGTGCTGCAGGTATGACGGAGGTGGTTGGCTCAATAGCCTTCCCGCAGATGGAGCAGAAAATCGGGACACCCGGCAGTGCAGGCCGTCTTGTCCCAGGCATGATTGCCCGTGTAGTGCGCCCCGACGGAACTATTGCCAAGATAGGTGAACCTGGGCATCTTCTGATCAGTGGGCCCGCCACGGCATTGGGGTACCTGAAGAATGAGGAAGCGTAAGCTTTTCCATTGGATTCTGCGTTGCGTATCTGAAGTACGTATGTGGTAATAGCACCAAGGAGACATTCGTAGATGGGTATGGGTACACTACACAAGGACATGTGAATCCGCCGCTCAAACACGAGCCAGATGGGTGCACACAGGTGATGAAGTTATTATCAACGAACAATCGGAGATCTTCATTCTGGACCGTATCAAGGTAGTTCAGGTTCTTTTGATACAGGAGGGCATATCCTAACTCCACCCCTTCCAGGAACTGCTGAAGGTGAAGGGGTATCAGGGTGAGACACTGAACGACCTTAGCTCATCGCCGTCAAGTAACATGCTCCCAACGTAGTCGCGCCGGCAGAACTGGAGGGTCATCTGTTGGACCATCCAGACGTCGCCGATATCTGCGTCGTAGGCTTGCAGGACGATTATAGCGGCGAGCTTCCCCTCGCCTTCGTCGTCCCTAGCACAAAGGCCACTGAACGAATCAAGCGGGACCCTGCCGAGGCGGAAAGAGTCCGGGCAATTCTGATGAAGGTCAGCAGCGATGCATTCTGTCGTGACGTTCTGCTTTCCCTCCGAACAGCATGTCGCCGATGCGAAGGTCCATTACAAGCGTCTGGCAGGCGGCGTCGAGTTTGTTGAATCCATCCCGAAGAACCCGAGTGGCAAACTCTTACGTCGTGTGTTACGAGAGCGTGCAAGGGAGATGCAGAAGCAGGGCAAGCTGTCGAGTAAGCCCAGAGCGAAGCTTTAGCACGGTCACGATAATGGGGATTATCACGTAGCAATGCTAGTGATGAGGTGTACATCTAGTCTATGCAGGATCACAAATCGGCGAAGAACGAACGCTCGGCATCGATCTCGTTACGACCCTTCTTTCTTTTGACCAGTTGGAGCGGATCCTTGTCCTGCTTGCGCTTGCGCTTTTTCTCCTCTGGTTCGACATCATCTTCACTCGACTCTTCGGCTGCGTCCTCGCCCTCTTCGTGCGGTTCTTCCGCTTCCTCTTGTGATGCATCCTCCATAGCAGGCTCCGCTGTGTCAGTGTCTTCTGCTTCGCCCTCGTCATCTTCACCCTCAGTGCCATCTTTTCCATCCTCATCTTCGTCTTCCTTCCCGTCCTCATCCTCAAACACCTCCTTGAGGTCAGTGAGCTTGAGTACCTCCTCATGCCCTGCACTGCCGACCCAGCGGCCCTCGCCGCCGCGATCAACTGCGACGCACTCGATCGGGAACTCGCCGTGGTCCGCGACAACACCGAGTAGCTTCGTTGGGAAGAGCTGCACAGCACGCAGGATGCCGTCGGAGGAGCCGGTGAGGATCGTCGAGTGCGAAGAGGGGTAGGACGAGGGTATGTTACAGAGCGTGTCGATCGAGTGTGGGTGCCTGTATGTGTGTGGATCAGTTGGGATCGTGATGCAACAGGGCAAAGGGCGAGAGGGGAGTCACGCACCCGGGAATCCGATCCACACAGTCACCCCATCCATTGCGTCGGTTGAATATTGATAGAATGCCTAATTGCGTCCCGACTGCGAACTTCTGTCCCCTAGGTAGAACCTGAGCACGGGTTTGTATAAGACGATGGGCTATGCAACATACCCTTTAATGGGAACGATCGAGAGGAGTTCATCTTCTTGGTCCTCTGATTGGGCCAGAGGTTCCGTCTTTTTTGCTCTCACATCAATGACGGATAAAGTGCCGTCACCGCTGGTCCCCAACTTGCTTAATGGCAATTGACAGGTAATGGGAATCAGACAAACCTCGTTGAGACTAACTGTTTCCAATCGGACAGCCATAGGAAATCAGAGATGAAGTCGAAGTGATGATTGTACGCCTTGATGGCATCTGGTTTTCGTGGGTCCCACAGCTAGAATGCATGATGGTTGAATTAAAAGGATAAGGGCGGCAGAAAGGAACTACCTTAATCACTCCGTCGTCATCTCCGGACGACAGCAAGTTGGTCGTAAGGTGTTTAACGCGGTTGATGGCTGCACTTGCAGACCCTGTCCACATCAACACAATGAATATGAGAGCGAGCATCATGACTCACTCGTGGGCATTGTATATGGTGTTCACTATCTCACCCGTCCCAACATCAATAGTACTTTGGATCAAACTCAGAACAAGCCTTGGATATTGACAGAAGGCAGAGTGATGCTCACTATAAAGACTTCGCTTTTCCCGCCGCCCACAGCCTGCTGCCGTCATCACTGATGGCTAGAGCCCTACAGGATCGTTTTGAAGGTCGAACGGCGAACTTGCTATCATGGTTCCCCTGCTCGTCGTAGCCAAATGCCTTCACATGGCCCGTCAGGAGACCGGTGAATACAATTGAGTCTGTTGGGTGGAAGATAAGGTCAAATATTTGAGTGCCGACAGGGATGTCAGGCATGGCGGTCGTAGATGCCCTTAAAGGTTCACACCATTGCACTTCAAAAGTTCCAGAAGACGTGAAATTAGAGTTACGCGTCAATTCATTGGGTCACGACCGTCACCTCCGCGATATTGTCACGCTTCCAGAGAAGCGCCCAGCAGTGCGTAAGTAGCCTGAATAAGGAGAACATCTTATTGATGATGCCTAGTAATGTGCATTATGAATATGTAGAATCGGCGAAACCTGGTTTCATTATCCCCCTTTTGTTCGTTCCCCACCGTCTCTGAGCGAGCTTGATGAGCCTTTGCTCTATTTAGCCGAATAGGCGGTAATCATCCCCAATAGCAGCGTGACTGAGCGTGACTTAAGCTATGCAACGCAGGCGCAGCCAGTTCTCGACAACTTGTCTTGCCTTACCATCATCTCCCCCGGCCATGAGGATATGAAGAATGACACTCAGTGGTCTGTTATTTGCATTTCTGGCTACTGGAAAATGTCTTGCCGAGGTCGTCCTTCCCGTTCGACCCGCGACTCGCATAACAGAGCTGTCGACCATTGACTCCTCTCGCACGGGTTACCACTGGGCATCGGGCACGGGAACTGGTGACGGTCTTAACTTACTCGATATCGTTTTGGTTGCCTCTGTCGACGGGAAGCTCCATGCACTCAACCGGAACTCTGGCGAAACAGTATGGTCCATGGCAGGCGGGGAGGGCACAGCGCCGGCGACCCTGGGTCCTCTCGTCCGCACACAGCACCCCGACATCGATCCCGACCTGACGGACGACGACTCCGACTACCAGGACGTCTATGTTGTTGAACCTCAGACTGGGGACATCTTCATCATGTCCTCGCCGAACAGCCCATTAAAGCGCTTGCCCTTTTCCGTTCCTCAGCTCGTGGATTTGTCGCCATTCAGTTTCTCTTCTGACGATGACAAAAGGTTGTTCATCGGTAAGAAGGAGACATCACTCCTACTGATTGAGCTCGAGACGGGGCGAGTGAAGGCGACCCTCAACTCAGAGTGTCCATGGGACCCGTTTCAGGATATGGCCGAGCCTGCAGAGTTCGACATAGATCTAGACGAGTTAGAGGGGACAAAGCCGCCCAAGTTGCCGTCGAACCCCACGGAGGTATATATCGGGCGCACAGGTGAGTCTCCAGGGGACCCGCATTTCATTTTTTATTAACCCACGTGCAGACTACACGGTTTCGATTCATACCCGTCCCTCCCGTCCCTCCTCCACCAAACCGCCAATCCAGAAACTCTCGTTCTCTGTTTATGGCCCCAATAACGAGGACCTCGCGCTACAAGCGTTGTACAGGCACACTGCCGATAACGCGTATATCCAGCCATTGCCAAGCGGCGAAATACTCTCGATCAAGCCTTCGAACTCAAATACACCCAATTCTGAGGCTACGCACATACCCGAGATGATTTGGGGTCGAACATTTTCAACACCAATGTGCGTCTTCGATCTCAGGATGTATGCTGCACATTCTGAGCTTCCATAGTGTTGCTGTGCTTGACGTTCTGCGAGCGCCAGAACGGAGAAATCCGTTCGTGCTCCTGCAGCCGCGCCTGCATCTTCAGGAGATTCTTCCCAACGCCGACTTGCAAACACCAATTATGCGCAACCGGCTAGAATCTGCATTCGTCGGGATGGTCGAAGAGACAGGCTCCCTATTCGCCATGAGTCCGAGCACTTACCCAATGGTGGTCTTCGGAGACGCAGGTGTGGGGCGCTTCCTCGACTCGGCGCCCGTCGTGGGCGACTACGATCTTCCTGGCGACCTCGATGCGGTGACGCGCAAAGCGAAAGAGCGGAAAATGCGCAAGATGTGCCAGGATGGAAGCATGGACCGGCGGTGCCTCACAGGCGTGCACAAGCTGGTATCATCAAGCGAGTCTAGGTTAAGCAGGCTTCTCGACGGCGTGCCGACAGCTCTCGAACCGCCTCGAACTAGTGCACCAGGCAATAACACTCGTCGTGTGTCCAATGGTGCACCTGATGGTGATGAGTCGCCAGCCATTCATCGACAAATGATGGTATGGGATTTGCAGAGAGATGCACCGCTGGATGACGATCTACCCAGATTGGACCCAACGCTGGGTGACGACCTACCTAAATTGGACCCAATCTCGTCTGTCCAGGCATTCTCGGCTTTTGCGGTGTGCGCGCTCGCCCTGCTCGCGACTCTCGTTTGGCTCGGAATGAGGAGCAAGTCGAGCCGACGTCCCGTCCCCCCCAAAGTCACCCGTAACCCATCGGAAGGCTCTGAGAACCCCGACATTGACACCTCGTCAATCCCAGTACCTGGAGACTACAAATTGGCAGACGTTGCGGAGGATGTGAAGGTTCCTGGTTCCGACATCTCTCGCTCGCCTACACCTATTCCAATTACTGTGTCCGACTCGGGTAAATTTGTGGATACGCACGAACAGATAGCTTCAGATGATCTACCTGGCGCATCGCAAGAAGGCGGCGCTGACGGCGACGATAGCGAGAAGGAAGGCGACACGCCCGCTACTCCAGGAAGGCGGAAGGGCCTGAGGCGCAAACGCGGAAAGAAAAAGAAGGGCGGTGCTGCGGCCAATGGCAATGGTGCCGTTACGGACGCAGAAGCGGATAGAGATGGAGATCTTGCTCCCGGGTCGGACAACGCTCAGGGTGAGTCAACACCGAGAGTAGATGACGGCGTGGGGGGCGCTCTGCATATTATACCACCATCGACCCTCATAGTACCTCCTCCGTCGACGCCTATACCGGTCGTCCCATCCCTCGTTGTGTCGGACACGATTCTGGGTAAGTGTCTGCCAGTGCGTCTGTGCTACTGCAACAAGGACTGACAGTTTTGTCAGGATTCGGATCCCACGGCACTGTCGTGTTCAAGGGCTCACTGCAGGGCCGGGCAGTGGCTGTCAAGCGCCTTCTGCAAGACTTTGTCACACTTGCCTCGCGCGAGGTCAATATTCTACAAGAGTCTGATGACCATCCGAACGTCATCCGGTACTACTACCAAGAGTCGCAGAGCAACTTCCTCTACATTGCACTTGAGCTCTGCCCGGCATCACTAGCAGACATCATCGAACGTCCAGATGGCCACCGTGACATCGTCATCGCTTTCGATCCGAAGCGTGCACTTCGCCAGATTACGGCTGGCCTCAGACATCTGCATGCGCTGAAGATCGTCCACCGTGATATCAAGCCCCAAAATATATTGATATCACATGCGAAGAAGGGTATCGGCGAGACCGCCGGGCACAGGATGCTCATTTCCGATTTCGGTCTCTGCCGAAAACTGGAGGTCGACCAGACGAGCTTCCTGCCCTCTGCAAACGGCGCAATGGCTGCAGGTACCGTTGGCTGGCGGGCGCCGGAGATCTTGCGTGGAGAGGTCAAGCTCGATGATGCGACAGGAGATGAATCACAGTCATCCCGCGGGTCCGTCGGCAGCATCAATGGCACGCCGACGGGCAAACCCGCGCGCTTGACGAAATCCGTCGACATCTTCGCGCTCGGATGTCTGTACTATTATGTGCTGACGAACGGCAGTCACCCATTCGGCGACCGCTACGAGCGCGAGGTGAATATCCTCAAGAATGCGAAGTGCTTGGATGGCCTAGAACACTTCGGAGAAGAGGGCTCGGAAGGAGCCGACCTCATTAACCGCATGCTGAACCCTGAGGCATATGACCGGTGAGTGTCTCTAGCAATGTGTTCCTGGTGCCATTGCTGAACGGTAGCCAACAGCCCGGATACCAGCACATGTCTGCTGCATCCGTACTTCTGGGACCCGGGAAAGCGATTGACGTTCCTTCAGGATGCATCTGATCGGTTCGAGATCATGTGTCGAGATCCCCGAGATCCAAATCTCATCGTGCTGGAGACCGGCGCGTTTGACGTTGTTGGGAACGACTGGCACTCTCGGCTTGACAAGCTGTTCATCGAAAATCTTGGTAAATTCAGGAAGTACGACGGCCGTTCTGTACAGGATCTGTTACGCGCATTACGGAATAAGGCGAGCAGGCATGAGTATCTTTATTGCTTGAGCGCTGATCAACTGTCTGTAGAAACACCATTACCAGGACCTGCCCGACAATGTCAAACGACTACTCGGGACCATGCCCGAGGGCTTTTTGGCATACTTCACTCGCAAATTCCCTCACCTCTTCCTACATGTCCACTCAGTCGTCTCTGCAACATCGTTGCGCAATGAGTCAATGTTTCGTACATACTTCGAACTAACCGACTAATCATCTGCATCATCTGGAACGGACCGTAGCATCGTCATCTAATGTCAGTTATTCGTCATGCTGTATCTGTATCGCAATGCTTTTTGTACCTATCATTATATATTACTGTTACACTGTTACAACAAGGGTCTGTTGAATGTCAGCACTATAATGAGGATAAATATGCTCATAGAATACATGCGTGGGTGACGGTCGAAGTCCGTGTAGATCAGTGCATAGTCAAAGGCCATGTCAGTGGCCAGTCGTAAGGTTTACGATGAGCGTGACCCGACCACAATGAGTGCCACCACGAAGACGGCGACGATGACGACACCGCTAGTGATGGCAGCAATGCGACAGCGGGTAACCCATATGTCGATGGTTCGAGCAGCACGCTGCTTCATTTTGCGCGTAGAGGCAACGCTCGTATTGCTGTGGACAGACGGGCATAGGCTCTCCACGGAGGGGGCGACAAGGGGATACCAGAGTCTGAGCGCGAGCAGCTTGTGTCTGTCTCTGTCGGACAGTCCCTCGCGCTGCTTTCCTCGTCTTCTCCACAGGGGCAGCACGGTCTCAGACCGCCGGCTCTCTAGCGTGACATCGCCGCCGTTGGACAGCATCCAACCACCGATGAGCCAGCACCATGGTCCGACAAACCCAACCCAGAAGAGCACGCACGCGAGGCTCACGGGTATGCGCTTTCGTTTGACAATGGGGATAGCGAAGCGGTCGCTGCTGTACGACACGCCCTTAAGCCAGCGCTTCAGGATGTACGACTCCGAGTCCCCGCTCGAGAACGAGTGAGGCCTGCGCGGGATTGCACTGGGCCCGCCAAGGAGTGGCTGCAGTGAGGACGCCTGCGCAGAGGACGCCTGCGCACGGTGGCGTGGTTCGTGGTCCGCAGCCAAATCCACATCGTACAGGCCCTCAGGAAGACCGCTCGTGCGCGGCGCGGGCGTGCCTTCCGTGCCTGTCCTGCTCGATGCGGCGTATGCGTAGTCGTGCATGCGCACGCTTACATTAAGGTCAGGCGTGCGCACGCTGACGCTGATGTCGACTGCGCGCTCGTCGTCCGAGTCGTGCTCAGGCGTGTGTTCGGACGGCGCGGTGATGAAGCTGGATGTGCGCGCGGATGAGCCGTCCTCGTAGATGACGGAGTACTTCGGGCTGCTGACCACTGTGGGAAGCGATGGAGCCGCGAGGCGCGAGCGGCGCGGTGGGATACCGACTGTGCTCTGGAAGTCCGGGCGGAGATCGAGTGGAGGAATGATGGGGGGTGCTACGGACGCGGTCGACCGGAAGGTGCTCGTCGATGCCTGGCTGGCGGAGCGATTCAGAGGTCTATTGATGAAAGCACCGGGATATGCAGACAGAGAGATTTCTATAGGTCGACAGGCATGAGAGAAGCAACCGAATATTGGAGAAGATCACTCACTGTGTCCGTCGTGCACTCTGGTTGAGTCTGGGGTAAGGGGTACCGAGTCAATCGATGGTCGCCTGACAGCAGGGAAGTGTACCCGCTCATCAAGCGGCAGAATCTGTCTCGTAGGTTGGACCTCGAGATTTACCCGCCTCTCAGAGTCCTCAGATGCACTGGCAAGCAAGGAATGGGCGTGAAGAGACTGAGAACTATGCCGCCGCAAGGACTCGGCACGCTGTCTTTGTGACCCAGGGTTCAACAGAAGGAGAGATGGCGCAGACACTGAATGCGAGTCATACTGCATGCTCCACGGCGGCTCAGCAACGGACGTCGGCTGGGATGGGTTCGGACTTGGCACCTTCCACGATACATGGGAGGGCGTCGGTGCGCGTATCCGCTCCATCGGAATACTGAGATGTGATGACGGCTTGCGCTCAAGGTGAATACCGCTGTCTTGTGCTGTGCTCGTCGAAGTGCGCCCCTGGCCTTTCTCAGTGAACGAGTCGGGCTCGGGCTCTGAAGCGGAACTGGTCTGAAACAAGCGGGAGAAGGCGCTGAGCATGCTAGCGCGGATGCACGGTGCGGACCAGCGCTGGAGGACGTAAAATACAAGGCAGAGCGAGAACGGGCGTCCGGGTCAAGTACGGAACCTGGAGCCAGCCCGGGCAGACTCACTTAAATGTGCGCTGCGTTGCGGGGAATGCAGGAGGGAAGGTCCGGGCGCGTGTGCTCGCGACGCGTGCAGGTATGCTATAAGGTTATATGGGCGGCTGACGACAGGAGGATGCCACCTGCCGCAGGGAAGGCACACTGCCTCGAGGACTGGTTAACACCTAAATCATGACGATCGAGGCTATGCATGTTCTTCCACAGACAAGCGATAGTTAGCGACAGTTTGTTCGGATAACCCGGGCGCTTTCTCGTGTGTATCAGGCCAAAAGCAGATTTATAAGACGTACCAGCAGGATCAGATGGGAATTTGGAACAGCTGGACGCGAGGAAGCCATGAGCCGTGAGCAAACGTTTCCGCGTGGTGGACACGTGACCGTGATTTTGTGCCCATTTCACGCCTCTTGGAGTTTCATGCGTCCTTCGGGTTCCAGCGACTTGTGGACGAGTTACTGCATTTGCAGTCAGCGTCATTGACCTTAATACGAGATGCTTTATTTGAGCGTTAGGTACGTCATTATTGCGATACGGAGCAATCCGCGGCCCACTGGCAGCGATTCGACAATTAATGGCAACAGAACTGGCGGTGCGAAGTTGCTGCCTAGAGACCCTGAGTGCTATGGACACTGGATTCACAGCTGAACGACGATCGCATTCAATTGACGCTTGAGCGAGGGGGGTCTAATTGAGCACCGCAACGAAGGTCAATTGCAGCGTGCTGAGACAGACATGAGGTTCATGTCGAACATCGTGCTAAGTAGCGCTGGAATGAATGTCGAATGCTATTTCAGTAAAGGACGTCATTTCTACGACAGTCGCTTCTGCATGTTTCTAATGGATGTGGGATGCATCGCCTTCGCTTCAAATCTGCACGGACTCACCTCGAATTGCACTATGCATACAAACATCAGCGAAGTCGTGAGGCTTCGCAAAAGAAAGTCTACAGGGACAAACGGCTCCTTGATACACGGTGATGTTTAAATGCTCCACGAGGCTTTGAATATTTGGAGATATTGCACAGTTGTCGATAACTCTGTTGATCGTCTTTCTACTAAATCATGCAAGGGATGCGAGAGGAGCAAGGTCATTGAACCTCACATGTGTGCTCGCCCGATCTGGGTTCTCTATTACATCTTCTTGCCCAATTGAGCAACATCTATTCCTTGAGGGGCCGATCAGGTTGTGCATGGATATCCGGAGCCTGCGCGAGCTGAAGGGATTGTAACGCATACTGCTTACAGGAGACTACAATGAGCCTGGTTGGATTGCTCTGTCGTGCGCTTCGTTTCTGCACAAGGGGGCGAATCTGCTGATCAGATACTTTTGAGCATAAGAATCGCAAGTATGCAGATTAATCCACAGGAAATTAAGGGGGTCAAGAGTCTAACGTCCAAGGCGTCACCATCTCAAGTTGTTGATCGCTATATAGCCGAGGGTGTCGATTCAGCACTTGCAGCTTGAATCAATCCTGGCATGCCCTTTAGCCCTCGTTCTGAAAGTTTGAGAATCAGGCCGCGACGGTTATGCAGCCCTCGGATAGCTCTTTAGCATTTTATTGCTTCTGAAATAAGGAAGCATGATAGCACGCAAGCAAACCAGTTCAAATGAAGGGAGCAGCAGAAGGATTGATGACCGAGTAACAATCCAGTACTTATGATCTTGATCGAATAATGGTCGGTGAGAGATGTCCAAATAGAGGCAAACAAGGTGCACATCTCTCTTCCCGCGTCGGGCCTGGGTCTTTCTGTCCCTCGCTGCCGCCATGTACAAGATCATCCGACGTATTTCCAGCTCCTTTTTCCCCCGACCAGACCGCCCATGGAGCGAAGACGGTAAGGCCCTTCATTTCACGCTGCAAACACGCGTCTCACGCGTGTTATAGCCACGTCGAACGCACCGCAGATCGGCCGGAAACGACGGCTCAGCTCGACCGAGCCGGATCCCGATGGCGAGCCTTCTGTTGCGAAGAAACCGAGGGGGGACTCCGCAGACGCGTCTGAGGACGCGTCGCAGAGAGAGGAGTCGCCCGCGCGGGCGCAGGAACAGGAGACGGCGGAGGTGAAGGATGTCACGAAGGGCGTACGCGATGTCGAGCTTGAGGAGAGCAAGGCGGAGGTATCTGAGCCTGTCGCTGATGCAGATGCTGCTGCGATCCCTCTTCCGGAGTCCCCGACGCTGCAGCCGGCGCCAGAAGCCGAGACGGAAGCAGTTCCGTCGGAAGAGCTGCCCGCGGGCGTTGCTCAAGAGTGCATTGCCGAGAAGTCGGACGCATCAGAGGGTACTTCCTCGGAGCCCAACTCCTCGACTGCACTCAGCAACGATGCACAGACCTCAGAGGAGATCGAAGGCGTAGCCAAGCGGGTCGACGAGCAGGAGGAGATCCCAGGGCTCACTGCGAGCGCGGAGAAGAAGACACCGGAGGCCATCTTCTTGACAAAGACAACGGACGATACGAGTAATGCCGCCCAGAGCACGACACAACCAGCGCAGGAGCTGTCTGCTACCGCTGAAGCCTCGTAACCACGCAGTGGCTTTATTGGATATCTTCCCATATTCACCATCCGCACCACAATCCTTACGTTGCTTATATCTACGGAGTCTAATCTATACCAGTCTATCCCTGTGTTGTGCTGTTCTTGTACGTGTACTGACACTGGATATTATCGCTCATATCCAACCCCAGTTACAGTGTTTGTGTACGTTCACTTATACAAACGATATTCATCATATGAGGCCCCCGACGTTATGTTCTCTCACTTGTGTTTCGTTACCGTTGGAAGGGTTTAACCCCATTCCATTCATGCCTATAAGCCCATCTATGCTGATGGTTCCTTTATCTGCTTAGAGACACCCACAACCTATACTGAACTTGGCTTGCTGGATGCTGCTCGAATGAAAGGTACGTCTTCATTACTATCAAATAATATATGTCATGCTCATACTGATCCAGCAGTTCAGCTCGATTAGACTCAGCATAGCTGAGGATTACGTCGCGATCATCTTGTGGACGTTTGACTTGACGTCCACCCCCTTACATACGAGAACCTGGGCCTGTCTTGTAGTGATGGTGAGTTGCATTACTTCACTGTCGAGCTCGATCGAAAATGTTGGCACTTCTGCAGATCTAGAGTGGGATAAATGGCGCGGTTGTACCGAGCCAAAATTCACAATTGACGGTAGTGTCCCAGGATACTATTGTGGAAGTGATTCGCGTAGCTGATATTACGGGGCTCGGTAAGGGCGCTATATATACTACTCCACGAATACCAAACATATGTATGTGTAGCAAAGCGTATGTCAAATGGGTATGCCCGTGGCGTGTTGGGCGCCGTCAAAGTGATCACGTCAAAGCGTTACCTGATAGTAGTGGCGCAGGCTTTTTCCATGCCTCAGCACGAACTATAACAGATACTCTGTTGAAAGATGTGGTGTTTGAGAAATAGTACAAGTCGGAGTAAAGCGCCATGATTACGGTTCGGATGCACATGTCTGATGGTCTGTATGTCATATTGACGCAAGGCATATGTGCGAATGGTAAAGGGAAAGATGCTCGAGGCTGATCGACGCCACCGTTCAATATCTTATCGCGAGGAGGGGACGGAGTGAGGAGCGGTGGTGATCCGAGGCAGCGTGGGACACGAATGCGGGTTTGAAGGACCACGCAAGGGGGCGCGGGCGTGTTCTATTCGCGCTCGGGCCCGCCCCTTGCGGGGACAGCCTCAAGGTGCACACACATTACCACAGACAGGGAGACTCGTAAGAGAAATGGAGAAGAGACCAGGCAAATAGACCAGGCAAATAGACTAGGCAAAGAATCAATACATATGTAAGGGAGGTGGGAGGGAAAGAAAACTGGAGCTACGGGGCAACGCTGCGAGCGATGCGTGAGACGGCTGTGTCCGAAATGTATCGTAAGTAGGGAAACTGCGAGCGATGCGTGAGACGGCTGAGGCCTCCGCATGCGTGTATATATACATAGGGAGGTCATCAGCGACGACAATAAGCGAGGGGACGGTGGCGACAAAGAGAACGAAAGCGTAATGCGTAGAAGACGGTTCAAAGGGTATTTGCAAGAGGCCAATAGCTTTGATGGGATCGAGATTGTCCGTCGACGCATTGACCCAATGCATTCCCCAAACCCCCGAATGCACTGCTCAACTGTGATTCTGACTGCTAGTCGATCTTGCTCAATTTCTCGGATTGCGGGAACAACAAAGACCAACCCTGTATACTCGAGTGTACTTGCGTTTCGCTCTACGGACCATTCTGATGAGTGGTCGGTTTCAGAGCTCGGCATCGTCCACGTGAGGCCTTTATTGTGGGAAGGAGGTCTGTGGCGCTTCTGGTGGCGGTTGAACCGGTGCCCGCTTGGTTCGGTCGCCACAGGGCCGGCACGTATAAAAGGAGGCTGGCGAGACCGAGAATGCCATCTCTGCTCCGCTTACACTCCGTGACTCAGACGACATGTCGGACGCACTCTCCCTGCAAGCTCGTTCGCCCGTCACAAATACTGGTGAATAAATTTACTTCGCCTCTTTCACGGTGGTACTAAGCTGTGTGTGGCTGAAATTCTATCTTTGCATACAAGAAAATGATGTGCTTGTAGACTATGTCTATGCTCGTCAACTATTCCCCTGCGCGAAGGGCTTACCACTTTATTGGCCGGAGCCGAATGGGAACGCTACAATCGCCGTAGGCGATGTAGGGTTCTTTTACGACAGGAAATTCGTCCGGTTATTCAATGCTCTCAGGAACGCAAATGATCCTGTCAATGGACTCATTCAGGAAAACTGCGAGTACAAACCTTTCGATCGCGGCAACGACGTAAAGAAGGAGAAGATGTGTGTAAATCGACATTTATGTAGCAGGAGCGTGAAAGTGGAGGAAGAGTGAGTGGTTCCTTTGTCTCGGCACGTAGGGTTTCTTCCTGATTGGATGCGGCTAGACTCAGTCGCGATGGAGAGACATGGGAACACCTCAAGTTCCGCTCCATGGGTGATGAGGGGGCATTCATCCTTCTTGCTGACCCCGCCACCGAAGAGTATCTCGTTCCGAGCCCAAGATTATATGAATATATCCACAAGCAAATCAAAATCTGGATGCCGTCTATCAAAAAGGAAAATTCTTGCCCAATCGACGACGTCATATTCGTTTTGGGAGATGTAAAGACCAGCGCATGGGCTTTCAATGTCTTCCTTCCTAATAGCGAAGAAGCCACGATATCAATCAACTCCGCTTGCGCTGAGACGGAACCCAGCTCGTGGGCCTTTACTCGTGTCAGACCAGTCGATCCAAAGAATGAATGTGACCAGAGCATCTTCATGCACTATTGCAGAATGAAGAGAAGAGCGCCCCCGCCATCTGACGCACCCAACAACGAGCAGAACTGGGATATAAAGGAACATGAGGTAGTCATTCTCTCGCCATCCGACGCACCCGACGACGAGAAAAACTGGGATATGGAAAAAGAAGAGGTAGCCATTGTCTCGGATCTACCACCAGACTCGGAGGTACGTAAGCCACCGATAAGCTCCTGTCACATTTCACAGACCGTGATAACGAAGTCTATATTCTACGACCCTGTTGAGCATGTGTTGGACTACATCTTAGAGGTAATTCGTGTTGGAACAACGGTGCGAACGGCGCGGGGGCGCGTTTGTCCACGGGCGTAGCGATGCCCGTCAGGGACAATCGCGTGCGGTACGTACATCGCGCGGGGTCGTTATATACTACGATAGGGGCCTCCGGCCCCCGGCTACTCGCGCGCCCGAGCTTGCGAGCTCGTTCCTGACCGCGCGGGTCAGCGCGTTTCAACAATTCGCACATTCTTTTCGGGAAAACACAGCAATTTATTGCATGCAGGACTTCGGCGTCAAGGTTGCGATCGCAAGTGATATAGACATCATCTGCGTGTATAAAGTTGGTATCCATCTTATTATGTGCTGAGACCTGTACTAACGCCAATATCAGAATCATGATATACCAGAGGATCTCGCAACATTGCCAAAATTACTTCGCGAATACAAAATACGAGTCGTGAAAGGGGGTCGTCAGTGACACAATTCTCACGTTCAAAAGTCCCTGGCTAATAATTTCCCTAGTTGGCATGCTAGACTTTGACGCGCCCGCAGCTTAGCTGCTGAATCTGATGCAATTGCAGTGCCGTAATTGGCCTCTTGGCATCGCTTGACTCTTGTAGTATATATATCAGCTCTCGAGCCCCATTTGAGCTTACGGTCGCGATGTCGTTCATAATTTCTCAAGGACTGCAATACCACATTTACCCACCATTGAACCGTGAACGTAATACATTTTCGAATGTGCACATTGAACTTGATTCTTATCACGACAATTAGCAACAACACTGAGAACTAGAGCCAAAAACCATAACACGTAGATGTCGGTGGGGATGGAAGGATCAAATCCCACGCTGCTGCAAGTGAAACTAGAAGTATCGGTTGCGTAGAGTCAGTTGCTGCCGGAATTGATGATAGATGTGCTCACCTAGTTTGAGAAACGCATGAGCGCTACGCTTTTTTGCATGCTATTGTTGAACTTGTGTGTCACCAGAGCAATGTGTTGTGACGCAACAATGAAGGCGGTGGCTACAGCAGACAAAAGACCAGCCTGCAGGGCATGGTGATGAGATTGTGCAGAACGGTGCAGAACGGCCAATGAATAGAGGCATCCAGCCCGACCGCGCGACGCTCCTCCTTGCTCATGAACGCGGCCGGCTTCGTGCAATCGCCCGACGTCAGCTCCGCGCCATCGCGCACGCCTTCCAGCCCTGCAGCGATCACGCTCGCGAGGGCGAGGTACGGGTTCGCCGTCGCGTCGACGCATTTCAGCTCAAAGTGGTGTGCGCCCGCCGGCCCGCACAGCCGCACGGGCGCGTCCTTGTTGTCCGGCACGACAACGGACGATGCGCCCAGAGCGCGCCGACACAACCCGCGCATCAATGCCTCAATATTCGTCCGTTTGTCGAGGTCTACCCCGTTTGCTTCCGCAAGCAATAGCAGACAGCGACGACCTCTGCACTCTACTATACAACGAATCCTTTCTGAGCAGGATCCATATATCGTCAATTACCGACCCTGGTCGGTAGACGAGGGGACCACAGCAAGCGTCTACTCAGTAGCCCGTCTCTGCACCACTGCCGACTCCTACCGCGAGCTTCTGCCCTACTTTTCCGAAGTGTATACTTTCCGAGGGGAGGTCTATCTATATTCGTTTTGCTGTAACATGTCCGTTATCGTCAATCACGCCCATCCTCAGGGAGTCCCACGCTGAGTCAATCATTTCTCACGCGAAAGTTCCGACCGTCGATGAGACAATGGGGGCGCTGTGCATACAAGTTGTTTGGTCAAACATACGGATGTGTTCATCGTAGGAAGCGTTTAGGAAGTAGCTATGTACACGAGGTCAGCGGAGACGTCTGCCTACAATGCCATAGAGTAGTTGATCTTTCACCCCAGACCGCCTGAGACGTGCTCATTTAGTAGGGTAATTCCCATTCCAGCTCAAAAGTGGGTAAGGATGCTGAACCAGGAAATCTCGTGGATCGAATAGGCTATACAGACAGTCAGATACAGTAAGTACAATCGGCCGAGATCTGATTTCAGATAGGTCAACAGAAGTAAACAACTCTAGGTGTCAACAACATTATTGAACGATCAGCCCTTCCTTGCCATGAAGGAACTGAGCAGAGCTGGTACAACAAATGGTGCAAAATCGTAAATGAATTGTGCATGGTGCGCAGCTCAAAATCTTACTCACATCAGATGAAATTCAGTCTGTCGGTCCCATACAGCTTCACTATCGTCTCGGTGAACCTAGCCACTTCGTCCTTGTTGTGGAGCAATCCCGGAGTGAGGCGGTCTACCAGCTCGTTGGTTACAGACCAGACCCTCGCCTCCGGTAACAAATCCTTCAAGTCGGGAGAGAATACCGGCTCCACGAGCATTCGCAAGTAGGGAATGGCATCGATTCCTTTCTCAATGTCCTGCTGATCCTTGCCCACCTTCTGCCTCTCTTTTGGTAGTCTTTCTGCCTCCGCTTGCATGTCAGCACATTTCTCGTCCCATCCCGCCGTCTCCGCCCAAACCTTGTCCTTGTAGTACTCCGATGCCACCAGGCGGCGCTCGGCTTCGTCGGAACCTTGCACGAATTTCGTGACCAGCCTGAAAGCGTCGTCCAATTGTTCCCATGCGCTCCGGGCCATGTTCTGCGCGACTTCCAGCAGTTTTTTCAGGACGTCCAGGGCTGCGGGGTGATCTGAAAAAAGAAGATCTACGCTCGCGGCACCCTGTAGCGCCGAAAGGAGAGTCAAGTCGGCCTCCTTATGACGCCCACAGGCCATCAGTAACTCCATGGTGATGTGAATATGTAGGTTGTAGTCTTGTTGCTCCACGGCGTAAGAAAGGTACGGGACCAAGATCGTAAATGCTACGGGTGAAATTTTATGAGCATCAGACAACTAGAAATACGAGTAGAAATACCTCTGTCATCGAGGTCTTTCACGAAACGCTTCATGTTCTGAAGGACGAGTCGTAGGAGAACCTTGAGGTATCTAGGCCTGTAATTACCCAGAGTGGCAGAACCGAGGAATACGATAAGGCTTTGAAATATTTTAAGGCTGCTCTTCTCGAGTAGTTGCTTTATGAGCTCGAGGAATGTCTCTGGGATCTCCTCTTGGTCGATGTGGCCCATAAGCGTGCCGATTGCATCCGTGACGAGAGCCTCGAACTTCGTGGCGATGTTGACCTCTGACCTCTCCGGATCCCTGGCATTGTACAATTCGTGCAATACGACGGAGGTGTCCGAGAGAGGGGAGACCTTGACATATGGCCGTAAGACCTCTTGCAGCATCACCCAGCTATCGTTCAGGATGAGGGCGTTGTCCGCAGCAGCAAGTAGTGTTGCATCGGTCACAGTCTTATCACGATCTGTCATATGATGTCTCTCGTACTCAAGCCACCCTTGGAATATTTTTCTCCTGTATCGCGCGATTGAGATTCATCTTGAGACTTATTGAATAGTATACCTACAGTCCGCCCTCGTTAAGAGCATGCCCATATTTTCCCTGTTCTTGTTGCGTCTTCTGAAGTTCAGGATACGGTGTATTGTCCGCTCTATCAGAGCTTGTTGCAGCTCGGTGCATCACGCGCAAAAGCCTGCCTCCTTGTAAAGTTGCATTCCAGCATAAGGCTAGTGAAGACATACCCGATTATCCACTGAGGCGCCGTAACGACGGCCTCGATCATCGTTTCTGCAAGCTTGCTAGTGAATCAGATATCATTGAGCCGCTGCCAGGTAACCTGCTGTGCCACCGAACATACCCAAAGTACAATGTTGCCCATTCTATGAGTCTTGACGACTCTCTGGAAACCATGAATATGCAGCCAATGCTCTCTTATCGGCGCGCTCACCGTATCAGCGTCAATATATTCATGATGAAGAGCGCTTGCGGAGATTTGTAAGGGCAGTGAACATCGAAGACCGGCCAAATTGAAATCAGGGCAGAGAAAAGCAAGAGCAGCCCGACCACAGTGGACACAGTCGCAGTGACGGGAGTTCGAACATGTTGTAGGAGGAGGACAAGTCCCAAGAGGAAGATTATAAGGGCTAGTTGTAACAGAATAGGTACCACGCCCATAATTATCTCGACCCCGTAGCGATTGTATCCTTGGTACCTGCAGTACCAGATGACCACACTGTCGCGAGCAATGTCGGTCAGGTATTTGGGGTAGCATGCTGGTTAAGCCATTGCTTGGCATATATCGCGATCGACGCAGCAGCAAGACTGAGAACCAGGGCCAGGAACCACAACGCGTAGATGTCGGTGGGGATGGAAGGATCCAAAACCGACGCTGCCGCGAGCGACGCTAGGAGCATCGGTTGTGTAGAGTTGATATACGTGGTTTGGTTGCTGCCAGAATTGATAGTGAAGCTGCTCAGCTGGCTTGAGATATGCATGAGTGCTAGAATTTGCAGGCTGTTGTTTGTTCCCAGAGTGATGTAGTATGCGACAACGAAGGCGGTAACTGCAGCAGAGAAAAGACCAGCCTGCGGGACATGATGATTATCGGTGATGGGACGGAGTAGAACGGTGCAGAAGGACTAACAAATAGAAGCATCGCATTTAGCTCTTCATGCCACTTAGCAGTCAGTCGCTTCTCGTGGTCCCACAACAAGAGAGCGCAAACAAGCCAAAGTCGAGGACGAGAGTTGTCATCTATTGACAGCTGCGGATCGCCTGCCTGTGGATTACCGAGTTGAGAGGACAAGGTCTATAGAGGGGCTGTTACATACATTAAGCGTTAAGCGGCGCGTTTCGGGAGACGTGTACAGAAGTCGTTGGCTCGAGGGACTGTGTGCGTAGGGGGGGAGAGACATCGTAGTTGTGAAGGACAGTTGGGGTGTCCACTAATCCTGCGATGCTCGACAAATAGCTCTTTTTTGAATGTGTGGGCGAACCTTATGGGAGGCTCTGATTCGACATGACCACTTTTGTCACAACGGCGTTGCCTCGCTATAGCCACTCATGTCGTCCTGTTGAATTAAACTCGCCAAATGTAGGCATTTAAAGACCACGCCGGAAAGCACGGAGGTGCTCACGGTGAACTCGCGGCATCATGTCAGGAGGCTTTACCTTGACCTAGCTTATTCTGTGTGCTGGCGCACAGGGTATCAGCCCGTTCACAGTCTGCGACTTGCCTCGTTAACAGACGGCGTCGAAAGCAGCACCGAAGGATCAGTGAAGCTGCCAATATAACATGTGGGATTGCCTCGCTGATAATGTGCGATCGGCATCATGGTGTTGCTTTTCTTGTGACGTGTCATGGAAGGGTTGCATGAGATAAGAAGACAAATCATCTTCTGCCGCATTGCCTGGATGGGTGCCGAATCCTGATATTCTCATCTAGATACCATTTCACAGCTCTAAACATTCATTAGCAGATCACCATCGTTGTATATATCAATAGCCTCAAGACACTTACGTAGAGATAAACATGCATACATATCATCAGTTGAGTACCCATCTGGCCTGTGAGCCCGCTGATCACCAGAGGGGGATGACAGGAAACAAAACATCCTGCGCGGAACAAGTGCATCTCGAGTGCTATCCGAAAGAGGACTAGGACTCCTCGACTCGGGTGGGTATCGAACCTCCGACCCCCGATCTGTCAAGGGGTCGGACATAAGTCGTCTTGACCACATCCGCAGCGATAGGTGGGCAGCGAAATACTGCGATCCGCCTACACGGGGGTTGACGCTATGCACCGGCCTTCAAGGCTCAATGAGTCAGATCGGGCAGATTGTTGAATTGACCCTGGTCCGTGGGCACGGCAATGGGGAATTTAGACTCTCATGTGGCGCGGTCAGGCTTTCTACACGCAAAAGGAAACACACGTATACTTTTGGATATGTCAAGAAATATGCTCGTGGCCGACGTGCAGAACTGCCTTCAGAAATGTTCAATGAGGCGCGTAACCTCTTCCTCCTCAGTGCCCGCAGACGTCAAGTACGTCTGGAAGAACTGCCGCACCACGCAGTTAGCACCCATCTATCTCCAACACAAACAGACGGCGCTCACCTCGTTCACAGAAATATATTTCTCCACGAACTCCTCCCCAAGCTTCTCCTTCAAGTATCCGTCTGCAGCCAACAGCGTCCGCGCATCCTCCACCGTCCGCGGCAGCCGCCCCGGGTTCGCCAGCCCCACCGCGCGACGCTCCTCCTCGCTCATGAACGCGGCCGGCTTCGTGCAGTCGCCCGACGTCAGCTCCGCGCCATCGCGCACGCCTTCCAGCCCCGCGGCGATCACGCTCGCGAGGACGAGGTACGGGTTCGCCGTCGCGTCGACGCACTTCAGCTCAAAGTGGTGTGCACCTGCTGGCCCGCACAGCCGCACGGGCGCGTCCTTGTTGTCGGTGCCCCAGCATGCGTACGTGCCGCCTGACCATATCCCGTCGACGACGCGGGCGTACGACGCGTACGTCGGTAGGATGAGCGCGCACAGTGCCGGGAGGTGTGCGAGCAGCGTCTGCAGGAAGGCGCGCTCGGTCGCGCTCATCGCTGGCCCGAACTTGGTGGCGCGAGCCGAGGGCCCGTCGGCTTTGGCAGAGTGTACGGAGAGGTGCGTGTGTGCGCCACTGCCGCCTGGTAGATGGTCAATGTGAGCGCAAATAGAGGCCATGTCCGGGAAGAGGGCGTACAGTTGTCACTGTGCAGACGCGGGGCAAACGTAGCACGCAGCCCATGTTTGCTCGCAATGTTATAGATGGTCTCACGCGTGTGCACGATAGCATCTGCCGCCTCGAGTGGAGTCAAGGGTCCAGTCACGACCTCATACTAACGCAACCGTCAGCGACACATCGAGAATGTATAGAGCCCGACATACTTGACCCGGGGCGGCCTCTGCGTGGTACATCTGCAGCTCAATGCCTGCCTCTAAGAGCGCATCGGCAATCTCCTCCATGACTTTCGTCTCCACTGCGCCAGTTGGGTGCTTCGCAGAGCATGACCAGGCTGCGTTGTTCACCTCGACCGGCTTGGGCGAGATTGCGCTGAGCAGAATGAACTCTGACTCAAATCCGGCTAGGAATGTCAAGCCAGCCGTCTCCTGAGCCTCGCTAGCCGATCGAGCATGGTCACATCAGATATGACTAGATGCTTCACGAGGAACTCGGCACGCACTCGACAATCCTCTTCAACACCGCCCGCGGACACAGCGGGGAAGAGAGGCTTCCTGAAGGAGAGGGCGTCTTCTCCTCGAACCAGCCCATGACGACCGCATGGCCTGGGGCATAGGGGCATACGCGGAAGCTACTGAGATCAAGAGAGTAGATATACTCTCCCGTCCCCAAGAATCCGGGCGCCATCATGGCCCCGACCATACCGAGTGTCGCGTATGCGAGACCGATCCCGGGACGGGACGAAGTGAAGAGTCTCTTAAAGTAAGATACGGGTAGGACACGGAATCGGACGAGATTGGTGAAGTCGACCCATTGGACGCGGACATACTTGATACCTCGCTGCTCCAGGCGCAGATCGTCAACAGACGCGAACGACGCGGTCTGCGAAGGCTTGTACAAGACTCCGTAGGCGGCGGAAGACTGTGTCGAGTCAGAGATGGTCATGATAGCGGGAGATAGGACGATAATGTGCCCAAAAACGGACTCACAGTAAAGCACGTATTTGTACAAGACGCCGCAGGGCGTCCCTGCCAACGAATCGCGCTGTGGAGACCACACGGCTGCGTCCCGCTCCATCAGCTTCCTCGAGTGATACATAGCATGCCAAGGTCGACCCTGCGTATTCCTCGTCTATGTGTCTGTCGACGAGCGAGAGAGATCCCGTGTTTGGAGAGAGTAAGCCGCAAAATGGTAGTGAGAGTTGAGTTGCAGAGTGCGGCACTCTCTCAGAACGAGCAGCAGACAAGTCGAAGAGGAAGCGACTCTGAATCTTATTTGTGCGCGTCTCAGTCTGGCGCTGGCACAACGTCACTGTACAAGGACTCGCTGCTTGTAGAGTTCATTAATATATAGACTCGGCATGGGGCTCGAAGAGAGACCATTCGGAGTGTTTCAAAATATCAAGGTGAACCTGTACATAGTACATAAAAGATCTGGTGTTGGATTTCTGTACTCTTTTATCCGGACAGAACACTGAATCAGAGAGTCGAGTAGTATGTGCTATTACGACAACAACAAATATCGTGAGATTCCAGCAACAGGTTTTGTACAGGACGGATCAGGAGGAGTAAGCTAGGCATGTTGTACAACATATACAGTCATGATAAATGTTGAGGGGTACAAACTGGAATACAAGGGATAGCATGGCGGGATCTGCGGCACGTACACATCTCAATCTGCGTCTCACAAGCCTTCCTTAAGCCTCTCGCGCGTTGCGAATGTGTTCAAGCCATCCGTCAGTAGTTTGAATTGTATGGGGGTCAGCTCGAGGACCCTGTCCAACCACATATTGCGATACGGCTGTGTCGCCAAAATAAGCAGTGCCTTGGCGTCCTCGATGCCCAGCTGTAGCAGCTGGGGAAGGACTCTGTCCACAGGAAGCTTGCATGTAATGAGAAAGTTTCTGACGAGATTTATATCATTCTCATCCGACAGCTTCGTCGTGCAAGATGGCGCGACCTGCGAGGCCATGTTCGACTGGGCAGGTGCATGTGCGATAGCACGCGGCACGGCGCTCTTGTCGCGTACCGCTCTGTAGCTCGAACTTGAAGAGGGCTCCTGTTGCGCCTTCATCGAATCGATCCATGATTTGCGGGATGGTATGATTGATTTACTCACAGATTTGTCTGGGCCACGATATGTGCTTGAGGAAGAGGCGCTTGCCTGGGTCGATCTGAGAGGCGGCCTTCCTATGTATGCGACTGACGCCGATCGGTGTCGCGGAAGGCTCAGCTGCCTCGCCTGCTCAGAGCTTTGTGACGTCTGGAGGAGCCGGTAATGCATGCACTGCTTACTTTGTTCAGCGACTGCTTTTGCACGTAGCTGTGCCTGTCCTTGAGGATAATGCGGGTGATGCGCTCCAGAGGCCAATGATTCTCGTATTTATCGATGTCGGGCCAATGGCGCCGGACCTGGGCAGCGTGACACCCGTTAGTTTGTGAAACACTTACTTTTCTATGAATGGAATGCTATCAACGGTACGCACGTAGTCATCATGATGCTTGAGAGCTCGGCCGTCTTGGTATCTCCAGCTCGAATCCATGTCGAGGTATGCCTGTGTCGAATGACGGGCTATCTCCTAAAGAAGCAGTTGATTGTACACTCTGGTCAATTGGATTGAGCGGCATCGCTTGCTCACCACGAAGGCCTTACAGACGTCCTGGGAAATATCCATCTGTTGACAGAGCGTGATGGCAGCTGCGGATTTGAGGACAGCCTGCGCAACATAGGCAGGCTTGGGGATCAAGTTCTCGTCTTTGCTGCGGGCTGAAGTCCGCGCTTTGCGCAGAAGTGAGTATAAGAGCATATCTCGACTCCGTTGTACTGCACTCACGGCTGGGCATGTTGGCGGCGGTCGCAGAACGAGAGGGGGACCTGTGGGAAGGTAGATATGGGCATTATCACTGTTGAACAACGATGAGGCAGGTGACCCGCTTCGGCTCTATAGTTCCCTTCCAGAAGCACACTCGTTAGTGCTGATAGAGGAAGCTGGGCCCGATAAACCCCGCGTATGTATCGACGCGCCGCGACGCGACGATCACGTGATCAAGTGCAGCATACGGATAGCCTGCACGTGTTTATAGAGCATACATACCGGCGTACGGTGTTCTCCAAGATATGTATTATGGATCACAGGTGCACCTTAGCCGAAGATCTGCCTCGCCCTCTCATAGGAGTATCAGCAGCCTGTGCCCCGCGATAGGCGTGGAGACACTGACGCGAACGTCCACAGGTTTTGCGGATACATGTACGTACCGACAGTGTACGGGAAGCAGTCTGGACAACGGCACACTCAAATTGTAAGTAAGAGTGAGTCTTTTAGGAACGTTAACGTACACTGTGGCAGGGTTGAGAGGACTCAGACAAACGTGGTATATCCTTGTTACTCGATCTCGTTTCTGATACCGCAACAACTTCGATAAACCAAGCCAGTGGTCGAAGACTGGGGCGCTATTTCCCTGGCAAGGCGATGGTCCGCCTCGATGCTGGCACTTGCTCCACTTCTCTGCGAAGGACATACATGAATATATACTACCCAATGGAGGCTGCTGGCCTATTGCTAACACCGTAGCGTGCACCACCTGGTGTAATGCTTCGTGACACCTGTTATATCCCGGACAGACCAGAATTGTTATCTATTAGCGTGCTGGCGGCTGCTACCGTCATACATCCTGCCAGTACATATGTACGGGAAGGCCCTCGCCCAGATTCGCATACTCGCTAATTGACCTCTTTAGTTCATGGACGACGTCTTACGATATTTAAGATATCTGAGCCATTGAAGCCGCGAACAGGACAACAGCCTCCCGTAAGGAGGGCGTGATCTGACATCCGTCCCAGATCTCTGTGTTGATCATTAACAGCCCTGCCGAGACTTGTTCCTAGCATATCATTCAACCTGCTGTGTGCATTCGACATGTCGTTTCTCCTGATAGTGCCCAGTCCCCCTCAATAATTTCGGTGCAAACTTCGACAACAGCTACCTTCAACGAACAGACGCAGATGGGGGGTGTCATGGAGCCCGTCACCTACCTGTCCTGCCTGACCATGGTCATCATGGGCTACCCATGGTACGCCTCGATCCGCTGTCCCCTTTTTGTCTGTCTGACCGCCTGCTAGGTTCCTCTACCAGGGCCGCGAAGTGTCCTACTCATCCGTGCTGCAGCGCAGCGTGTCCGCACGGCGCGAGGCGCTGTAAAAGGAGCGCGGAATCGACATAGACGGGTGGCTCGACCTCGTGGCGGAGGAGAAGGCGCTGCGCAAGGAGGTCAGCAAGATCGCGGAAAACTACGACGAGCGGCTGTGGCGCGAGCGGCAGGAGGAGAGCGAGCGGAACGAGGGTGAGCGGCGTAACGTAGAGAGAGGAGAAATCGAAGACGGGCCTAGCGAAAATACCAGAGGAGAGCACCGGCGATGATATCGCGCGTGAGACGCGTTCCAACGAGACCAGTGAAGGTGGCAAGACATGAGACCGGCAGCGGAGGGGGAAGCAACCGGAGCGGGTATGTTTACGCCATGCTCTTGGGAATCATGTCGGCCTGAATACTAGTTATTGTTGTCATTTAGTGAATACGCTATCGATCCAAGATGTTCAATGTTGGTCTTCCGAAGCTAAAGAGGCAAATCAGATCAGCTATGCTCCGCCTGCCGGGTTCCAAACAACGGTTCCCCCAAGTGGTGATTATCACTGTTGAAAAATTGGGACATGCAGCTCATGTCACATTATCCGTAACGTCCCACGTCCGGTGAGCTTACAACTAACAAGAGCGCCACCACTGAGAAAACATTGTCTAGCTCTGTTCGAACTACAGTCGACGATTAGTGTGGTGGCTTACATAGCACTACTATTGCCCATGCTGTACTTGAATCTTTATATAATTTGCTTGCTCTAGGCCGGATCAAACAAAATCCACCCGCAGTGCTTAGCTTTGATCCTTCCTACAATCTAACAACCTCCGGATATAGAGCCACTAGGTAGGGAATCTGCTGTAATCATCAGTAGCAGATGAAGTCTCCCTGTAACGTAGTGAAGTACTGGCACGCGGCCTCGCAGAACACGTTGGTTGTGTTGCAGACCCCGCTGAAGTGAGTGCCGCTGCGTCCGGATAACTCCGTTCTGCATACGCGACCGTTTTCCAGCCCTTACCACGCGACTCGGGATCTTATGAAGGCAGGAAGGGTACGGGACACTTGCTGGGTTGAGGAGGAGTGTTGGAGCTCGCGCTTTGAGTGCGAATCCAGCCTGCCCCACAAGGACTGTACTGCTCTGACATGATTGCTATGTAATCGCTTTGGTTGCGCTTGTGCAGTGCATATGGACCTTTACCTGTTTGATACGATTTACCACATGCATTTGCTTTGGCGATCATAGAATACTACATGTGCGGCTCTCAGTGAGCCCTGTAAACGCATCCCGATCCTCCTATTTACTCGCTGCGCGAATGTCCTACTTCAACAGAAGCCGCGCCGTCCTCTACTACTGGGAAGCAGTACATGTTTCCGCCCAACGAGGCGCAGTACTGGCTTGCGACCTCGCAACTTGATACGTTGGCCATGTTACAGACGCCACTATACTTAGCGCGGTTGCACAAGAACGACTCCGTCCCGCACAAGGAGAAATAAGATGGGGTGCTCGCGTCCAACCAAGTCTGGTAGAAGACGTTCGCGCATAACGCGAATGTCTTGCCACTGTAATCAAACTTGATGTCGATATAGTCGACGTCATTGCATCTTCTGCGGGCCTCGAGCGCAGCGATATCGGCCTGTACGGGGTAGATGGTGTGTGAGCAGAAATGGTCAGGGAGGCACAGCTGCGCCCGTCAATACCTGGCCAGCGTGAGTTCCGCCGCTAAGAATGCTGTTCAGTGAGGGATCACAAAAGACGTCGGATCATGAAAGACTCACTCGACGAGCCGGACGGTAGGGTTGGCCGCGACGTTTGCAGCAGGCAAGAGCACACCGGCGAGGGCGACGACGATGAATGCGCGAAGTTGCATGATGAATGAGTAGTGTGCGGTTGACGACGGATGTTTATATAGCAGAGGACTCCTGCTGGAGGGTACTCTGCGTCGGCACGGAGAGCACCACGCAGTATATATACACATGCCTAACCGCTACAGGGCTGCAGACAACCGAAGTTGGCCATGTTCAGAGTGCCAGTTCTCGCTTCGCAAACATCCAAGTTACGAACCGAAGTGTGGACCCGACCCACATATGTTTATCCCGATAGTGTCTGTTCTGTCATACGCACAATGTTAGGAGTCGATACACACTTGCTGCAGAGCTTCTCGGGTAAGAGCTTCATAGTATTGAGAACATTACTTCGATTATCGGTTGCAATGCAATGCGAGGGATCTTGGCCGTTCTCGTTGCGAACAATCACGTTCGATTTCCATCTTTGTACCGTTCAAGTTCGCTATCCAGCATGCACGCGATCCGGACGCGCGACGTTCAGTTCCTCTGCTTGCGTCGTTAGCAGGACCCTGGGATCGATAGCAGGCCATGGTCTGGAGCCGCTGTGGCGTGCAACAGGGCTAGCATGGATCATGAGCAGAATGTCAGCAGCCCTTGCGAGAGCATACTGAACGGTGGAAGCCGTCACCCTCGGTCCTTGCAGGGCCGCCCCTCCGTTGTCACGAAGGGCTGACACTCCGCCCGCGTGTCTAGATTCACTTATAGACTCTGGTCATACGGATGCCCCAGCTTCAGTGTCTTCTGCATGTTCTGTTGAAGTTCGTCTCGATCAAAAATGATACATCGTGTTTGTCTGAGCTCTGCCAAACAATCGGGTGCAATTCGATAGGATCGGGATCTTGGCCGTTCCCGTCGCAAATAGTTACGTTCGAGTTTTTCTTACCGTTCATGTTCGCCACCCAACGCGCCCGTAAAGCAAACGCGCGACGTTTAGTTCTTCAGCCTGCATCTTTATCGGGGTCAATAACAGACCAAGGTCTGAGGACGCTGTGGGGTATAGATGGCAAGTAAGCACTCCCGCCACTGGCAACGCGCGCAGGCGTGCAACTGCCAATAGGGCTAGCATGGATCATGAGCAAAATGTTAGAACCCCACGAGAGCATACTGAACGGTGGATATCTTCACCCTTGGTCCTTGCAGAGTCCACCCTCTGTTGTCACGGGAATCCGAACATCGAGTTTATCGAATGGGAGCGAACACTCAGGGACCTTCCAATTTGGGAATGCCACCAGCGCCGGAGCGAGATCATCCATGCCGCCCAACTTCAGCGCTTCAGCGTCAACGCATCATGGACAAGGTATGCGAGTCATATAAACGTGCTTGCCGTTGTTCTTTCTAGCTAACCTGACATCAGTGTCGTTAGCACTTGGTCGACGTTCCTCGCGATCCATGCACAAAAAAAGGGAATCCGCGTGTGTTGCCCAAATTTGACGAGTTTCATTCCTGCTTGGCGGACTCGGGCGATCGCCACGGACATGGGTGCAATTTTTCTTTTCCCTTCTGCTGACGCTCTTGTATATGTCTCTCTCAATCCCAAACATGTGCATTTCACGGACGTCCAGCTGGGCACGCGTCGACTCAACCCGCCTATCGTCGTCAACCTTGTCTCAAAGATTAGACACGCACCGCTCAAGCGTTCAGCTGCGGTCGCAGATGAAGCATCCGCTCTCACGGATGGTCAAGACGGCAATAATGAATAAAGGCTCTAGCTACTTTAGCTGATGCACGACTGCCTCCGCGCCTTTGCGCTCCAGCCAACTGATACGTCCGAGCGTTCCACGTTCCCACCGTAAGTACATCTAAGATGCGCTGCCGCTTTCTTCCGCATCGTCCTGGGGTTCTGTCAAAAATCAATCGACAGCCATTCGCAACACCCGAGTGCGGGCGCTCCTCATGCATTGCACGGTTTCGCCGCGCCACGTCGAGGGGCAGGGGACGTATTTCAGTGCTGCTCGTGCTGCTACTGCGGCCTCTGCAGCTCCTGCTAATTCGTGCGTCCCTCTCCACCCAGCCAGACGCGCCACCAGATCTGCCTGCGGATACAACTGAACTGCGCGATACGTAAGAACACGTATCCGCACCAGTTGACTCCGGATCTGTGCACGCCAGTAGCCGGTGCGGAGATCGGACCGCCTGCTGATGGGGGCACTCTTCTGTGTACAGTGCAGAGCGTGCGGCGTGGCTGTTCGATGACGTCAACGACGCAAATTGAGCGTAACGCTAGTGTGGCGAGGGTCTGGGGAATCTGGACGTGGAATTTCATGTCTCTGAACCGTAGACTGGCGCAATAACCGGCATGGATCAAGGTCACAAGGTCCGAAGATCTCGCGAGAAGCCTGGAGAAAAGCGTATCGGACGGTGTACCCGGCTACCTTTGTCCTTGCAGGGTGTCCCTGCATGCCCTCTGTTCTAACCAAGGACTGAGATCCAGTCCGCATGTCTACATTCGCTTCCGGTCTCTTTTTGACATACGAATGCCTCAGCTCCAGTAGATTGTATACGTTCCCACTAAAACCATGACGGCTGACACACTTGTGCTAGTTGTAATGCTTGACGACGATATTCCCAAAAATCTCTTCTTCGACCCCATTGACCTTCGTTTCGAGCTTCGTCACGCCGTAGGCCTTAGTACGGCTTTTCCGCCACTCCCCCATTGTCGGCGCCTGGTCGTCTGGGCTGAGCCGTCTGATCCCGTGCCTCTGCAGCACAGGGCTCTCGAACAAGGGTATCAGTTTGATGTCGTCGTTTGCCTTTGCGAAATAGAAGACACCGACGCGCGCATACCCTCGCTGGTCGGCCGGAGGTTGAACCACACGATGGATTGTCGCCTTGTAGAATCCACCGGAGAGGAACTCGATGGCATCCCCGGCATTGATGACCTACTGTGGATATTCATCTCAGTCCACAAAGTCGAATGGGCGGGCGTACCAGAGCATTATCGACGTGCCTGATCCATCGCCACTTTCCATCGGGCGAAAGAATCTGTAACGCAGAGATTGGCTGGCTCCAAAGGATCGACACGCTTCCGCTGTCTGAAATCGAGCATTTAGTAGTATAGATCGATGCGACCGCTCGTTTACCAACCGGTGTGGCCTTTCAACCACACATTTCGCGTCTTGACTTCTTCGTCATCCGAGCGGGGGAAACTGGAGAGTCAAGTCATTCTAAAATAAATATTCCTGGCTGCGATGCCTACTATTTGATGAAGACAACTGATTTGACATGCAGTCAGCCATAGGAGACTACGGGACGACGGTTCGGGGCCTGTACCAGCAGTCTCATTGTCGTCTTCGAAGCCGTGCATTTCCACAAACGTCTCTTCCGGTAACTCTAATCCGAGCGCCAACAGCCTAAGACGACGTGTCAACCTTCAAAACAGAATGTCATAGTCGAAATATGTACCGCAAAATCGGAAAGAGAACCTCAAAATGACAGAAACGGTTGAACGCATCGATTTCTGGCAGTAATGGCCTGATGGCCCTCGGATGTTCGTTGATTGTGACGTCTCGATTCACTGCAGATTTACAGGAATATGTCAGTGATGAGTCGCTGGACAGCTGCTCGATTATCATACTGTTGTACTGCTCAATCTGATCATGCACTCCGCCGCTGATGTGCTTCCGGACAGTATTATTAGCAATGTCGCAACATGATGAGCATCGCGCGGACCCATTGCTGACGTGGTTTGTATCCGGCGTACAACCCAGTCTTCCTGAAGTCACAAGCATACAATCTCTTCTCGTCGCCACCCACTTGAGTGAACGGCACGTCTGCGATATCGAACATGCGGTCGTTCTAAGAACATATCCCCGACAATCAGTTGCGAAGAATCGCTTCCATAGAATCACGCTGAGGGCTTGGATACCTGAGCTTGGGTCAGACCGTGATTGACGACGTAGAAGAAGCCTTGAGTGGACATAGCTTCACGCATCTGGAGAGCGAGTCCCGCGCGACCCTCAGAGGTACGCGCAATGGAGAGGTCAATGATGGCTAGATCTGCATATTCCACTGCACGATTGCGGTGCGTTCAGTCATACCGAACGTAGCAGCCCGCCCGATAGTGTGAAAAACCTACAGGTCTCCTTCGTCACGGCGGGTCTTTGTAAATGAGAGACGAGGGGAAGGGTGGTGCTTGGCATATTGAAAGAAGTGTATCCGGGACCAGCGTACAGGCCAGACCTGCCTACGTCGATGGATGACTGCGATATGGAATGTACTGCACTGTTGAGCGTGCGGTGGAAGAGCCGTGTGAATGTTTCGAAGTTGGGACTCGGACAGAAGCGGACACAGTGTCTTCGAATGCTGATTTTGGTGCAGCTGACGTGTATACAGCCGTCAAGTCACTAGGAGACGCTAAGGGTGGACAGAACCACATAACAAATCTTGTTGTGATACTTCGACCATTCGCCATGTCCCGCGGCGTCCAGTGTCAACGTGCTAGCGTGTTTAGTGTTAACAGTCAAGACACTTTGAACCACGTATGCTTACAGCGACGCACCTAGCATGTCCACAGTTGATAAGAAAGCGCAAGGTCAAAGATCAGATAGATAATCCGGTTCCTACTACGGTTGGAGTGGCACATAAAAGTGGTTCACACGAACGGCACGCGAAGGCTCGAATACCATCCCTCCATGAACGGCATATTTGCCTCTACCGGCTGAAACACTGGAAAGCAAGACAGGAGGATATCGCAACCACTTTCAAAGTGGATCGCGGTCGAACATTAGCAAGGTCCTAGAGTATCAGTATGTGTGTAAGGATTGTAACAACCGGTGAGTGCGCCAGTAATCTATGCAGCTGTCCTGCTCATTACGCCGTAGGCTGCCTGCATTTGTGATTCTAGGATACATCCTGGCCGAGCGACCCTGGAAAGTTAGCCGAAAATTCATGTGTGTTTGAGTCTCCTGTAGAAGGTCCTGATAACCTTATGACCAAAGCGAGAAAGACACACAGATAGTAGTGTACCGTGCATTGAAGTCCAGCAGCCCAACTGAGGGGAACACGAAGCCTACAGAAGCTGTGTCGCAGCTGTTCTATATGCACACACGGTATTCCTCCAAACCAGCTTAATGTATCCAAGAAACGTCCTAGCCAAAAATCTTGCTCGCCCTGCCCCGAATTGAATGAGAAACATGCATCCCATAATCAGCATAGGAAGACTCACGCAAACGTCCACAGGTTTTGTGGATTCATGTACGTGTCGGAGGTGTATGGGAAGCGGTCTGGACGACGGCGAAAACTCAAGTTGTAAGCAGCAAGTTCTGTAAGTAGTGACAGGTTGACGTACACTGTGGTAGATTCGAGAGGTACGCTGCGCGAGAGAGTGAAAGTCAATTAACCCAAGACGAGACTTCTAGTAATGTAGCCTACCTATAGGTGTCTGCTCATCCGTCCAGCTGTAAGCTTCACACCCAGCAAATTACTAAGGAGACGGCCTGATAGTACGGCATACGAGACATACCCGTTCTCCAGTTGTGGCTGTGCAGAGAAAGAGTCAAATCAATTCACTTATCATGCATCTGCTATGATGCGCACCGGAAGTCTCCGTCGACAAGCCTGTTGGCGAGGTGCGTCGTGAGTGAGTGTGTTCGCAAATGCAAGGATGGCACACTCACAAGTCAGGAGGAGCAAGAGGATCCTTCGCAAGGGGCCATCTGCGTGAACACGAGCAGATCAAAGGCACAAATACACACGCACGTCTTTCAAGCCTGCGGTCTTGATCTCCGAGTCGATATCAGTCCACTCTAAGACCTGCTCCCCTGCCATGCCTGCGCCACAGCATTGTGAAACAATTCAGCTCTTGCCAAGGAAATAGACATACCTTTGAACTGCATGACCTCGCCTGGCTTCCCACCAAACACGGCGATTGTCGTATTGTGCCGCTCGTACATAAGCGTGCTGAACTGCGCGCAAGTCGAAGCGCAGTCACCGTTGCTGACAATCGCTACTTGGCTGTGTGATAGTGATACGTTATACCAATCTGCAATTCCAAAGGACCCGAGCACCGCACGTACCTCAATTCGAAAGGTGGGTCCTCCGGTATCGTGACATTCCAAGGGGTGCATATGTCCTATCACGAATCCGTCACAAAAAAGATACCAATGGCTGCCCCCGTAACTCACGTAGAAACGCTGTGACTCCGAGTAGAGGACCCCGTTAATGGTCCTGTTGACGACTGGCTCGAAGTAGTTGTATGTGTTTGGCATCTCCGTATCATTTGTGAATGCCCCTGTGTGCAACCACCCCCGGTGCACAAGCGAGTCCCTTCAGTTCTGTCTCAAAACTGTATGAGGAACGAAAACACACAGTTGTCCGGAGCGTAGTAGGCAACCTCATCGGTGTTGTTGAGGGCAATATCGGCCGCTGTGATCTTCAGTGCGAGGGGACTGGCACGTATTGCAGTCGAGTATCCACTGTTTACGGAAAGTTCAGGAAAATGCTCCGGGGAATCTCTTGGAGGCGACGAACGGATATCCAAAACTTTCACCAGCCAGGTACTGGTGAAGGAACTCGCCCAAGCAGACGTATCCTCCTGTGAACATGGTCAGCATTTGCGCGACCACTATCAAGGACCTCAGATACGTACCGCCGTTGTTTGAGAGGTCGATGAGCAAACGAGTCACACCTGCTTGCTTAAACTCAGCGATGGCATCCGCAACATCCGACTGGAACCCATTGTAGTCGTCTGGCGAGAACGACCCCACAAACATCTGTCTCGATACTTGTTAGTTCTCATACCCGACTTCGTCAGTGAAACGATCTCACCACCCCTGTGGTATTGTCCTCCAGGATGAAGTTCTTGATGACGCCCTCGCTGCCACTCACCGTGGGCAGCGTCGGTACGAACTGAGGAGGGAACGTCCCGCTTGCAGACTTGCTGGCTACGACAGCGCGCGCCAAGCGACGTGCTTCACTCCTCATGGTCCCGGAAAGGCTGTAATCGACGCCGTTCGTCGCGTCGTCAGCCGCACAGTTCGCCTCCCAGCTAATGATCAGCGCGTCAGGGAAGCCTCTCACAGAAATTAAGCGTAACAGACTATGTCGTAGCATCTGTGAACGGCTCGCCTTGGTAGGCAGCCAAGAACGGAATCGTGACTATCTCTGGGTCGGAATGATTGACGAGAATGACCGTCATCGTAAGGCTGTCCTGGGTCGGGAACAGCGGTCCCGCGATGTCGCCGAAGCGTTGTGAGAACGCGTTGTCCGAGATGCGGTAGCTACTAAACGCGCTGTTCACGCGCACGCCGTGGTCCAAGTAGTTGCCTGTGACAGTGTCCGCGATCAAGTCTGCGTATTCATACGCTGGGAGGCCCTCGATCTCAAGCACCTCGGCGCCCGCGAGCCGCGCCCAGTCGAACCCTATCGAGTTGAAGTGCGCAGCGTACTCTGGGCTCACGAGCGGAACGAAAGAGGTCAGATCAGGGAGGACATAGACGCTCTCGTAGCCGTTGGCCTCTAGTGTAACCACGGGTGCAGGGAGGAGATTCTGAAAGGCTCCCCAGTAGCAATAAGGGAACCAAGCTGCAAATGCGAGTCACGTCAATGTCAGATAGATCGTTCCAGAAGAACATACCGGTGTGCCCGTCATTGAGGCTGTTCGTTAAGTCATAGAGGTCCTTATTGAAGGCATAATCGGACTGATAGCTATGAGTAACGGTGAACGATTATAGGACATAAGCACTCCCTTACATCGTAGACTGTGGTATTGATTCGTGCGAGCTCGGCACGAATGTCAACCACCGGCTGCTGGAACATAGGCACAGGTTCCAAGTAGTAGTCTTCAAACGTGTAAAAGTCAAAAACCCGAGAGACCACAGCCATCACATTCTGTCGGAGTGTCTCATTGAACGGGAAGTATGTCAAGCATGCCATCGCATCAGAGGGCGAGACATATTCCCGACCAGCAATTTTTGCACAAGGGTCATCGCTGCGAGACGTGATAGTAGCTGCAGATAACACCGGGCTAAAAAGGGCACTGGCAAGTACAGACAAAGCGGCGGCCACGGCGTGCATCTTGCTAGCGTGGCTTAGCCGAGGCTTTGAGTCCGCAGGCAAGACACGCAAAAGCTGGGGGTCCGTCGGTATTTAAGCATCCTGCCAGTTTTCTGATTGGATCATCTACATCACCTATCACCATTGGCCCATAACAACAGCCTAAAACATTGACGGAAACACAATCTGCGGGGTGATCCAGCCCCGGGATGTCGAGAGTTTCGGTACCTGTGTTGCTATATACATGCATCGGGGCCCGAGTAAGATAGCGTGCGTACCATGTATACCAAGTACGGATTGTGCTTGTCAGCTTTCCCTCTCATCGTGTGCAGCTGTCCGCATGGTCAGAAGAGACATCCGCGTGCAGTTACAAATTGAGCTCAGATTGGAATTTCATCAGGCGTGGTTGTCAGACCAATTTAAAAGGCCCGGGGGTTGCCACAACGTCCGGCAAGCTCCAGCACGCCTGTGGCTTCATAGATCAACGCTCAGCTCTGGCCCTCGTATGCAGAAGACATTTGAAGCACAGCCAGGAGTTTGTTCGATGTTATGGACAAATCTACCGTGCTGGATAAGCGAAGCTTATGGACAGTCGATACTTGTCCTCTATGAGGGACCGCATTGGACAAAATCCCGCACAAATCAGCGACCGGCCTGAAAATTCGCGCGACGGTGAAAACTCCACGTGAATCAGACGCCCGCTCTCAATTGGCCAGTCCCTCGACATTACTACATTCTCGGCGTCGCTGTGAGCCCCCGCCTTCGTGCATCTGGAGTCGCTATATGCGCAATACAATCCATACATGGACTGATAGCGACTCATTTGAAAGGCATGGCACCTCATGTCTGCATGATTCTTTCAGTCAAAAAAACCATAAGTGATGAGTGCTGCCCACCGTTACCACACTCGACAGGATGGGCTTCAATAGTCTTGTCTCCAGACATCAAGTGTAATATTACCCGATTGGGCGGCAGAGTTCCAAAAATCCCTGCGTCGTGCCCATATGTAGTAACCTTCCACGTGATCTCTTCTCTCTGGTCTCCGCCCCCCTTCATCATTCGGACATGAGAGTAGAGCTTCGATGCGATCAGGGCACCGTGTCAGGTTGCAAAATCCCGTACCCAGCAGCCAGCCTGACGTAGCAGTTGCATGCGCGGGGTAGGAGTGATCGTAAACGGGCGCCTAACACCACGTGAAGTTTTGGGAGCAGCTCGCGTGGTGTTTTCGTGCCGCGTCCAAAGTTTTGGATGGTCCGCTATCTTTTTCGATGCAGTTTCGCCTTTTTATACCACCGTTTAGTATATTTGTGTTTTGTCCAGCGGTGCCCGCCATAGTCCTCAGCCGCTGCTTACATCGGTCAAGTTTGGGTTCACCCAAGTACGTATACCTGACAGGAGGAAGAACAACGAACTATTGTACAGACGCACCACATGAAGCCGAATGCTTTCATGCGGAGCTCGTCGCAAAACAAGGCTGAAGGACGAGCGATGTGTGAGGAATGAACAACGGTGAGATGGGTGGAATTCGGATGGGGTGGCGAAAGCAATCAATTAGGGGTCCGTGGTCCAGTAAGTACGCAGCAAACCATAGCCAAGCAACCACACAGCAACCGACCCATATGTACAAATGTGTGGGATCTAGCGTGAAAGCATCGAAACATTCATTGCAATGTCGTGAGGATGACCGAGGAACACCTGCCGCAGTCCTGTGTAGGGAATCAGACGGGAGGGACCTCGGACGCAGCGAGCGTTAGCGTTGTGCTCATGTCGTTTTCGTCAGTTGTATGTGAGGGAAGTGTTGGAGAAAAAGGTGTCGCAATGGCAGTTTCTGACTTGGTGGTGTCATGGGAGGATCCCTCGGCACCTGATGGTGGTGTGTCTTGAGGCGGGCCTGTTGAGCCTGATGACGATGGGACATCCTTAGATGCATTCGCATGCTCGTCGGCCGCATCAGTGGCGACAAGATGTGGTATTGTTTTCTCGCCAATGCCCACAGCAATTGTAGGCGTCACGGCGGACTCGACGGCATCCTCCTCGCCCATCACCACGATCGCAGGCTTCGCGCCCATCTCGGTGACGGTGTCCGGCGAGCCCGGGCCATGCAGTGACTCCTCCGCGGTAGCGAACGTCGCGCGCGAGCTCGCAGTCGACAGCGGCGAGATCGGCGTCTTGGGCTTGTACGACGTCGGCGGCACCGCCGAGCGGAGGATCTTCTTGACGTCCTCCGCGGTCAAGGGCGCGGGCGCTGGTGCTGCCGGAGAACTGGACTCGGGGGCCGTCGGGGACTCGAGGGCGCTGGACTGAGCCTCGGACTCCGGCGGCGCATGCTCTATATCTGCAGGCGGTGACGTCTCGTCCGACGCAGGTGCCGCCTGCGGGGACGGCCCCGAGTCTGGCTCATTCGAGGACACCGGCATCCCGTCGTGTACAACGCTCTCAGACCCGGACCCGGACGTCGACCTACTATGCGTCCCCCCGCTCGCGCCCGCGCCCGCGCCCTCCCCAACGACCTCCTCAAACACCGGCGGCGGCTGCGCCAGGTCCACGCGGCTCACGCTCGCCGCGTACGCGACCGCGTCCGGGCCGTACGGCACGCCGAACTTCTTGAACGAGTCCACGCTCGCGAGGAACTTCATCTGGTCCGGCGTCGGCCCGCTGCGCGGGTACGTGTACTCCGTGCGCAGCACCGTGTGCGTCAGCGGCGCCGAGATCGAGTGCAGCGAGATCAGCGACGGCGACGTCAGCGCCCCCGGCGTCCCGATCCCCGACCCGCTCGTGTTCGACCGCGTGCGGAACATCGCGCTCAGCGCGGACGCGGACGACGTCGCCGGCCGGTGTGTGCGGTACGGCGACCCGGGCGTCGGCGCGGGCCCTGCGACGGTCACCCCGCGCGGGCGGCGGCGCGGCGGGGAGGGCTGCTCGCCCGACGGGCGCGGCGACTCGGGCGCGGGCGTGGGCATGGAGAGCGCCGTCGGCTCTGAGGTGGCCACTTGCCGCTGGCCCGGCTGGAAGATGTGCAGGAGGTGCGAGAGGCGGCTGTTGTGCGGGTCAAGCACGGACACCGCGGACTCGGCGCGGCCCAGGATGCCTGGGCGGCGCCCACTGCTGCTGCGCCGCGCGGACGCGGGGGGTAACGACGTGGTCGCGGGGCTCGCGTGTCCGTCTTCCGTGGAGTCGAACGCGACGCCGCTGTCGCGGCTGACGGCCTCAACGTAAGGTGGCGCAGGCCCGCGCTCGTGTTCTTCTTGCTCGCGCTCGCGCTCCTCCTGTGCGCGCGCGCCCTCCATCAGGGGCTCCTCCGCCTCCGAGCTGCCGCCGCCCATGGTCTCGAGGCTGGGACGCATGCGGGGCTGCTGGTGCGGCGGCTGCGGGGACGGGGTCGCGGATGGCGACTGCTGCTCGCTGAGGCCATCGAGCAGCGGCGTGTCGGGGCCCGCGAAGCTGGACACGCTCGTGCGGCGCATGTCCATATCCGCATCCAGGGTGCGCTCGCGGCCCTCCGCGACGGGCGGGAGGAGCATGCTCGCGCGCACACTGCCGTCTGCGCCGATCTCCGCTTCCGCGCTGCACAGCCAGAGTCAGAGTCAGCGACGATCGCAGACACATACAGTGTTCGCGGCCACGCACCGGAAGACGACGACCTCCTGCTCGCCCGGCTCCTTCATGTACAGCGGCAGCGACCGCGTCGAGCGCATCGACGCCGTCGCGCTGCCCGGGCCCCTCCGGCGGCGCCCCGGTATCGCGCCCCCGGCAAGCTGCTCGGCGGTGAGTTCGCGCGGCTGCTGGCCTGCGCCGCGCACCATCACCGGGCGCGAGCTCCACGTCCGCAGGCGCGTCGCGAGCGTCGGCGCGGTCGTTGTTGTTGTTTGTGCCTGGGCAGTGCGGGTTGCTGTCGTTGGCTGGGGGCGTGGATGGCGGAGGCGGTAGTAGATCGCAGAGCCCACTATGACCACGACGATGGCGCCCAGAATCGGGATCTGGACGGAGGCCGTTAGTACGACGGTGGAGCACTCGGACGGGAGTATTGAACTTTTAGAGAGGAAGTGGATTTCAAATGTGCTCAAGTATGACAGAAATGCCAAAGCTCCGACCAGAAAACTACGGCTTCCTTCCAGCCAAAGCGAGTCATCGTCCCCTCAACCACGCGCAGCAGGCAAGGCGGCGTGATACCCTGACATGTGATTCTCCTGCTCCGCAGAGGGAGATGCTGCCTACATAACTCGACGAACCCTGCGCGCAGATGCCCTGCCAAGCCGTCTGCGTGCAAGTTTGTGGCTCGTGCACGGTATGCCGCAGGGACGGACGTCCCACGTATCCTCCGTCGACTCCACATAGCGAGTTGATCGCTCAGAAGGGACGCTCGCGTAGCGCGCTCCGGACGTCCACTAAGAGGGAGGCCGCACGCTGGTCCATTCGACTCCTCCCCAGCGCAACCAAGCCTGCTACGCGAAAGACGACTCGAAAACACCGCATGTCATCGTCGCACCTGCCACTGACGGGAAATCGGCGCAGACGGCTGGGTTGCGTGCACACTATTACGCCGCTGGAGATGGACGTCCCACGCGCCCTCTGTTGTCTCCAAACCATGGATTCACTCGCTCACGGACCTCTGGCAGCGACAATGAATGGGAAGCCTCGGTGCAACCGAGCAGGACGGAATTAGGGGCGGCAGACGTGCGCCCGTATACCTCGTCCCGCATAGGTAGCAAGTGTAAAGAGCTGCAATATACGATCGTACACGAGCTCGTGTACTCATGTGCCCGCCCAATAGACTAACCAGGCTTCGTAGCCCGACTTTACAGTCGTCCGTATGGCAGGAATACACTCTGTTATGCTGCTGGAGCGGGTGGAGGGATACAAGTCCCACGCGCCCTGTGCCGTCTCCTGATCATGTATTCAATCGCTCAGGGACCTCTCGCAGCGGCAATGGAGAGGGAAGCTCTGTGCCATCGAGCAGGACGGAATGAGGGGCGACAGATGTGCGCACGCATATCTGGCCCGCATAGGCAGACAGCGCAAAAAGCCGCAATATATGACGGCACACGAGCTCGTGTACTTATGTGCCGGCCCTATAGACTGGCCAGGCTTCGCAGTCGCGCGCAGGCAGGAACGCACGGGAGGACTGGAT